GACATTTTGTGACAGGGTTAGAAATTTTAATTTCATACCAGGATTAGAAAAATGGCACTTTTCTAATGAAAAAGTAGATGTAGACCAGTTTGGAAGATAAACAGAATGTATGGAATTGACCTTAGAATGATCTGTCTTCTGTTGTCTGATCTGTGTGCTGAAGGAAGAGACCAGTGATTTATTTGAATTTGACTGGCAAATGAGAATCTAACCATGTGTTTTGGACTAACTTTTCCCCATTTTATTTTTTTGTTTAGCTTGCTCTATTTTCATTAACATAGGCCGCAACCCAGAGTTGCAAGTAAAATATGTGATTATAGGCCACAGCTGTTCTCCAGTTAGAAGAAATATTTGTAAACTTGGCAGCTGCTTGAGGAGCTGCAAATGGGGGAAAGAAAACCATTTAAATTTGAGTAGATTGATTAAAAACATCACTGAGGAAATTTTCCTTTATGTGCTTTATGTCTCTCTAGGAACAGGTAATACTGAATTGTTCTATCTCTACATTTCTCCTTATACCTGCAGATTCCTTCCTTCTCTGTTTTAGGTCACTTCAGAAAAAAAATTATTAAGAGGTTGGATATGGCAAAATCTGTGCACTAGTTCCTCCCACTCTGATGAAATAAATCATCTAGCAATTAAGGTTATTTTTTCTGTAATTTCATCACTATCTGCACTCAGACATAGCAGGATCTACATAGGATCTTGTACTGGTTTTTGGCTGGGGTGGAGTTAATTTTCTTCATGGTGGCTGGTATGGGGCTGTGTTTTGGATTTGTGTTGATAATACAGAAATGTTTTTGTTATTGCTGAGCAGGGCCCACACAGAGCCAAGGCCTCTTCTGCCTTTTGTATGGCCACATTGGGGAGGAAATTTGGGGTGTTGGGAACAGACACAGCCAGAACAGGTGACCCAGACTGACCAAAGGGGAATTCCAGACCATGTGACATCAAGCTCAGTGTACAAAGTGAGGGAAGGGAGGGACATTTGCAGTGATGGTGTTTTTCTTCCCAAGTAACCATTACCTGTGATGGGGCCCTGCTCTCCTGGAGATGGCAGAACTCCTGCCTGCCCATGGGAAGCAGGGACATTTCCCTTTGTTTTGATTTGGTTGTATGCTTAGCTTTTGCTTTCCCTATTAAACTGTCATTATCTCCACCCATGAGTTTTCCAGCTTTTACCCTTCTGGTTCTCCCCCCAATCCCTCTTGTGGGAGAGTGAGTGAGCAGCTGTGTGGGGCTTGGCTGCTGGCTGGGGTTACACCATGGCAAATGTGGATATACTTTGGTGACTGACCATAAACATAGGGTGTTCCATAAACTGTAGGGTAGTGGGGCTCACTGTAACCCACGTGAGGTGAATTTTTGCACAACCCACAACAAATTAAGGTACACGTGCATAAGGTGAGTATGGAGGGATCACTAACCTGGAGCTGGCATGGTCTGGTAAATCCACAGGATGCTGGTGTACCAGGCAGACATCCTTCTTCAAATATAGAAATGGAATAATTCTGCTAATGCACACTAACAAAGGAACTCTCTGAGTGTGTCTGTCTTTACTCAGATCACCTTTTTTTTTTTTTTTTTGGCTGAAGCCAAGAGGAGTATTTTTATTCTTCATCACCCCAATATTCTGTCTGCAGCAGCTGAGAGCTGCCTGTGCTTTGAAATTCCTCATCATGTGGCACTTTCTTTGGTCCATTGAGACTGGAAAACCCATGTGCCCACATAAACCCTGCTCTGAGAGTCCATGAAAGAACAGAAGCAGTGGTTACCCCTTGCTTTGTATCCATTGTGGGGCTCTGAGTGCTTTCATTTAAAAGCAAATACAAAGAAATTAAAAATTCTATCATTTTTACTGAATTCCACAGTATTGTTTTCAGTATGGCTTAGAAAACCATCCTAATTTTCTTTCTTGCAGAATTGTTATTAATTCTTTGAGGAATGAAGGATGGAGTTTTTAGAGTGACTTTTCTAGTGCTGTATCCTCAGAGCTTTCATTTTTTTAAGAACTAATTATCATAAGTATTTCATTTTTAAGAACAAGCCAAGCTTGTTTGTTACTGAAAAATACCTCACAGGTACCACTACCTGCACATTCAAGTTTTTCTCCACAAAACTACTGACCAAAAAAGCAAAGGGCCACGCCATCTAAAGTGTAAAATATACAGAAAATATAGGCTAAGCCAAAGGGAAGATGACTTGGAAGCTATAGTCAGTTCCTCACTTTATCAGTAGCCTCCTCTTTTCTAGAGCTTCTCATTTCCCAAGTCCTTGTTACCTTCCTATTGTGGTCCTGGTGCTTCTCCATAAAAGGACAGCCTTGGAATTTCAGATATTCATAAAATAGATGGTTGACAATAGGATTGCATGGCATAAACAGCTATATGTGGTTTACATGTCACCACCTGATTCCCATTGTGTTGAAGCTGGGAGTGCAGCCAATCTGTGGGAATACAGAATTACTTTAATCCCTCTCAGTGGCACAACCAGGTTTGGCCTTTGTGCAAAGAATGTGATGCACTTTTATTCCCCAGGGCTCAATGCCAGCTGCCAGAGCCTTCTTGATGTCCCAGTGTGCTTCATCCCAGAGCATTTGTAGGGTGTCTGCCTGGCAGTTATTCCACTGCCCTGTGCTCTCTGCCTCTTCGGTTTATCTCGGCTGTTTGAGGGGCCTGGAGAGCCCGGAGGTGGCCTGGGGCACTACGCGTGTTTAAGGACGAGAAGAGGCTTCAGTTCTTCTTTCTGGTTTTATGTTTATTAATTGTTTATCTAAAAGATGTTCTCTCAGCCCAACAGAGATCCGCACAGCAGTCAGCTATGGGCACACTCTGTCCTGCCCTCCGGGCAGCCACGTATCTTTATACCTTTTGCTACGTATACAATATTTATCATTTTTCTCCAATACTATCTATTGTTATAACTCGGTGTACTCTTAGTAATAACCAATAGAAAGGTGCCACCGTGGCCAAAGAAGATGGAGGAGAGGAGGAAGAAGGAGGAGGACAGGACACACTCCAATTCCTCCATCTTACTCCTCTAAACCCCCCTGTACATAAATCTTAAACCTTGTTTTTCACCTTCTAATTAACTAATCTTTCCACCCTTCACTTCGGTGAAGCTCTGTGAAGCCCTCATCTTTGTCGTCTCCTGTGTAGGGTTAAAGTCCAGCTACCAGACACTTCTGGCAACATTCTAGGACTCCCAAGACCTCCAAGCTGGTCTCGGAGGCTTAGCATCTCAGGACTGAGATATTGAGATCTGACATCTCCCCCTTCTGTTTGCTCCAAGAAAACTTCTTTTACAATCTGATTCATGGCATCTGGGACGACATGGATGAGGACTAGAAAAGCTATTACAATATAAAACTTTAAACTATTAAAACATAAAATCTTACTCTTAAAATTCTTCTCCAAATGGGAGAAATGTCAAAGAAATCTACCTTTAAAATTCTTCTCCAAATGGGAGAAATGTCAAAAAAAATCTACTCTTAAAATTTCTCTCTAAATGGGAGAAATGTCAAAGAAATTTACTAGCTGATCAATATATGATCTTTTGTCAGTTTTCCCTATAATAGGTAAATTTACTCTATTGCCTATTGCAATTCAAGACTTTAAGGAGAAAACTTCTCAGAGTCTTTCGTTCTTATACAGAAATATTCAAGACTCCAAAGAGAAAAAAACTCCTCAGAGTCTTTCTGTTTTTCTTGTTTCTCTTCTGAGTTGTCTTTTGCAGTCTGAGTCTTGACTTTTGTCTGAGTATTCGTTTCTTCTTATATCTTGTTGAGGAAAATCGTTGCATAGTTGCAGACTTGTTACGAAATGATGCTGTAGTTCTGCTGAACTGATTTGGCATGTCGTGCACTCAGGGGTTACCTGGTTTTTGATTCAACTGACAATAGGGTTCAAATGTTGTTCTCCTACCTGTGTGACATATTTTGCCATGGGACAACAGTTCCTTCGAGTTATATTGACCTCTTAGAGCAAATTATTTCCCCAAAAATCATGTTTTCTATTTGATGGGTTTTCTGTCTCATTAAAGAGCCATTCCAATAGAGCAGAGCTGATTTTTACCACCAGCTGCATTGCAAATTCTGGATTGCTTCGTGAAGGTTCAGTTAGTCAGAAATGGGATTATAAAGACTTTAATTTGCAGATACAGAACAGATAATTTTCAGATACTATCTTTTGTTTACCTTTAAGTGCCAAACACACCTATAAATAAATAATGCTGAATTTGACTCTTCCTATTGTCAAAATAGGGAACCTTGCCTGAGGAATACATCCATCTAAGTCTGCTAGACTAGACTTATGGAGAAAAAGTCAGAAATAAGATTGCTAATGGTAGAATTTGGCCTGAATTTATCTACATATTTAGGTAGTCCTTATGTGTATGTAGACAACTTGGAAATATATGCATCAACTTCTTAGCCAATTTAATGCTCTTGCAAAAGGATTTTTTTTGTGCTAGTGAGTTACAAAATGGGGAAAAAACTCCCAGTCTTTTGTCCTAATGAGAGTAGCTAGAGAGAAAAAAATTCCTACATTTGAATTTTTCCAAAATTTTTCATGTCAATGTCCATGCCATTTATTTCAGTTAAAAAAAAATGGCATTGGGGACTTGGCATTGTAGTAAATTTGCCAGGCCAAACTTTAGGTTCTTATGCCTTGGAATATGGCAACAGGAGTGTGTCTCAAGGAAGAAATGCTTTGAATACATTTTTATGACAAGGGTAGTCTCTAATCTTTTTCTTAGAAAACTTTTGGTTCTGGATGGTAATTGCAAAAAGGAAGGGAAGGAAAGCACTGGGATAGAAAACTGAAAGTGAACCTGTTCAAATATGGGCAAGTGACAGGTGGCTGAGCACAGCATTGTTACAGTGAGGGTGAAAAGCTGGACTCAGTTCTCAAGAGATGACAACTGCACTGTCTAAAGAACACAGATATACAACAGAATGATATGGCACTTGATATGGGGTATTTCTTCCATTGGTGCTGTAGGGTGAAGAAGGCTTTCCTGGCTTTCCTGGACTGAAAGGGGACAAAGGAGAAAAAGTAAGTCCAAGTCTTTATTAATTATACTCTGAAAAGTTTAGGAGTTTATAAAGCTGCAGTGGAAGTCTAATGAAAACTGATCCTACTCTAAGTCTTTTGTTTTACCTCTGTATTAGATTTTGTTTCATTTTGTATAAGCAAGGTGCTCAGAAAATTATATTGTAATGTTGTACTGTTTTTTATCAATGTGCAACCACACAATTAAGTTTTAAAATTTTATTGATGATGCTCAGCCATATTTGACAAATGTGTGGAGAGCTCAAAGGCATGAGTTTTGACTAAACTTTGTAAAACTCCAAAATACTTAAATGTAATAGAACAGGAGCTCAGTGCTTATACACACAGGAACAGTAGAGTTTCTTCAATATGAGACACAGAAGGCCAAAGATTACTATGCCTTTACTTGCACTGAACATAAATAACTTTTAGACTGTGGTGGCCTTTAGCTGCTTACTGTGTCATCATCTTAAAAAACCCAAAAATTAAATCCGGTCACTGAGATAATTCCGTTGACTAGTATTGACTTTGGACACATTTGTTGGAAATCCCTTAATCAAATCCTAGTTTGCACGAGGAATTTTAGGAAATTAAACTTTTTCCACCTCTTATAAAACAGCAAATGTTCCAGATCACAGGCAAGATGCCTCTCCAAGTAACACACAACAAACCAGCCCTGTACAATCACAGCCTGCAGTGCCCATGTCATTTCTCACTTGAGCCTTTTTTTATAACACACGTAAGGCAAAACTGCTGCTGTGCCTAGAAGTGAAAACACTAAGCCAGTTCCTCACTGTGTTGACTTGTCTGTTGTTTGTTCCACTCTCCATTTGTTCTTTAAATTGCCAGCTGCAGGCAGAAAACTTGCTTTTTCTCCACATTAGCTGCTGATCCTGTTAGCTGGGGAGCTGCCAATCTCAGCATACTTAGTTCCATTCATCCTGGTGCATAGGAAGATTTTTAAATGATAAAATTTTGAATTTAAGTGGTATTTGGCTTTCTGTTTCTTTGTCTTCTACACCTTTGCATATTCACAGCTCTGGGACTCACTTCCCAGTGGCCAGGGTCATTCCTGAGGACTGCTTGAGTATATCAAGGCTTCTTTTCCATTTGCTTTTAGGCTTACCACTTATGTATATTATAGTTTTGCCTAGAGGCTTCTGAGCTTTGGGATAAATGCTGTATAATCAAGCAGGAAAAAAAAAAATCAATTTTTGAGACAATGGAATGGTGAAGAAAGAAGCTAAGAGAAGATGATATGATAATATTAAGATGACTCAGTTGTTATGTGTCTAATTAGCTCCAGAGCTTTTATATTAATTTATTCTTAACTGAGTTAAGTGGACTAGAGTGCCTAGTTCCTCATTAGCAGCTCATCAATCACCCCTAGTGTATTAATGTCAGCAGCAGCTCCTCCAGGAACTGTAAATAATAAATGTTTGTGTTGAAATGTTTCTCCTCATTTCTTATTCTTCTCTAGACGTGCTGCTCGTGTCAGTGCTCTTGCAGTGGGTGTTAATGCTGTGCTGATGATAACTCTGTTGTTGTTACAGGGTTCCCTGGGCTCACCTGGCCCCCCTGGGAGGGATGGAGCAAAAGGAGATGCTGTAAGCCTTTTTGTTCCTCCCATGTAATCCTGCTTTTCAGTGCGAGGCAGGCAGTGGGCATCAATCTCCTCGGACTGGAACCCGTCTGGGGGATTTGTGTGGCCATTTTAGGAGCAGCAGAAACAAATGGCAGGAGGTTAATAGCCCCAAAACTCTCTCTCACATGTCTGCAGCCCAGGCAGGTGTCCTATGGATTAACCATGGCTGGAGGCTCCAGGGCAGCTCTGTTGTCATTCATTAGGGAGGGAGAGGGAGCAGCCTGTGGTTTGGGACCTGCTGGTAAAGAGCTGCAGCTGCAGAGCCTGGCCACGAGTTTTATGGCTGGCAAGGAGGCCTTGGCTAGCAGAGTCAGCAAAGGGACCATGCTGCTCTCCACAGCAGGAGAAATTGGAGTCTTGGTCACAGAAGAAAATACCTCAAGTCCTCCTGTGCACTGATAAACCCTAAGAGAAGAGGAGGAGGGCATGGTTAGTTCAAGGAAGGATGCAGTGTACCAAATACTACCTGTGAGAGGACTACAGTTGAAGCACAAAAACACAAATATGTTTTTCAGTATCTCATAGAAGTGTGCTTTAGAGCCTTACATTTTTTCCCTTGCTTGATCACCATCCCTTAGAATTATCTTCAACCTAATGTTGAGCCTTCGCCATGTCATTCACTTTGTGGCAGTCACTTGGTGGCAACTGAAGGAGCTTGGGAAAGGATTCTCTGGAAGGCAGATATACACAAAAGGAGAGACACAAAGCAAAAAAGTTCTTTTCCTTACATCCTGTTTCTTCTTTGTTCCACAATTGTCCGACTTTGGAAAAACTGTGACAATTTTTCAATATTGCTTCCAGAACTGATGCAGTTTCATCACATCACACATGGCATGGGATTGGACAGTTTTGTACAAGCAGAATTCCTTATAAGATGTATTAATGCACTGCAAGGTGACAATTCAAGAACAAATGCATTATGCTGACTCCAAGGAATCCATCTTTGCACACTATAATCAGTGCAAGCTGTTCACAACTTAGGGAACTCATTTTTTACTATTTGGTTGTGTTTTGAGAGTAGATAAAGAGCTGCTCCGGTTTTCTTTCTGCTTTCATTTTTGTGAGGAAAACACACTGCAAACTTTCAGATCTCTGTGTAATAACACTCAGGACCATCAATATTTCTAACTGCATGCACTGACTAGTTTGAGCTATCCTAGCATTTATATATAAAATATTTGTGTTTACCAGTGATATTTCTGTTACTGGCAGGGTGAACGAGGACATCCAGGAGCCTTTGGACTGCCTGGGCCACCAGGTCCAAAGGTAAGCTTTCCTTTCTTCTTTGCATGGGCAGGCATATTTTTTTCACTGATTTTTTATGTTTAGATGGCTTGAATTACTCATTGTCGATGGCATTTGATATTCTCACTGATTAATTAAGACACTCAAAATGCTCATTTTCATCAGGAGTCTGCTAAGGTATCAGCAATTATGCAAAGTGTGTAAGAAAAAAAAAATAACTTTTGTTCAATCAACAGTGTAGCTGGAGAAGGTGAAGAAACCATGTTTTGGGACACATAAGCCTTGTGTCATATCTTCTGTAGCTTTTCCAACTCTCACTAAGATGCAGATGAGAATTATTACCCCTACTCTATGACTTGAAAAAAAGATCATGTAGAGATCCTATCCTGAATGTTTCTGTATATTTTGAGCAGTGCCTAAGTAATCCAGAACTTGAGCCAGAGCTTATATCACTGGATTTGCTTCAAACAAGGTGCTTCTGAATGCAGATCTGGTGGGACTTAGCTGAGCATCAGAAATGCAAATTTTGAAGCAGCAATTCTTTAACCTCCTCTCAAATCTCAGCTCTCCTTGCCTTGTTCCCTGGTTATTGAGTGGATAAATACCCTCAAGTGGTTTCAGCCTTGTTATAACACAAAAAGTAGATGGTGACAAGTATGATTTTGGGGGTATAATGCACAGCAAGTTCAGCTCATCTTGTTAAAAGGTGCTGCAAGGACAACAATTCGATTGCCTGAATTAACTTCACTCAGTTCTGTTCCTGTACAAGCCAAGACCTTTGAATATCTCATCTTTCTGGAAGAGCCATTTCTAGTCACCTAAATCTCACACTGAGTTCACTGATGCCATTATCCTTAAATAGGAGTTTAGTATCTCAGCACCTTTCTGGGTGTAGCCTTGACTGTCCCTTGGCTCTGTCTGAGAGGACTTGATGAAGCAGGTCATACACAGGTCCTCTGTGTTCCTCAGCTATGCAGAGCCCTGTCTGCAAAAGGTGATTTTGCATAGAGGGAAATTCACTCTCTCCCAAAGTCCCATCAGGAGAGTATCATAACTCATGAGGACTTTGTAGATTGGCAGAAATACGTGGCAGCCATCTCAGGGTTCTCTGTGGAAACCACACTGGCTTCAGCAGGGGATAAATGACACATGCAAAGCAGGGCTGGGCTGAGCTGAGTGGAGGCACACTGAATATTTTGCCCTTAGTAGGATTTGGATCTTGGATGAAATGAACTGAATTTATCATTCACAAATGCTTTTTATCTGAATCTCTCCTATCAAGTAAATAAATACATATTTTCTCTCTGTCCTGCATGTCTCATGTAGTGGAGTTACAAACAGCAGGCTATATGATGCTCTTCGTGGTAAGAATTTCCTCACATTTGCTTTGCAAAGCTTTTACAAACCAAGCTAAACTGAGGCACCTACATTTTCCTCCAAGTGGACTTGATCCTGCTCCATATTTCCCCCCAGGTCCTTCAGGAACATCCAGTTCAGCCAAATAATGAGGCAATGCAGAATAGAAGGAGTTCAGATCTATGCGCTGGGCAGAACAGGTGCTGGTGGGGCTGGATCTAAAGATATCTGACTGGACAGTGCCATGTGCTCCCAGGGAAGACATGACCTTGGCCAACCCCAGCCTCTCACAGTGCCTAAATATAAAATTATTGTGTGTTTTCACAGAGACTTTCATTTACCTCAATGAAGCATTGGCTGTGAGCAGTGTCCTTGAGCTGGATTCTGGTCTGAGCTATTTTAAGAAATAACACTGAGTTGCTGACAGGGCTTTAAAATCTAAACCAGGAATCCACATTACTCCTCAGTGTAAAGCCTGAGCACCTCATCAATGTGGGACAAGGTGTATAAGGATGGGTGGAGTTGGCAATTAGAGAGGTCACATCTCCAAATACTGGTGTAATGATTATTTAGAGGGTTTTTGCCAGATCACTTATTTTTGGCACCAATACAGCAGCTCTGGGCTCTACCCCAGGCTCCATGGAGAGCAACGCTGCAGTTTGTCTGGTTGGCTGGGCTGTGATCCTCCTGTCTCAATCCATCTTCATTAGCATTGAGCCAGACAAGCCCAGTGTGTGCTCAGCAATGATACCTGTGCCCCAGGAAATACAGCCCCTTGTTTATCTCCTTGGCTGAGGAGCCTTTTGCTTCAGTGGGAATTGCCAGCACTTTCTTTTAAGGAGTTGTCTTGTACTTTTTACAGACCTCATTAATTGTGTGTAGCTTCCAGTAGCACAGATAAGAGTCCTCCAGACTTCTGGTAATGGAATTTCAGCCAAAGAGTTACAGAAATGGTCATTGAGCCCATTAGGGTTCATGTGTAGGTTACAGGGATGAAATGGCCTTGGTATGTAATCTATGGTTTTACTGGTTTTGTTTCTCAGTGGTGTCTCTGAGGCAGATTGTTCCTAGCTCAGTGTCTTCAGCATAAAACTGAAGGGTTTGAAGTTGTTTTTTTCTTTATCATCAAACTTGGAGGGTAAACTTCTTTGTTCCCCAAGAAGGATGTGTGATCTTGCTGGCTACCAGCTGGACACAAAGAAGAGTTATCAAAGTCAGCCTTGTGATGAAGTGCTGGAGCTTCTGTTTACAGATGTCATGGTAATCTGAGATGGCAAGAAATATTCACTGGTCAGTGGGGAAAACTCCCACATAAATATGTGGGACCTCACAGGTTAATTTAAATGGAATAAGTGAGTCCAGAGAAAAAGGGTCAGATCTCAGATTGTTCACTGTACGATGTTAAAGCAGAGAAATAAAGTTTGGATTTTTGAGATCAGACCCTTTAGCCTGCAATATCCTGCAGCAAATAGTCAACCTTTTCCTTCGTTTTCCCCCACTGTATCTCTAATAAAAGGATAAAGAGGTTTTTTGTGGTTGTCATTGCTGTGGCACAGACATAGCTAGAGCATTCCCATCTGAACTGACAGTTATCTGCACTTAATAGAAAAAGCAGAGGGAGAGGGGGAAAAAAAATCAATCCTTTGAAATAAAAAGTATTAGGTAAGAGTTTCATTTTGACAAATTTCCTTCTTGCTTGCTCGAGCTGTCGAAGGTCTCACGCTTCTCTGGTTTACCAGACATGATCTCAGCACAGGCCTTGAGTGGGTTCAGCACATCTCATCCAGACAAACCCAGTTTCTCTATAACTTCTGCTGAGTGTTACAACCACGTTTTATGTAACAGGACTGAGTTAGATTCCTGCAATTTGGATGACTAGGAGCAGGACTGTTTCTCTTGGGGTTTTGCCTAGACTCTGGTAGCAGTATTTCTCGGCAGGCTGAAGGAGAGATTTAGGTACATGCCTGCTATTAGAGGACTTGCAATGCTTCCTGACCTTGAAGAGGTCTGATCCCAGAGCTATCTTTGCTTGTGCTTGAACTCTACTCTTGTTAACCTGCACTGGGGAAAAAAAAAGCCTCAATTCTGCTTCTAATTAATTGCAAACATGTCTCGCATTTTAATTTCATTATCTTTTAATATCAAGCTTCTATTAATACAAAATCTAGTAATTATTTTAAAATGATTTAGTAATAATATGTCTATCTGTTTTGAAGCTATATCCATTACAGCCACCCAGTTAGTGTTAGACAGGAGTTAAACAGATGAGAGTAGTGGGAAGGGAAGTGATGTAAGTAAGAAAATAATCAGTCAAATAGGTGATATAGGATGTCAAACCAATTCTCTAGGTCACTTGCCAGGCTCAGGCTGTCTCCATGGGACAGTTCTGAGGGCTGAGCCTGTTCACTTGGGGATCCAGATAATTTTCAGGCATTGCAAGACACATAAAGGCACACTGTGAGTACTCTCCATTACAGTGTACCTTCTCCAGGGTGAGTCAGTGCACAACCAGCTGAAAGACTGATGAAATGTACCTGATCCTCTTGCATTTTTTCTTATCAGTAAAAATAAACATTAGAAAATTTAGTTCTGATCTGCTTCTTTGCATTTACTCTTCAAAACATATAGCATTTTGAAGACTGTGGTTGCTTTGCAGCATTGTATGCTTTTGCTTTGTTCCATTAACACTGGGTTCAGGAGCACCAACATGTGTTGTGTGCAACAGCTGACTTTGCCAAACTTTCTGAAATAATCTGTAGAGGAACTTGTATGGGACAGTTTGCCTTTGTAGGTTAAGTCTGAAAGCAGATGTCTGTTGCTAATGTCTGAGGGGACAGAGGAAAATACTGCAGTGTCAGTTTGGGTACACAGTTGGAAAATAAGACATGACTCCTGTATTAGCACTGAGAGAGTCAAGAAGCCTTTATGTGAGCCTGGAAGAGCAACTTGATTTCTGACCAACTAATTTTATTCTTGGTCTTTTGTGTGAAAGAGTTTCTGGCGGTTTACTGTATCTCAATTCCTTGCCAGGGATCCGAGGGAAAACAGGGTCCTCCAGGCATCAAAGGCTACGTAGGAGCACCGGTAAGTCATGGCTCTTGTTCAATTTCAAATGCTCCAGAAATTTTCTCTACTTTTTCAGTGTGTTCTGCCCATATATATTTTTTTATTATTAAGCAGTCTATAGTCTTTCTGACCAGTTATCTGCAATAAGTCCAAGTGGTGAAATCATCTTGACTTCACTGAGTTTCTTCTGTCTTCTTTAAATGAGAACAGACCTGTAGCCAGTAGAGAGGTGTCAGAAGAAATGACTTGATTACTGAGATAACAGCTGGTGATTTTGTGATGCTCCCACTGTAATGCAATTGCTTTGGTCTATGATGATGCACCATTTATACGATGCTTTAAAACTTCATCAGAACACCAAGAAAAAATACCACCTCTCAGCAAGTTTCCAGTCATAGTTTCAAACCTCTCAGAAAAGAGACTTTGGGCTCAGGGGACAAATCTGCATTGCATGGACAGACAGCAAGACCAAAATAAATTAGATTCTACCCACTTAGCACCTCTGTCTTGTGGTCCCAGCTTGGTAAGCAGCCTTTAAGCTGGTGTTGCAAAGGTTGACTGGATTTTCTGAGATTTGCTGACCCAGATGGGGACCACCTCCCCCAGGCTAGGGGATGAAAGGATTGTGAACTGTCCTGCAAGAAGTATTTGGGGTGCTGGTGGATGAAAAGCTGGACATGAGCTGACAGGGTGCACTCAGAGCCCAGAGGCACCATGGGCAGCAGGTGAGGGAAATGATTCTGCTCCTCTGCTCTGCTGCATCCATCACTGGGGTCCCAGCACAGGAAAGATGGATGGAACTCTGAGAGCAGGTCCAGAACTGGGCCATGGAAGTGGCAGGAAGGCTGTAGCACCTCTCCTGTGAGATAAGGCTGAGAGTTGAGGTTGCTCAGTCTAGAGAAGACTCTGAGGAGACCTTAATGTGGCCTTTCAATATTTAAAAGATGCTAAACTTTTTAATAAGACCTGTTTTGATAGGACAAGGGATAATCGTTTTAAAGTAAAAGGGGTGAGACTTAGATTGGATATAAGGCAGCAGGTTTTTACTAGGAGGATGGTGAGACTCTGGAACAGTTTGTCTGGTCAGATGGTGGATGCCCCGTTCTTGGAAACATTCAAGGCCAGCTTGGACTGGGCTCTGAGCAACCTGCCCTATTATAAAATAGCCCTGCCCATTTAGATGATTATCTAAATCAACTTGAGGGCCAAATATACTCAGACATGGAGGTCTCATGAGCTTCAAGTTAAGACTCCACTATAGTGTAAGTAAACTGAAGTTTAAATTATTACAGCAAGAAGCACTATAGGCTTTGGCAGTTTTAGAGAGGTCACTACTGTCTGAGCATATTTGTCTCTCTATAGCTATTAGCTGATTGCTCAGTTTCTACAATAAAGATAAAATACAAGGTATTTGCTGAGCTAAGGAAAGGTGAAATCCTTTTGTACCCATTGAGTCAATTGTCTGTGCTAGTGCCACATCAAACTGAGCTCCAGCAATGTTCCTGGTGTAGCTGGGAGGAGATGAATTATGCAGTCCTGAGGAACACTGGCATTGCATCCACAGCACAAAAATGTGCTGGGCCCCCAGGACAGAGCGCATCTAACCTTTGCCAGTTCTCAAATCTACCTGCTGTCTTTCTGGCTACCACATCCAAACCCACCAGGAACGGGAATTCTTGCTTGTTTGTGTGATAGGTTTTCTCATCAGTATTGTCCTTTACCAAAGTTCTCATTGTTTACAAGAAACTTGAAAAATGCAGAGCATTGGTTGTTTTCCAGACCATCTGCAGCTGTGGTGTGTTCCCTGTCCCTCCACTCTGCTGTTGGCAGGAGGGTCGTGTGTCTGCAGGCAATATAATATTACAGATGTTCTTGGGCTCACAAGCAGTCCCTGCTCTGTGAGTCTGCTTAGATCATGCCTGCAGCCAACTTTGAGGACTGGCAACACAGAAAATGTCCTTGAGGTTCACTTGAATTGATTGTGCAGATGTGCACACTGGTTTGGTGACTAATTAGAGGAGATAACTATGCCTCTACTTGGATTTAACTTTATAATCTTTGTTTATTTTTATTTTTAGGGTCTACAAGGAGAAAGAGGAGAAAAGGGTACACGAGGAGACAAGGTATTTCTGCTGCATGGTAGGAAAATCCAGGCCTTTCCTTTGCCCATTAGGTGAGGTGGACTACCAGGCCAGCAGCTCTGGAGAGGGATGAAGTTTCCTCATGCACTGCACTTCCAAGTGCTCCCCACCTCCCATGGGTGTGCAGGAGGGTTTTTGGGATCTGTGCAGTGTACTAAGCACACATTTAGGGACTTAGTGTGTGTGTGTAGCTAGGGATGGAGGAGGGGAGTGAAGGTTGCCAGTGTGGAGATATGAAGGGGTCTTCACATTGTGTGCACAACCTGAGAGTTGAGGATGGTCACTGACTGCCACTGACCATGTCTGCATCTAGAATTTTCCCATCTCATTCCAGTTTTTCACATCAAACATCCTATGTTTCTTTTTTCTCCCATTCCCATAAACTCACTAGTAGTAAGTACCAGGTAATTTGTATTATGCCAAGGCTTCAACCAAATGGAATTGCTTCCCGGTTCCATGTTCTCTCCTGACTGTGAAGAGCTGCTTCACAGAGTACAGGTCACTCTGGGTTTTGAACCATTTTTGTGGCTCAAGGAAAAGACCAAATGCTCATTATAGCTGGAATGGGCATTTAAAAGGAGATCTGGGCAAGCACAAAGCCTTAGTTATTTCAGTTTGCTCATTGTGTTCAGAGAGACCTCAGATGTGCACCCACTTCTGCTGTAGACCTGCCTGGCAGTGCTCAGGGTCCCTCAAAAATGTTCTGTCTTGCTTATGACTCAAGCCAGTCTCAACCTTTCTGCTGTTTATGATAAAGTAGCCATGATGATATTTTGTATTACCTATCCTTATTATTGCAGCTAGAGCAAATGGCTGGATTGTACTTTATTTCTGTCATGCTTCTCCTTCAGCCCTTTGCAGAACTACATAGGTGTTCTGTGTCTAGCCAGTGCCTCTGCTGCTTTTCCAGAGGCAACATTGTCTAATCTGCTGGAATATTTGGCTCCTGGAAGAAAATCCATCTTTCTGACATCACTGTGATGGGAGAGGAAGCTGGAGCTGTGTGTGGGCAGGCAACTGACTAAGCAGAGGAAGATCAGAGTGGGGAAGAAATGAATTTGGTTTTGTTTCATTAGAAGGATCTGCACAATTAGAGATGCCCCCCATCCTTTTTTTTTTTTTTTTCTTCCCTGAAGCAGCCAAATCTCTGCTACAACAATTGTGCTTCATTTTCCCAGGTTTTAATGATGGTCTCAGTGCACCCACTGCCAGTGCTTTAACTTTTACCAGTCAGTACTACTGTGAAAACAGTGGGCGTAAATTCAGTGGGCCAAATATTTTCTTGTCTGCTCTTCAGTCTGTAACCTCAATACTGACACCTACGCAACCTGTGCTTCTTGGTGCCTGAAGAGAAAAGGGGTTATAATATCAGAGGGAGAACTAGTTCATGCACAGAGTATTGTTTTATCAAGTCTTCTCCCTTACTACCAAAAAAGCCCTAACTATCCCATCCATCTTGCTGCATTATTCACATATCCTGGGACCTCACATGTAAATGTTGAAGTTTTATAGTGAGGTTCCCAAATCCAGCAGCTACACCAGGTTTAGGAAAAGCACTGCACCATATAAGGGTTATCCCATGCCCTTTTGCATCCAATGAGCCCATTGTAGACCCCAGGACAGACTCCAGACAGGTAATTCTGATGCACTGCCCTTCTATCAGGAGCCATATCTGTATGTGATACTTGGCACTCTAATTTAGGCACGTCCAGCAGTTCAGTGTGACAAAGGGCATTGCTTTTGTTGCATAAGCCTGTGTCCATCCTGCAAAGCCTGTCTGTTTTATTGAGAAGGGATTGTGTGAGAAGGCAGCAGGACTGGTCTGTGGCTGTGAGATCCCTCTGCAGTGGGGTTTTTTTCTCCTCCAGCCTTTCCAGGGCCCTACAGACTCCTGGGCAATCATTTTTCCAACAAATCATTAAATTTTCTAAATGGTAGAGGTCAGAGAGCAGCACTGAAGTTTTGGCAGAACTGTTATTTCCCCTAGTTGCTTGTGAATCTTCACCATTTTGTTCTACTGGTTTAAAGAAGAAAAAAACAGTAGAAAGAAATGGAAACAGAAGAAAGAAATGGAATCTTAAAATGAGAATTTGAGAATGAAACTTTAATGTGTTTGCTCTTTCTATTGGGAGAAAAGTACCTTTCACTGAGTAGCCTTATTTAAAGAATGGAAAAATAATAAAAAATATTTATAATGACAGATTTTTCTGAAGAAACAGCAGAAAACACAATTGTTTGGAGTGTTTTCAAATAGCTTTTTTTGTATTTGCTTGTATAAATAATACATTCGCCTTTTCCAGCCCCCATTGGTAGAAGTAAGAACATTGACACTTTTCTGTTTTGGCAGCTAAAGCAGCGTGTGTGAAGTACTCATTGCTGCAGTGTATTGATGTTAAAAATTCTCCTGGGAACACACTGCACATTTTGTCAGCAATATACCAAGCTGTTGCTTGCTGAAAGTCTTAAATTCAGGATATTTGTAGTTCAGGCAGTACAAAGGAAAGCATTAATGTGGAAGCTATACCTCCACAGCAAGTGGATCTGGGTGTCCGATATTGGTTTTCAGCGGCTTTTCTGAGGATATGGGTCTCTCTAATTTCATTCTTCGAATACATAATTTGAAATAACATTTATGTGCAAGACTGATTGGCTTTCTAAGGAGGAAAAATAAATAGTGTTAGTAAATCCATTTCTGACTGGGCAAATCAATGTAGTTTACAAAAGAAGCTAATTAAATCCAATGCCGTAAGCGCGGGTTTGCAGGTGATCTAACAGTGTAGTGATCTAAGAGAGTAACAGTGATCTAAGAGAGTTTAAGATATAAAAAACCACTAAAAAATAGCATAAAACTATTAGTTTTCTGTCACTGCTTGTACCTGTAGAATTTGTTTTCACATGCACATTCATGTTCACATTGGCACTGTTGTGTGTTTGATAGTTTATATTCAGTTGGAAGTGAAGGATCCAAACAAAATCTGTGTTTCATTTTTCAGAGATTTAACGACTTTAGAGAGTACAACTCCCTGTTTCTAGGAGTTTTTAAACTAAAGAGATTGAATGGTCAAAGGCCACAATCAGTAGGAGAAAAGTGAAGTTCAGCAGAAGTATGTAATTGATCCAGTTATCTCTATCAAGAACCTTGATTATAAAATATGATGTTGAACTTGAATATGGAAGAACAGTACAGATCAGGGTCAGAATTCAAAATTAATAAACACAATCCCCCAAAGCAGAAGATGGTATTGAGAAGGGGCAGCTGCAGGATGTTTCACACTCATAGAACAACAAATTGCAGTTATGGACTGGGAACAACTGATCAAGGAGCTGTCTTGTGGAAGGGGGTTTGGTGTAAAGTAAACATTGTCCTGTGATTTAAACAGAAAAATAGTCTATAAAACATGAAATATATTCCTGCTCAAAGTTAGCCTCAGGTGTATTGAGTTTCAGGCACCTAGCTACAATAAAGATGTGCAAAAATTGGACACTGCAGAAAGGGGAGCAATAAAAATGATCAGAGAACTGACAAACATGCCCATGAAGAAAAGTTGAAATCATTATGGTTGTTTAGTCTAGAGAAAATTGAAAGGGGAGTTTTGTAAATCTTCAAATACATAACAGGTCATTGCAAAGATGAAGGAAACACTGTCCTCTGTGGGAGGTTAGGGAAAGACTTACTAGTCTAGAACTAGTCAGCAAAAAAAAAAAAAAATCAGGTGTAGGTTCAGGGGGGAAAAAAAAGATGTCTTCAAGCAATAAAGTGGTGAAATCCATTGCATATGGACTTTGTGGACTGTCCAGCTCTGGAGACATATAGAAACAAATTAATTGTTCCCCCAGGTTACAGAAAGGAAAGGTGAAAAATGAAAGATTTTTCATTACTGGGTAAAACCGACCTATTGCTGGATTGCTTTATTAGTTTTCTAGGAGCTGTTCTGGGCTGACATTCTCCTGGAGCACATTGTCCAGTTTACACAAACTCACCTCAACAGGCAGAGGAAGGATGCCAACATGGAAAGCTAGCACACACCTGCTTTTGGTTGCAGCAACTTTTCATGGTAGAGATGTAGGAATTTCAGCTATTTTCTCTATGGAACTGGCTGGATTTCCTCTCTTATTCATTACTGTTGGAGCAGATAGTATGGGCATCACCTTCAGGGCAGTGACCTAAACAGCACAAATTTAAATTATAGTTGTTCTTTCTCTTCTTTTTCCAGGGAGACAGAGGCCTGGATGGATTCCCTGGAAAGCCAGGTCTGGAGGGGAAACAGGTATGTGGCAAATAGTCAAAAACTGGAAGTGTTTCTTTGGAAAGAGTGGTAGTTGACCTTAAAACTGAGACTTATCCTGGGTGATTGCTGAATCATGGCAGTACCCAATTATGTCCCTGTTCTGAGGATCTTTGGTACAGTTTTCTTTTTTTTGTTTGTTTGCTTTTAGAATTAAACTAGAATGCAACTTACACTCACAGGAAATGCCTGTCCTTTAAACATGACAGTCTAAATGTTTGTCTTAATTTTCATTAAATACATAAGAAAGCACTCAAAAGAATTCAGTTGTTTAAGCCCACAACAGGAAAGGAAGAGAACTGAATTTAATATATTGGGTTTGTTTTCAATAAAAAAATTGCTTGAAACTATTTATATTTTTAGAACAAAAATAGAAAATGGCCTAGAAGATCAGTACATTTCTGCTGATCAGTCACACACTGCTTTGTCTAAAATCACTATCTGTAGATTCCACAAGACTGTTTTCATTACCCAGGGAATGATACCTAATGAGAAGCATCCTTTTCTTCCAAGGACCTTCTGGTCCAAATAGCAAAGGACAAAATAGGAAGCAGAGGACAGAAGTGATTTGCCAAAAGCCATGCAGCTAATCACTGCCACCCTTGAGCCTGATACCTCCAGGGTGCAGCATCTGCATCCTGCTCTGTTCCTCAGCTGCAGTTTGCCTTGTACCAAGAAGTGTGTGTCTAGTTAGTGTTTATCACTATCCTTGCAAGATGGAAATGTTTTCCAGTGTTACAGATGGACAAAGAACTGGTTTATACTTGCAGCAAATGTAGATGAAGTAGGAAAATGCAGAGGGATGTCAAAATGGATCTTTTTTGTTTAGTACTTCAAAGGAACAATTTCTCCAAGTGAAACCCTGTTTTCTGAAATTGGGTTTTCTGAAGCATTTCTTCCTTTTTCATGTCTGGACACTTAGAAGGGGAAAAATCTTCATGCCTGAATTTTATACTAAATTTTGTGTTTGATGCTGATATACTCACTGAACTGCAATTCTTCTGAACCAGCTGAAATTGGATTGGTGTTATTAGGGTTGCTGTGGCATCTCCATTGTTATTCTCTCTCCTCTCTGTGCAGCAGTCGAAGCAGCCTCATGTGTTTTGTTAGTTTCTGCCCAGTGTAACAGGACATCACTGTTTGTGCTGCCAATACCTGCAGCCTTATGTTTCTCCTGCACTTTAGAAACAAAGACTTTTCTCTCAATTTTACCTCTTTATAGGGCCCTCCTGGCAGCCCTGGCCCTCCTGGTGCTAGTGGAACCAAAGGAGACAAGGTAAGTTGGGATGGGATGCATAAAGTGGATTTAGAAACACATTTGTTAATTCTTCTTGGGCCCTCAGTGCTGGAAATATCAGGGCTGTTGGACTAATATTTATCTTGTTTGTAGATAACAAAAGTTTATATATTTTTAAATATTTCACTTTTCTGACATGGCTTCAGTCTGAAATGGGTGTGAGTGTTAAAATATATCTGTTTATGACTCTCTTAGTTTAATGCTGATAGTGAGAATAGAAGGAAATAGATTGTATTGTGGGTCAGGAATCTTTCTCATCTAAGAAATGTGGGTAGAAATGTCAGTATGTTTGTGTAGAAACTGTTTTTCTCACCCAGGAGATGTGGAATTGACTCAGAAAGTGACAACAAAATGCCTCTGAGCCTCCTACCTGCAAAATAATTATTCACTTCTCTTAGCAGCAATTTTGACCTTGTTATTTTTCAGAGTTGTTCAAATATTCAGGGCAGCCTTATGTTTCCCTCTCTGTTAGAGATGATGCTGTGGTTCTGGTATTTCCGACCCAGGACTGGAAAGGCATGGCCAGTTCTGGATTTCCTTCTCTTTTTCTCCTCTGGATTAAGTCAGTGACCCATGTCCAAGAATTCAGAGATTGGAAGCAATTCCCACTATTTTCTTCCTGCAGTAGTGATCCAGTCTTGATCACTTCATTCATATTTCTGAACCAGCTGTAACTGGTGCTTCCAGAAGATGTTTGTCTCCTTGGTGTGCTATTTTCAGAGTGGCTGGTGTGTATCTTTTCACTACTTCACACATAACATGAGCTCTTTTTGGAATAGGCCTGTTTGGATGGGGGCCTGGGCAACCTGATCTACTGGGTGGCATGACAGCTTGAGGCACAGGGGTGGAACCAGATATTTTGGATTGATGGGCCAAGGCCAATGGTATCAGGTTCAACAATCAGGTTCAACAAAGCAAAGTTCTGGGTTGTACACTTTGGCCACAACAAAGTCCTGCAGTGCCCCAGGCTGTGGCAGAGTGGCTGGAAAGCTGCCCAGTTGGAAAGGCCCTGGGAGTGCTGCCTGACAATGGCCAAACATGAGCCAGCAAGTGCCTAGATGAGCAAGAAGGCCAGTGGTCTCTAAGAATTCTGTGTCAGCACTGGTGTGGCCAGCAGGACCAGGGTGGTGATTGTCCCTCTGTGCTGGGCACTGGGGAGGCCACACTTCAAGTGCTCTATGCAGATGTGTGGCCCTGTTGAGACTGAGATTAGTGAGAGATGCCTCTGCCCAAATTAAGGTGCCAGTGAGACCACCTACCAAAGTTAACAGGGATTTTATTTAACAGTAAATGGGAGGAAGAGAGGTAGAAAGGAATACAGAAGAGGAGGGTGAGAAGGGAAGTGGAGGCAGAGGGGGTTGGGAAAGAGATGAAGCAGAAGACAGTCCAAGAAGACACTTGGTTCCAGTGGTGTCACGTCAGTCTTTCCTTACCATGTGCTTGGGGACTCTATGGTTCTTGTGGAGGGTTCATACCTTTCTCCAGTCCTTATTGTGGGTATCGAGGGAGGCGTTCTGCTATTTGCCTTGTGAAAGGAGGATGCCTTCCTTTGCCTGCAATGCTGAGGCCCACAATGCATTTCTCAGCTCTGAATGCAGCCTTGGGAGCAGGGTGGGGATGCAGCCCCCGCCAAGGCAGACCAGGCCTAAAGTCAAATTCTTTTGAGTTTTACAAGGCAGTGCCTTCCTCAGTCGGCTCTCCCTGACCATGTTGCCTTGCTTATTTCTTGTGGATGCCGCACTGGGGCTGGCAGGAGCTACCTTAGCAAGTGATTGCCTAAGGGTGAGCACTCATCTTTGGCTATCGACCTGCTGCAGGCCCCGGGCTCACTCCTCCGGCTGCCCCCTGAGGCAGCTGAAGGAGAAAAGGCCACGCAGAGCCCGCCGGGCCCTCTTGGCCATGGAGCGCCATGGCCGTGGGGCCGGGGGCTTTGGGACGGCTGCGCTGCCAGCGGGGCAAGCAGGAACGCTGCGTGCCAGGGGCTGGGCAGGCACCGGGCAAGCTCCTGTCGGCGGCTCATCCCCGCAGGGCTTTTCCTGGGGAGGGGCGGCCCGGCCACACCCAGCCTCCATGCCTGCTTTGTCAGCCTCGTCCGAGGGATCGGCAGTCACGACACAAACCGCAAACATATTTATGTCCTTGGGCAGTGCCGTAGGAAGATGCTCACTGTGCCCGTCGTCGCAGGGATCGCTGTCCAGGGGAGAGAAGCTGCTGGCTCTGCTCCCTCCTCTTGCAGTGGGAGGGACAACTCGCTCTCTGGCTCACTGTCCGCTCTCCTGCACTGTCTCTGTCAAGGAGCTCTTCTTCCTCCCACTTTACCAGCAGCTGGTCCAGCCGAGTGTCCATGGACAGCACATCCTTGTTGTTAAAAAGAGACCACAGCTCTTCAAACAGGTTGGGAGGCACGAGCTGTGTGTAGGTTTTGGTCTCTCTTGTAGAGTCTATGGTCCAGCTGCAAAAGCTATGCTGGCCCGAGGGACTTTCTGCATCCAGAGAGGAGAGGATGTCTTCCTCCAACTTCTCCAGCTCCTCTGCCTCGACATTCAGAAGATGCTTTGAAGCATCGTCAGGCCCAGTGCACATTAGCTGGCCACATGCAGTTTGCTCGGGCAGCTGATGAGTTTCCCTGTCCTCACAGGGACTTCCAGATGAGGGAGAAGCTGAGAAGTCTGAGCATTCCTCAGGCAAAAGCCCATTGTGCCCCTCGTCCCAGGGGCCTTGGTCCAGAGCAGAAGTTCTTGCCTCTCCCTCTTTCTCTTTCAAGAGGGCAAGGAATGTGCACTGAGGATTGCTGTCCCTGTCTCCTGCAGCCTCTGTTTCTGGGAGTTCTTCCTCCTCCCACTTTTCCTCTGGCTCTTTTGGAAAACTGTCCCAGGGCTGCAAGTTGTCAGACACAGGCTGCTGCTCTGCCAACTGGGCAGGAGACAGGAGCTCAGAAGAGTTTCCAGTCTCTTCTGTGGAATCTTTGGTCGAGCCAAGAGCACTGGGCATCACCTGGGACTCTACATTTGCCTCTTGGAAGACATTTGAATGCTCCTGGGTCCAGGTGGACTTGGTGGACCTGTCTTCACACAGCCACGGGGCAAGGCCTCTGAATTGCCACTCTGCTCTTCCTGCACCTCAGTGAGCTGCTCCATCTCGGTGTGGTTCCAGGTGGTTCCAGGCAGGCTTGGTCCCTGTGCAGAGCAGCGTGCCACCTGCCCATTGCAGGGGTGGCAGGCGATGGCCCTGCCTTGCTGGTGACTCTTTCCAGAGCCTTTCAGCTGAGCTGTCTGGGGACGGTGTTTCCCTGGCTCCATAAGTAGCCCTAGTGCCCCATGGAGAAGGTGGCACTAGGTCTCGGTGGGTACTGCCTACAGGGCCTGTGCACCATGCTCTGCCTCTGGGAGAAGACCCAGAGGCTGCTGGGGCTGCTGGCAGAGGGGGCAGCTTGATCCGTGCCGAGGCTGCTCTTGGCATGTGCTCTTGGAACGGAGGTGACCCAGTCAATGGAGGGCCGTGGAGAGGCGGCAAGTCTGACACGGACAATCTTGGTGGCCGTGTGACTGTGCCACTGAGGGGCACTGAGTGCCCTCTTTCCAGACTGCCCTCCTGTGTGTAATGTCCTGGGAGGCTCCCTGAGGTGACTGGTCTGGGGAGCAGTTTGTCCCCATGGAGGGGCGTGATAGCTGTCCAAGTGACCTGCAGAGCTGCTTGTGGCTGCCTGTGAGTCACCTGTGGGAAGCAGGAGGAGGTGGTTGATGAAGGCAGCTGTCTCCATCAACATAGTTGCAAACACAGCCCTGGCCCTAAGGGCAGCGCTGACCATGGCAGCCAGGCCAGGCTGGCTTCCCAGCTCGCTCGCTGTCTCTGGGCCATTCCCTCACCCAGGCCATCCAGGCACCGGCTCCTGCCCAGAGCAAGGCCTGGAGCCAGGCCTGGCTGCCGCTCTCTGCCCCCAGCCCTCCCCCAGATCCCACTGCAGCCTTTCCCTCCATTCCCGTCCCTCACCTTTGGCCGCTTGGACAGCAGCAACTGCCCCTCATGGGACTGGCTGTGGGCGTTTGCCTCGTGTCTCTTGGACATCTTGGCAGTGCTCTGACAAACACTGGCCAAGGGCACCCAAGAGAGCTGCTTCCTCCTGAGGAGCTGCTGCCTTGTGAGAGAACTGCTGCCTCTTCAGAGAGCTTCTCTACTGAGAGTGACAACACGAGGGGTTTGGCCCTATAAAAGTTCTCTGCATTTCCACATGGACCTGTGTCACAATGGCCTCTGGGCACGATGGAACCGCAGGTCACGAAGGCCTGGTGGGCATGGCTGCCCCTTGTCTCAGAGGCCTGGGGGTTTCCATCGAGATGTCGCTTTCTTAGGCCTTTGCCCCTCTACTTTGACTACACTTGCTTGTGTCCCAGTGATTTGCAGCACTCCTTTGTCTCCCCCCCGAGTTTGTCTTCCAAACATCCCCAGAGAAGCCGTGTGCCCTGCCAAACTGCTTTTCCCACCCAGCCCACCATGTGTTCCACCCCTTGGCCCCACCTCATGTGGAAAGATAATGAGGAAGGCAAAAGCTGAAGTAGCACTTCATCTGGCCACTACTGTAAAAGACAAGAAAAAGGGTTTGTCTACAAACATCAACTAAAAAGGAGGGCCAATATTAAGCCTTCTGGTCCTAGCCCTGACAGTTGACCAGTGGCTTCCCCAAGAACCAGCCCTGGCAACTTTGATGAGAGAGACTGCTTGAGCCAGTTTTCGGAAAAGCAACTTTAATGTAACAGCAAAGCAACAAACTACACAACATGCATAGTAGAAGGAATGAACCAGAAAAAGCCAGGGTCCAGAGTCTGCAGAGAAACTTATACATTTCAGAAAGGGGCGGGGTTAGGGCAGGGTCTGAGCAAAGGATCCAACAGGAGAGAGTGACTTGGAATATTACAATCAATGCAGCAAAAATTATCCAATGACAACACAGGGAACTTAGGCCTTTCTAGTAGTAATTGAATAGCTGAACTGGAGGATCATGGGTGGGAGCTCCTCTCACCCTAACTTTAAGAGGGTTTTCCCATGGCCTCAGATTTCAGCCTCCTTCATTATTTAAACTGACTCAAACAGGCCAAGAAAAATTCTTCATTTGATGCAGAGGGGAATATGTTCACAGAGAATGAGGAAAAGTTTTCCCTACCTAATGCCTTCTTTGTCTCAACCTTCAATAGCAGACTGTTTATGCCAAAGACAAGCAGCCTGCTGAGCCAGCACACGAGGGACAGGGAGCTGACCAGATCCCTGCAATTCTGCAGGAAGTTATTAGTGACCTGTAGAGCCACTGAGACACTGACAAGTCTGGGGGGGCTGGCTGGGAGTCTCCCAGGCGGGCTCAGGGAGCTGCAGATGAGGTCTCTAAGGTGCTCTCCATCCTTTATTATCAATCCTGAGCAGTCACCAGGGTCCCACTTGACTGGAGGTGGCAATGTGACATCCATGCCCAAGAAGGGCCACAGGGAGGATGCAGGGAATTGCAGTTCTGTCAGCCTGACCTCAGGGCCCAGTATGGTTCTGGTGCAGGTCATCATGAGGGGGATCACATGGCTCAGAGAGGACAACCAAGGGATCAGGTCTAGTCAGTGTGGGTTTGGAAAGGCAGGTCCTGCCTGACCAACGTGATGTCCTTTGAGCAGCAAGTGGCCCTCCTCAGGGCTGAGGGAAAAGCTGTGCATGGAGGTTCCCTGGACTCAAGCAAAGCCTTTGACTCCATCTCCCACAGCAGAGTCCTGGAAAAGTCGTCAGCCCAGGGCTTGGGCAGGGACACTCTTTGCTGGGTTAGGAACTGTCAGGATGGCCAGAGTAGCTGTGAATGGTGCCACATTCAGGTGGTTTCTGGTCACTAGTGGTGTCCCCTGGGTCCAGTCCTGTTCAGTGTCTGTCCTGTGGATGTAGACAGGGACATTGAGGGTACCCTCAGTAGTAAATTTGTGACACTACCAAGCTGGGTGGGAGTGTCAACATGCTGGAGGGTAGGAAGGCTGTCTGGGAGGGATGTGGATAGGCTGGATAGATGGTGTGAGGCCAGCAGGATGAGTTTCAAGAAGAGCCAGGCCTGGGTCCCACCCTTGTGTCACAGCAAGCCCCTGCAGTGCCACAGCTGGGGCAGAGTGGCTGAAAATCTGCCCAGTGGGAAAGTCCCTGGAGGTTCTGGCTGACAGAGGCTGTCCGTGAGCTGGCATGTACCCATGTGGGCAAGGAGGCTGGTGGCCTCCTGGCCTTCTGTGTCAGCACTGTAGTGGCCAGCAGAAACAGGGCAGTGACAGTCCCTCTGTGCTGGACACTGGCTAGAAATCTTCATTCAGTTCTGGGCACCTTATGAAAAGAAAGGGGTTGAGGTGCCAAGATTGTTGCCAGAGAAGGGCAGTGGTGTTGATGAAGGGTCTAAAGGGTAAATCCTATGAAGAGCTGCTGTGGGACCTGGGTGTATTCTGGGGAAAAGATGACTCAGGGGGGACCTTACTGCTCTTTACAGCCTCCCTGGCAAGCGGCTGTAGCCAGGTTGGGATTGGTCTCTATTCCCGGACAAACAGCAACAGGACAAGAGAAAATGGCCTCCAGCTATGCCAGGGAACATTAAAGTTGGAAAGCAGAAAGAATTTGTTGACTGAAAGGTTTGTCAGGCATTGCAAGGTTCTGCCCAGGGAGGTGGTGGAGTCAGCATCTCTGGAAGTGTTCAGTGAACAACTGGATGTGGCACTCAGTGCTCTGGTCTTGTTGCCATGGTGGTGTTCAGTCAAAGGTTAAGCTCAATGGCCTTGGAAGTCTTTTCAACCTTAATGTTTCAGTGATTCTATCTTTAAGATCCCTTCCAACCCAATCTATTCTATGATGCTCTGAATAAGTAACAAAGAGTAATTGAACTTAGGAGAAAATACATGAAATATATGCTGGGTCATTCAGAGACCTACATGAGTAATGAAGAAATAGCGTGTAGAGGGAAGCTGTGTGATAAATGTAACACCAGTCTGTGCCTACAGTAAAGGATAAACCTTCTGTATGCACAATCTTGGAGCATAATAAATGGTGGACATTGCTGGAGAAAAATGAACTGGAACAAATTGATAACCTAGATGGCAATAAATCATGGGAAGAGGATGTAGCATCCCAGTGTTCCACAACCACTATGGCGTGAATTGTTCTATAAAATGATTTGGGGAAAATGGTACCATTTCTCACTTTTTTTTTGCAGTTATTTTGGTTGATAACAAATAAAAGTGTTTTGACCTCCTTAATATCCATCTCCTTGGGGGTCTTAGGAATCTAAGCATCAAACAGTTTGTTTGTGTGGTAAGTGTACAGAGCAAACACAAGATTTTTTTGAAGCACAAATCTAATGCTATTGTGCATCCAATGCATCATTCATTTTAAGTCACTGAATATTATTAAAATGTACGTAAAACATCACAGTAAGACAGACCACAACCAGTTTCTGCATGAGCAGAGAAAAGAGAGTTAATTGAGATTGTATGTCCAGATCTATTAATTATGAGATGGCTATTGAAAATAAGAATGTACAACAACAATCAGAAAATATGCTCAGGATGTTGCTTTTACTTTGCACTGTTGTGTATTGTGCCATGTTGTGTTCTACGTATGTTTTTTCATTTCTTTCTTGTTTCCCTGCAGGGTGAACCAGGACTTCCAGGATTGCCTGGTACTAAAGTAAGAATTTGTTTTTTAACTTTTCCCATTATTGCTTGAGAAGTAGAAATGCAGGTTGGGAGGATCTCACTGAGAGATGTTCTTAAATAGTTTTTTTAAGGAAGTTTTTAAAAGAAAAGACTTTTGAAGAAGGCATGTGACAGGTTCCAATGAGGAGATGCTCTTCCACAGTTCTGGGAGATTGTGAAGTGTGAAGACCAGGACTTGAGGCAATGAAAGAAAGCATTGCCTCAAGTGCATCAGACAGAGCAATACTGTGACAAGACCGTGTGGTTTCTGACAGTTGTTGATTCCAAGTGGCCTTTGGTACATAGAGCCTGGGCAAGTTATAAAAGCAAATGAACTTTCAGTATTGAGTAGCTGAGTGTCTTTGATATGGACTAAGTGTAAGAGTTGGGGCAGGAGAAGAAAAAGGCAGTTTCTGATGAGAGGGAATGATCTTTCCTTAGCTTGTATCTGGAAAAGTCCTGGTGGAATATTAAAACAGCTAGAATTTGATGTTCTGAAATCAGGAAAGCACTCATGAAAAAATGAAACAGAAAAGAGAAGAGTGGGGCTTATCCTTATTGTGGCACTACATCCTTTGTGCATCCCTCTGCCTTCACTGATGCCAGAGACAACTCTGGCAGGGATGTAAGGATGTCCAGAGACTAGTACTGTCTGTATGAAGAGGTTATCTCTGGGTGAATGGAGAGATTTACCACTAAGTATGCAGAGGAGAGGTCTAGAACTCAGTTCAGTATGGGCTGGTAAAAAAGCAGTTAGGTAGTATCCCTTTAACCTTAAAAAAAAACAAAACAAAAAAGATTAAAATTAGGAAATAGCACTCTTCAACTATAGACCGGAATAAGAGGCTCCCTGGTAATTGTGGGAAAGTCAGCAGGCTTTCCCTTACTCAGAATGTGGTAGAAAGTAAAGGAATTAAAAAACTACGAAAAAAACCTGGCTGTTTGGGTAAGAACATTTTGCTGTGCTGTTCAAAATGTGATATTAATGATGGGACAGCAATTACCAAGAAATTTCTAAAGATGTGTATAACATCTGAAAATGAGTTTAACTGATGGAGCATATCCCCAGCCAGTCTGCTTGTTATGTGATTCCTTCTGCACTCAATAGATCTTTGTGATTTGGAATAAAACAAGATCTGGGGAATTTACTAACTTATTTATATAATGAGATAATTAATTAAGTTCTTACTGTTTATACAGCCACCCAAATCACTTCACAGGTGAGAGAAAACCTTGTGATAGTCTGAGCTCTTTAAATAGAAAGCATCTCCCAGCCTGCAAGAGGATTTGAGGAGCTGTAGGAGTTATCATGCAACTTGAAGGAACAGCAAGGGCAGAAAAGTACCCTGTGGGGGCCCATCATACCTCTGGCACCTTCTGCCTTGTATTTACTCTTTCCATCCTTGATGACTCTGTATTTCCATTGCAGGTGCATATTGAAGGCCTAAAAGGAGAGGAAGTAAGAGAGACTCAAAATCTCTTCTTTCATTGCAAGGATATTTTAATGTAATTCTGTTGCCTGTTAGGTTAGATTTTGCTGGAAAATAGTGCTTTAAAGGGAAGCTGGATGGAAGCATTATCAGGACATCAAGAAATAAATTTTCCTAATTACAATGGCAAAAATAATGAAGAAAGGAGAAAGGGCAATGCCATTTTCAGATGTGAATCTTACATAAATGAGAAATATGAACTGTTGAGTCAGCTATGCAATTATGCAAGGACAGGGATGTATTAACATTAATGTTAAACTGTATTTTATTTTTTGCCTAGTTTGTCTCTGAACCTGGGCACTCAAATAGGGGGACATACCCATTGTGTCAGTCTGTTAGTCCAATGTATAAAATATATATATATTTAAATTTTTATTTTTTTGTTGGTGGATCTGTATTTTGCATTTAGCTGTTACTTAATACAATTGTATGCATCATGTAAATGATACTTTAAAGCCCTTCAGACCTCTGTAGGCTTGGGGGAAATGCTGGTGGGAGCTGCTTATGCAAAAACTGTTGTTCTCCACTACCAAACACCACCCCAGAGAGTTCTAGTGGAATATCCAGGATATCCCAGTGTCTTCAGTAGAGTTACTACCTGTGAAAAACAGAGAACCAGATACGGATAAGTGCCTGTTGAGTGTGGGTGGATCAGTCTGTCTGCAGCCTAGTGAGTGCTAATAATTTGAGTAGTCAGAGATTAAGGAGAAAAACAGCTGGTTCTGCACTGGTTCTTCAGGACTTGTGTGGAAAGTGGTGGTATAGGTCCTGTAAAGACAGTCAACATGTCTAATGTGCCCATGCACATTTTCATAAAGATACTTTAAAACTTTTATTAAAAAAAACCCAAACATTCCTGTAGGGAAAGCCTGGGCCACGAGGACCACAAGGCCACCCTGGACTTCCTGGACCTCCAGTAAGTTGTTTCTCTCACTACTTGCAATTTCAGAAGCTAAAACTCAGGCTGGAGTGAGGCATATGAAAATCTTATACATTATTCAGGCTCCAAAATATTTAAATAGTGCCCACAGCCTCCAGTTTTCTTCATTGCTGACAGAAGGTGTCGTGCTGTGGATGGCCTGTCTGAACAGAGGGAAGTGACAACCAGGACACGGGCAGACTTTGCCTTAAGGCTGTTGTCATGCAGAACCTGATCATTTTTCTATTTCTAATGTCCTGAAGAGCTGTATGGGCACATCTCAGAGAGGCACTGACTGATAATTTGTGAGCTGTCATGTCATGAAGGTCAGGGAGTAGTTGCTGTCAAAGGGGTTGGTGTTATGCCACAAGGTCGTGGCTGAAATACTTTCTGGATGAAAATTAAGAATTGAGTATGTGTGTTTATATTTCAACACAATTTTTATAACAGTTTGTACATGCCAACATTCTTACTTCTGACTTAAATTGCAGCCTATTCTACTTATATTTTATGACCCAGCTCTGCAGGATGTCTCAGTTCAGACTGTCACTGCTGCCTCATTTGTAACACTCTGTGTTTCCTCTCTTTTGAATTGCTTGTTGTGTTTTACTGTTGATTGGCTTTTGTAAAATTGATGGCATTGTGAAGGTGTGTTGCTTAGGTAAATCCAGTTTGAATTATGTAATTTAAATATAGTTGTGTGCTCTGTATTTAATCAGGGCATTGTCACTTTATCTTGTTTACTCATTCTCTTCTGCTCACAGGACAACATAATCATCAGGTAAGAGTTGTCTAGGTAGCCATGCAGTAACGGTAGCACAAAACAGCTGGGAAATCATATATAGTTCACTAGTTTTTTCTTATTCTGTTAACTTTCTAAATCTTCTCAATTTTAAAGGGAGAGCCTGGTCTGGAAGGCAAGCCTGGAATCCCTGGTTTGCCAGGTCAAAGGGTGAGTTGCTTCTTTTATTTAATTTGAGTCTCAGGAGGCTCGGGACAGCTTTGTTCAATAAGGTTTGCTACTTTCGCCCACCTTACATATATTTGTCTACTTATATAAGAATCCTGAGTCCCAGATCCTTTCCCATATTCCTTATTGATTGTCCAGGAACTTTCAGTATCTCTTGGAGCTGACGGGTTGAATGCAGTGCAGGTTCTTTATTGCCATGTGCTCTCCTGTGTTTATATCTGCTCCTTACTGCTGAGGGGTTGCTTGATATGACTCTGAGTGTGCAGAACCACTACTAATGTGGTCAGTTTGAAATTTCAGAGAAATTCTGTTGTCCTAGAAGTCAAATGAGTGTAAAGATTCTTGCAATACATATTATTTTCTGTCCTGTTTGGTCTGTACTCAAAAAGAAGATCCCCAAAAATGGTAGCTGGTGTACCATTCTCTGCCAGAAGCTTAGCTTTCCTATGCATGAAAAACTCGTGGATTTTTTTTGACATGGAATTATATCTTCACATATTTAAGTACTGCTAAGAGGTCAATTTCATAGTGGACCTGATATTGTTGCACTTGTACTCTGAACCTGCTTTTCCTTGCTTGAGCCTGTCCATATGAAGAACATCTCATGAGACAACACAGAATCAGAACATCCTGATTTGGAAGGCACATCACTGATTTGGAAGAACATCTCATGAGACAACACCGAATCAGAACATCCTGATTTGGAAGGCACACGATCAGGATCATCGAGTCCAAATCCCAGCCCTGCACAAAGGAACCCCAAGAATCCCACCACATTCCTGAGGGAATTGTTCAAATGCTTCTTGAACTCTGGCAGGCTTGGTGCTGCAATCACTGCCCTGGGGAGTGATTGTTCCAGTGCTCAGCCACACTCTGATGAAAACCTTTTCCTGATATCCAGCCTAAATCTCCCCCAATTCAGCTTCATGCTGTTTCCTCAAGTCCTGTCACTGGTCACCACAGAGAAGAGATCTCTACTTGCCCCTCCTCTTCCCCTCACAAAGAAGCTGTAACTGCAATGAAGTCTCTCCTCAGTCTCCTCCAGGCTGAACAGACCAAGTCCTCTGGACACTCTCTAATACCTTTATATGTTTCTTATATTGTGGAACCCAAAACTTCCCCCAGGACTCAAGGTGAGGCCACTCCAGTGCAGAGCAGAGCGGGACAATCCGTTCCCTTGCCCAGCTGGTGATGTTGTGCCTGCTTCCCCGAGGACAGGGCTGACCCTCCTGGCTGCCAGGGTGCTGCTGACTCCAACTTTCTACTTACCAGGACCCCAAGTCCCATCCCACAGCTGCTTTCCAGCCTCATTCCCCAATCTGTCTGTACATCCAGGGTTGCCCCATCCCAGGTGCAGGATCTGGAACTATGGATTCACACCAATCACCACACAATTGGTGATTGCCCACCATCCAATTGGTGATTGCCCAGTCTATTTGTCAAGGTCTCTCTTCAGGGCCTCTTTGCCCTCAAGAAAGTCGACAAATAAGAGTGGAAGTGAGATACCTGCTTAGCATTTTTGGAGGCAGTCACTTGGGTCTCAGTACTGCTGTTTAATGGGTCACTTTTTTAAGTAGCCACAGAGACTTTATAAGGAGTTCACTCCCTAAAGGAGATCATGGGGTTTGCCTGCAGTGCTTTGAGTCAGCACCAGGGCTGTTATCAGCCTGTGTGAGAACCTGTGAGCATAGGAAGGTGATGAGGAAACAACAGCACAGGGAAAAGATATACACCTGGCTAAGAGGCTTTCTGCAGACTGTCCATTGGATTGTGTGCTGTTAAATTTAGCTGTAAGCATGAATTTTAGGAATCTTCCTAAAGATAGTGCAAGCAGCCTTTAGTCAATGCCTCAGTGGAAAAGGGCACTTACTTGCTTTCTTGTAATTTCCTAAACATTAGAAAATATCACTTTAGCAAATAACTCTGCAGTGCTTTGCCCCTAAATTGGTAAGTTAGGAGTTATCCTGGTTTTAAAGCCTGGTGTGAAACATTGTTTCTTGAATCAGATTAATAGAGCATATTAGCTGGTAAAAGACAGTGATCCGTCAGGATTTGCAACAGGACAGAAAATGCTCCTGTTAATGATCATTTGATTACAGATGTCATTTGATCTGTTCTGTCTTTAAATTTTTCCCTAGACTCTGTTGTGTCTAGCTAGTTAGACTTCTCCTAAGGGTCTTTATTAGTCACCAAGTGTCTTAGATGAACAAATATATTTTTTTAATTAAAGGCCATTATTCAATAACTGAATTCTTGAGATGAATCAAAGTACTGGGCTTGGTGGATGTACACAGATCCCATCTGGGGGCAGGAGGTAACAATTCCAACCTGAAGCAAGCAACTGGGTTGTGTTCATTTTATTAGTCAAAAAGTGTCTGGCAGCTGATGTCTGCATTTTGACAACGATACCCTCACATCAGGAGCACACTGTGTGAAGAAAAATGCTCTGCTATTCTCATGTGACCTGCAAGACCTCTGAGTGACAGACAATACTGTCCTGATTTTATTAAAACTTCCTGAAAAAGAACTCTGAGAGTCTGCTTTCACTTTTAGGGTGGTTTTGTGGTTTTCTTCCCTCTACCTGTGATTCTTTTTCTTCTGTCAAATTGAAGAAAATTGAAGTGCTTTGGTTCTGCTCTTAAGTCTTTGATACCTGATCTACTAAACTATTTGTTGGAAATAAAACCAATTTTTTTTCTTGATAGGTACAAAAGGTGCAGGCTTATGACATGCTCCTGGAAAACATGCAGATCTGTGTCCAGTACAGATTAAACATAGGGTTCCTCTTAAGTGTACTCAGTAATTCGGATTTCAAGAATCTGCCTCTTTTTTAAATGCTACAATTTCATTCAAGTGATTGAAATTTCAGAAAGAGACCAAGAGAAAACATTTATCCTGCAGCAGTCATGAGGTAGGAGCTGTTTAGACCATTTTGAGTGTGATATGCTGGACCACAGCTTAGTTTTATAAAATTACATTGATAAACTCTGTCCAAGTTCAAGGTACAATCAGTACAAACCAAAAAATAATACTGGAGTATCATGGGGTAATAAGAATAAACTTATGAAAAGAAAATGAATGGAAAATACATTTATAATATAGTAATATTTAATGAATGTACTTCTCTGTGTTTAAGACTCAAAGTCAGGCAGATAAGTAATAATAACAATAAATAATAACAAAAGTTTAAAGTAGGAACTCCTGGGTTCAGGGTGCACTCCAGAGGAGCAGTGTTCAGATTATTTGTCAATGCAGGAAACGTTTGTCCCTGTCAGCTGTCCTGGGAGATTAAAAGTTAACAAATCTGTGGAGGGCTGCTGAGTTCTTCCTGTGTTTGATGGCGGAAGAAATACAGGTATTTGACTTTCCATTCTTGACCCATGTCTCACCTGAGTGGATTGTTGCAGATGACTTTCCTGTTCAGGCCAGTCACAACTTGAATTTGGAAGTCGATACTATTTCAACTCTTACTTCTCTGTGTGTGAACTGCCCTGGATTTGAACCACTTTAGGCTCCCAAAATCCAAGGAATGGAGAGAGCTGACTGGTAATTCCAGGGTGAAATGGATAAATAATCTAGGAGAGAGGAGAATAAGGTTGCCTCGAAAATTAAGTAGGCTTTTTGGAAGGAGCCAGCCTCAAGGTGCACTCTCTCTCAATGTCCAGGAGTCCTTGTAACCCTTGACTTTGCCACAACTGCCCCAATAATCACTCATGATCTGGCCAACCCTGGTGGTAATTTTATCCTCAAACTTATGGAGATGTTCTCACTTCAGAATTTACCTGTGTTATCTATCTAATGCATATGGAGACTGCAAAAGGCTGGAGCCTTCAGGGAGCTCAAACATTGATTAACACTACTGGATTTCTTCTGGTTTCTCTAGTATTGCAGAGGTAAAGAGACCAGATAAAATGGGTAATCCTAGTATCCCATCAAGGTTACAGGAGAAACAAAATTGGCATTTATGCTAGCAGTTATATTCATTCACAACTAAAGATGTTTTCTGCGTACTTTGTACCAAATCCACCTGTGTTCCTGAGCCAAACCTCAGAGAAAAACATGCTAAGAAAACGTGTATTCTGGCTAATGGATAGCAAGATGGGAAAGAGTCTTGGGCTGAGGTATCTTTCAGAACTTCCCCTCCAGCAGAGTGGAAATGACATTTTTCCTTGATTTCCTGTCTTCTGTATAGAAGATATCGTTTTGATGGATGGTTGTGTTCACATTTATTTGTGAGTATTTGAAATGTTCAGATGACTTTGCCTGCCCTGGCAAAGTTCAGCTATGCAGAAATCAAACTGTAAGCAAGTTAACAAAAAAAAAAAAAAAAAAAAAGGAGAAGGAATTGATGTCATATGATGTCATAGACTAAATTCAGAGTGAAACTGTAATTGTCAGTGAGCTAAATACACAAATTTCCAATAAAACATACATTTTTAACTGTGCTTTTGTTCAAATTGCTGATAAAGGCAAATAGGATATATTTCATATTGTCAAAAGCTACACAATCTTACCTGATTCCTACTGTAGGTAACAGAGCATAATGTATGGGTTTCTCTGTCATATTATTAGGCAATGTGACATTTCATTAAGTTTTGCTCTCATAGGTATAATTTCTCCCAGCAAGTATTTCTGTCCTTTTCAGACAGACTATAATGCTTTGGAGCAAATCTGTTGTAGCTGGATTTCAGTTAACCTCAGCGTGGCCCACAAGTCCCTTTCACAATGGGAAGTCTCTCTCAGTCTCTATATGTTGCTCTAAAAGATTTCTTAATGTTTTGAAACAACCTGAAGCTTCTGAACATTATACCCAAGGAAAGAATAACCAGCTGCTCTTGCATCTCTTCTGAAGACAGAACAGTTGGTTGGTGGGACACAAAGGCATCAGGAACACTGGGTTGTTTTGATGGACACAATTAAGGATGCTTCCTATGTGCCTGGTGCCAAATCCACCTCTGTTCCTGGGACCAAGCCTCAGAGGACACTGCAGCATCTCTCTTCTGAGGAAAACAGAGAGCTGGGCCTGTTCAGCCTGGAGAAGTGATGACTGAGGGGGGACCTTATCCCTGTCTGTCAGTGTCTGCAGGGAGGGGTCAGAGGGACCTGGCTCTGCTTGGGTGCCAGCAATGGGACAAGAGGAACAGGCAGGAACTGATGCCCAGGAAGTTCCACCTGACTATTAGGAAGAACTTCTTTACTGTGAAGTGACTGAGCACTGGATTTTCCTTCCCTGGAGACATTCCAGAACTGTCTGGACACAATCCTGTGCCTGTGCTCTGGGATGGTCCTACCTGAACACGGGAAGTTGGACCAGATTACCTGCTATGGTGCCTTCCAACCTGACCCATTCTGTGATTCCATGATTCTGTGATTCTCAGTGTTGTAACTCTGGAAGTAGCCACCTTGGCATGGAGCTCCCGCATGGATAGGAAGCTGGAGGCGGCTCATCTCCTGTGTCTGGCCCCCCACACCACATCCTGTATGCTTTATTCATATTTATATTCATGTTCATATTTAAATGAGTATTTTAACAGTGCCATTTGCATGGTCACCTTGGCAGCGGGCAAAATGATAATCTTTAACTAGAAAACATATGTTAAATGATGTGGTGACATGAGTCCTTCAAATTAAAAATGAGGTCTTGTTGGCTTTGACAAGAAAATAAATGATGGATGTTGGAAAAGTAGAAGGAACATTTAGGAAGAGTGGGTGTGCTGGAGTATATAATTCAAATTTTTATTGATATTGAGTCCTGCAAATGATTACAAATTCTTTCTGATACTGAGGACCCTATAATCACTCCTTTAATATTGTTCTTAAATTCTTCTGTATATGAATGCTGATTTTCATTGTTTTAGGGTGGACAGTTGCTGGGGATTTTTTAATGAGAAAAATAATTAAAATAACTGATTCTGACACATCAGATAAATCTCAGTCACAGCTGAGGAAAACATAATGAAAACTTTTCTTTTTGATGGTTTAGATTTTTCATTAAGTCAGCAAAAAACTGCTATTAACAGATGCTGTTTCTGCACATCTTTCTATGAAGAAAAATAAAGGGAAGATTTTGTATTTGACCCTTCACATTATCAGGGACATTAAACTTTTTAAAATTATATTTTCCTTCTAAAAAGAAAATCAGTCTGGAAGAGAAGTAGAAATGAAGGAAGAAAAAGTCTGTCTCTCAGATATTTACATGACTCTTCTTGTACCCTCCCCCACTATATTACTAACAGCCTTAGAAATATTTATGATTCAGTGTCGGTTACATATGAAGGAAAAAGAGATAATTTTTATAAAATATGTGACTTACCTAAAGCAACACAGCAAGTCATCTGTTGGGTTAAGAAACAAGTCCAACCTCTGCCTTAACTCCAGTGCTTACTCCATCCTTTCTTCCTCTTTTTTCCCATGTTGGATTTTTTCCTTTTGAATTATCTGAGATCAAACCCATGAGGACACACAAGTCCAGCATCCATACAGGTGACCTTGTCTCAGGCTTGTACTCCAGCTCTTGTCTTCTGCTTGCCTTGCACCAGTGGAGTTCTCTGGTTCCTTTGAAGGGATATTTTTAACTTGCAGAGGAGTCTTGGTAAGCTCTGCCCTTTGATGCTAATGTCACCTTTACCTAGAAATTCCTGTTTTCCAGCTAAGAGATTGTGGATCTTTTCTATTCAACCGTGCACCAGAGTTCTCTTTTATTTTATTTCTTAATGCAAGAAACAGTGCAAGGGACCAGAGGAACATTGCTTTACCTCTCAGCCCATGTTTAAACTTGGCACTTCCCTTGGCTGCATCTCGGCACCATGACTTCCTTATCCCTCTGTAGCGGGAAGCCAAGTGGGATTGCAGGGTGTAGGAGATGCCACAATATGTGTAAGAACAGCTCTCAACTTTACAGCTATTTTCACAATTTGGGAGATACAGGATTGTTAAAGACAACTGGGGTTTCATTTCCAAATGGTGTCGTCTTCATTTCTAGCTTTTGTGTTTTGTGTACCCACGTTACATTGATTTACCAGGTTGGTAGTGAAAGGCTTTGGAAAATCAATAGCAGTCTTTGGTCGGCTCTCTAATATGTGCTCCTCTGTTGAACATGCAGGGCAAAAAAGGAGAACCAGGATTCCCAGGAATCAATGGTCTGATTGGCCCTCAGGTAAGTGATGACTTCTTATTATTATTTCTTATTATAATTTTCCTGTAATATGTGTAAAACCAGAGTTGGTGGAAACAGAAGACATGGAACCACACAATGCAGCATGTGTGATCTTCCTCTTTATACTGTATTTGAAGTTCATGTTTCCCCTTTTAAGATGTAAATAATTTATCTTGTTGAGATTGAGAGATGTCTGTTTGTCTGACAGCAATTTCATTTACCTTCCAGAGTTTTTCAGCATCTTAGAACCAGCACAGCTGTGTTGTATGGCATTTCCCCATTGCCTGTGCTTAAAGCTGCCTCATCCCAGAGGAGAATCCTTGATTTGTGTTTAGTGAGGAAGGGGGATTTCTTAAGTTAATGACCCCTTAACTCCTTTTTTTAAAAGCTTTTGGCAAATTAGAGCTGCAAATTGCACCATAGCATCATGAGGGCAACACAGAGGGGTTTATGTTAAGAATTGCCAAGAGGATTCAGCTCCACCATGGATCAGCCTGTTTGGCCCTAATAACACTGACACCTCTGACATAGTTCCTTGTTAACTTTGGAGACAAATTCAGCAGACCTAAATCACTTTGTAGGGTCACCCCGGCAATAAGAAAAATATCCACAGGAATGTCCTAAAGCAGGAAAGGTGCAATCTCACACTGAGCTGACTGCTCAGAACAAAACAGCATTTCATTTGTTCCCTTTCAAGAGTAAATTAACAAACTGGACTTTGGCTTTAGGATTGCATTTCAATAATTGCTAAAGGGAAGAATGATGAGCTTCCATTGCTACAGCTGTTGGTGATGTACTGCAACTTCTGTAGTGGCGTGGGATTTAGATGGTGGTTGCTGCTACCTATACTTATTCCCCAATAAGCATCTCCTGTGGAAAAGCCACTTGGGTAAGCACTCAGGGAAAGCAGTCAAGTCCACACACACCACTCATCATGGATAGCTCAGCAAAGAAAGGCAGAAGGGCCTTTTATATGGCCAGTTCTAGTGGGGTTTATTTTAGCACACTGAAGGAAAACCAGAGACAAAAGACCAGACCACGTGCTCTGCACAAGGGTAAGAAGGGGAGGGCATGGGGGCGGTACAAAGGGCAGGGCAAAGGGCATTGGCTTTGGGGAAAATGGGGCTGGCCACCAAGGATACCACAACCAATGAGGGAACAGGGAAAGGAGAGACCAGGGGAGGTTGGGACATGTGGGGAAAGGAACCGGTATGAGTCTGTGTTAAGTGGAAGTCTGTGAGGAAGTCTTTTCTGTCTGCCCAGGTGGGGTAAACTCCGTGGTGTCTCCAAAGGAGGGCTCTGGGGATTTCCCTGAGGGGGGAGGAATCACGCTGCTAGACAGCAGATTCTGATTGCTTATTTATTTGCTCTGGCAATTTATGCCCTTGAAAGCAGGAGGAATGATCTAGATGTGGTTTGTGTGACAGGAGTTTTGTAAAGAGCTGATCACCTTTCCAATACCTTGAGGCCCCATGCAGATGAAATCCCTTGTGTGCAGCAGGAAACCGTGCCCAGCAAAAAACCATTTGATACTGGTTTTCATACTTTAAGTCTTTTTACTTTTGGTACAGTATCTAATCTGCAAGTATTTCAGCAGCAGCCTGCAAGAATGAAGACAGTGTTTCTAATGGATTTAAAAGATTTTAGAATCATAGGATATTCTGAGTTTTAAGGAGCTCAGAAGGATCATCAAATCCAACTTGTGAGCCTTCACAGGACTCCCCAAGAATCCCTTCCTATTCCTAGAGCATACAAGAACGCTTCTTGAATTATTGAATTGTTGAGTTGAACACCCTGCTTTTGTTGTGTGATTTTTCTTAGCTTGGTTGATGGTTGGGGGTTTATTTAAGTTTAGTTTAGTTTTGTTTTTTTCTTATTTTCCTTCATTTTGGAGGAATATTTTTTATCCATGTATTATTTTTAAAATACCTGACAGTATCCATCCAAACAATGTCACTCTTCCCTGCAAATTAAAGATATATATGCATGTGTTAGCAATTTTATAAATGTATCTGTGAAAATTGCTGACATAGGATTAAGTAATTTTCCTTTTTGCACACACTAAATAATGTTAGCAAATTTTATGTTAATTAAAACTGCACAAAATGCTTCCCGCATCAGGGGATACTTAAATTGACTCTTCCTCCAAGCTAACTGCATGAAAGGTAAAATATTGTTCCTATTCCTGCAGTGGCACTCTGTTCTAGACATATTGCTGCAGATTTCAATGTTTCTCCTTAATGAAAATGCTTACATTCACTTTGTGACAAAACTATTCAGCTTAACAGCACTTTTTGTGACATTAGATTTTTAAAACACTTTATCAGCATTTTCTCTCCTTTTTTTTTTTTTTTTCTTAATTAGACTATGTCCCAAAAATGCCCAGGAAGAAAAGTGGTTTTCGTATACTGTAGTTACATGGATATTCATTCAAATTATGCATGGAAGCCTGTGTCAGCTCTTCCTGTGCTGTCCTGGTGGTGTTGTGGGACAACTGATTTGAGTTGGCTGCACATAAACTAATTAGAACACAAAAATAGTCTCCCTTTCCACTGCAATTTTAAATTTATGTTTTCTGACCTGATTCCCCACATTGATACCTGTATGGACAGGAGGAAGGTGTTGATGTAGGAGCTTTAGGAGGCTCATTGTTGCTGAAGGACTCAGGAAAGATCTTCTGAAGTTATTAGTGGGCTTTGCCAAGGAAAATCATTGCTGATGTGCTCAGTCGTACTGAGAAGCCACAGATCAGGAAGCTGTGCAAGGGAACTGATTTAAGGGCTGCTCTTGTGGGTCCCTTCCAGTTCAGGTTATTCTGTGATTCCATGATCCAGTGATGAACTGGAGGTGAGATGAGTCAGTCCAAGTCTCAAGGATCATTTGAGAGATTATTTGTCAGACCCTGAAGCAGCATCTAGGAGGCAACTTCCCTGCTAGACTGGGGATGTTTTGTGGTAGTAGAGTAGCTTTGTCTCTCATGGCACACACCAACTCAAAATTATAATTGTAAGCCAAATTTTATAATTATCAACCAAATGATAATATAAAAATATTTTTAAATATTTATTTTTCCTTCCAGATCAGCTGTGGTGGTGAACCTGTCCATCTGCTTATTTGTTTCATGTTGTCTGATCAGCACCTTTAAAAATGAGCATTTATTTTCCAGTCATTTTTATAAATGATGCATCTTGCAACATCATTAAAGCATGGAATAGAAATTCTGGATATTTTTTCCTGTCTGGACTTGAGCAATTTTCTGGCAGCAAGGACACAGACACCTGAACTTAATAATGTGTTTGTGTTGTTATTATTTATTTGTACTATTTTAGTGCCCAGGAACCTTAATCATAGACCCAACTTTTATTGCAGTAGGATGTTCAAATGCAGACTGAAAAATGAGCATTTCTGTAAAGAACTTTAGGCTGAAATAATTGTCTCAGGCACTCTGAGCTGTATCACTGAGTTACCAGGGCTGGGGTTTGGCTCCAAATTCAAGCAGTTTTTGGGTTGAGAATGGGGATACAGATGCCTCCTCCTGTTGATGAAGACCCAGTTAATATCATCAGTGGATCCTGAAGCTCTCTTAAAACAGGCACCTACAGTGGCCACTGAGCCACTGTTGAGGCTCCCTGAGATGAGTGGGTACTTGCTGGCCACCTGGGAGACATCAAAACACATTAAAAATCTTTGAGATTTAAATAAAAATGCCATAGCTCTGCCTTGCAATACCTCTGGGCTGTTACTGAAGCTTGCCTTGTGCTGGATAACCTGGTGGTGTAAGTCAGACCTGAGAGGGAGATCAGTACAAGCTGTACCTGTTACGGTCCTGGCTGGCAGTGATTTCATTAGTATAGACTTGTCTGTAGGGTGTGAGCTCAAGCCCAGCTTTTCTTAAGTAATTCAGGAAATAAATGGTCTCCTCTGAAACACACAGTGTCCTTAATGTCCTTTTTATAATGCAAGTTAATACTGCAAAAGGTAAAAAAAGGATGTGGGCCCCAGCTGCAAAGCTCAGATTGAATTCAAACTTTGCCAGTGCTGCTTGGAATTGGAAGATATTGCTCAGAGCAATCTTTAATAAGATCTATACCTTTAAAAAATAAATTAAAAAAGTCTTCACCTGTGAAGATTGCTAATAGTGCTGAAACAAAAGACATTAAAGGAGATTTTTTAGTTGTTTTTTCTCATTTGCTGCACTGACTCAGTAAACCAACTCCAAGCAAACACATGGGGAAATAAATCTTCCTCTTTAGACAAAAGAGATCATGTCCATAGCTTACACTAAGTGATTAAATTAAACAAACACTGCCTTTCACTGGAAGCAGGAAACTCTCCTAGAAAGACTGCTATGTATAAAGTCAACTTTATTCCATACTTTTAAAGAGCTGCAAAGACAGTTTGGAGAATTTTTTGTTGACAGAACTTTCATTTTAAATTTAATGTTGGTACTCCAGTTCCAATGCCACTTGATGAAGTGACTGGAGACTGGATCCGTGTATGAATTATGGCGCTGTCACTGGTGCTGACTACAGGACATGTATTGTAGACAAATGCTCACATCTGTTGGCTCTTCAGGCTTTTGATTTTTAGTGTCATCAGCAGCAGCTATTTTTTATAAGTTCTCTTACCTTTGTATTGATTTGTAAGGCAGGATTTAAGCAGAGAGAGAAACATGATGCTCTTATGCAGCATTACAGAAAATATCTCAGTAATAATTTCCATTTCAGATTGGATATAAGGAAAATTTTCTTCAATAAAAGGATGGTCAAGCGTTGGATCAGGCTGCTCATGGAAATGGTAAAATCACTGTCCCTGGAGCTATTTAAAAGAAGTGGCACTTAGAAATGTGGTTTGGCAGTGGCTGTGGCAGCCCTGAGTTGATGGTTGGACTCAAGGGTCTTAAAGGTCTTTTTCAACCACAATGATTCGCTGATTGTATAATTCCAATTCACAGCAGAAGTGGCTGGGGTGAGAAATGAAAAGCAGATTTGAGGAGCTGAACCTGGAGTTCACTCAGATGCTGTGGAGGAGAAGTGGAGCTCTGGAGTAGCAAAGGACATAGTGAGACACATGGGCTGCTCCACAAAACTGGCTGCAACAGCTTCACTTTTGATGAGAAAGGAATGTAAATAAAGGAAAGACAGCACAAAGGCAACAGGGAGGGTCTGTGGGGTCTTTCTGAGAGGTGAAATTGTGGGGAATGTCTTTGGAGACAGGAACAGAAAGTGGAAGGGGAAAGTCTGTCAGTGCCTCAGTTACTCATTTTGCTCTCATTTTAGCAGCAGACATGCACAGAATGCTCCTGTGTGTCCCTTCTTGTTTGTGAAGTGCTACACTGCATTAACAGCCCAGACCAGAAACTGTTTCAATATGGTTAAGGGCTCGTCTAAATCTTTGTCATAGGTAAGAGAATCCAGACAACAGCATGGAATAAAGCACAGATAATATGTCTGTTTAGGCTTTGCCTTCAGGTGTCTGGGAAAGCCATCAGACTTCAGTTTTCATTGTTGAATGTCATTTGTTCACCTCCCTTTAAGACTTAATAATCCCTTCCTTCATGGAAAAGAGATTTAGGCCCAGCTGCCTACTGATGGAGTCACAGACAAAAGTTTCTGTTCCTTCTCAGAGCCTCCTTAGGGAGTCCACAACCTAAATCTTAAAATCCTTGCCTTTCCCAGCCCATCTTCCAGCAAGGTACAACTGGAAGAGGAGAGCACCAGAGAGTGGATTGTGGAGGACATATACAGCTGTGTCTCCAGTATGAACAGTGTCAGATTTCTCTCCTGAGCACTGTCACTGCATTACATTGTCTAAGGAATGAGGCTGGATGAAACACAAGCCTGAAAAAAACCCTCCACAAAGATTTTAAATATATCCTATCCCAAAACACAGATGCCTCTACACAATATTTAGATTTTAGATTTTAATGAACATTTGAAATATTTTTGTTTCAGAACAGCAGTTTGAAAATATTCTGGTCTAAACATTTTATTAAAAAATTCCATGTTTTGTATTTGTTTTCCAAAGTGAGTTTGTGTTGATCTGTTCTAAAATCAAGTTTTCATGTATCACTTCTTGCTTCAACACTTACAAACCACATGTCAGAGTGTTTACCAAACAGGAAAAAAATACACCCTGTGATTCTTTTCTTCTGGTTCAGGGTTTTAACAGGACAACACTGTGCTCTGGATTGGAATAGGGACTCTCATCTGTAGAATTCATCAAATAATCTTTGAAAAAGGTAGTTGTGTAAATCAGGTGCTTTAATCTGGATTCACTTAAAAATGGAAGCAAAGAAAACAGATGGTGTGAGATTTTTTGGGGTAAACATTTCACAGTCCTGCTGCTGTAGTTTTATCGTGTTGGGTTTTTTAAAGCATAAATAGATTCTTTCTGTCACTTTGGTGAATTCTAATATTTAAAAAAAAATATTACTTCCTCTGGATTATATTCAGAAATCAGGAGAAGGGCTACAATGTGAGATGTTGATACACAAGTGAAACAGAAATTCTCTGCACAGTAGCAAAAGGGAATGCTCTATAAAGGATATTTGTGATGTATTTCTGCCATTTTATTTCACTTTGTCCCATCACTTGCTGTATCCCAGGCTGCAGAAAGAAGAAAGCCAGTAGGACAGTCAGTGACTGCTGTGTGCAGTCAGCTGGAGCAGGCTGCCAGCCAGCACCCTGTGCATCTCCAAGGGATAATGCTGGCCATTCCATAAAACTGTTCTTTCTGTGTCCACCTCTGAGAAGATTTCATCAGAAGAGTTTCCCATTAGTGGGTGGAGCATTTGTTGGTGCAACACATGGTGAGGCTACCTGTAAGCCAGTTTGGGCATGATATCCTGAGTAATTATCTCTTGAGGGACAATGAAATTGAATTATTAGTGGCTATTTAGGAAAATAATCAGATCAGTGGGATTCAATTTCAGGACTTATGGTTGCATAAGGTTATTGTGGTCTATCGTATGGAAAGTTCTAGAGAGTAATTAGAAATTGTCTTGGATAGTGAGAATACCAAGAGTTACTGGGAGAAGGAGCTGGGATGAGGAGGATGTAGCAGTTCACATTTTAGGGATTATGCTGGTTGTTGGCAGATGCCGGAGTAAGACTTAGCTTTTAGATCAGATTGACCCTGCCAATTCACTGCGTGGGGTAACACAACATGCCTGGGATTGCTTGGGCTGAGGCTGGGTCCTGGCTGGGGTTTTTCACCTCCTGATAGAAATTCCCTGGTGTAGGGCTGGGAAGGAAGTTGTTTCCTGGTGAGAGACAGTTCACTTACTGACAGAGAACAAAATTAAATTATTAGGAAGGAACTGTTGGAATTGTCAACAAAAGTCTGTGAATTTACACATAGTCCAATCTGAATTAGTTTGTAGTTTTTGTAAAGTCTTACCTTTTTTCCCAGTGCTCCCCCCATTCCTCATGGAAGCCCTCTCTTGGAGCCCACACCTTCTGCAGGGCCTCCCAGCAGTGCTTTGTGGAGGTGGAGCAGGGCCAAGCAGAATTTCCATGTCCTTGGTGTGTGTTTGCTCCATCCAACTGTGGCTGCACACAGTTGCGTCTGTGTGTAGTGTATTCTCTTGTGCTGGGCTTTTTTAGTCTGTTGAGTCTTTTCCTTGAATGGTGAAGCCTTTTTAAGTGAAGGAAAGTCTTCACCAGGTGTTTCCTGATGGGTATGGAATTTTTAACTGCAGGATCGAACTGCAGGACTCCCCAGGAATTAAATCATCAGCATCAGTGCGTCTGAAGACACTCTATAAGTGAGAGTGTTGTTGAAAGGATAACTCCATTTCTCTTCTGAGTTTCTCTGAGGCAAATGCAGCTGCAGTTTCCTTTTCTGGTCTCTTTGCCCCATCTATTGGTGAGAAGAGACTGTCTTAGCTCCTGGCTGAAGTTTGTGAATGTATTTTGTAAGATCACTTATTTGCCATCTCTGCTAAACCATGCCTCAAATAGGTCCTTCTCTTCACTTTTTTTACACCATTGTCTTCTCATCATCTACATTTTTCATTAAAAATAAATGCTAATAATGATCTATGGCTTGTAATATCTTAATATTAAAAGATCACAGAGAAAATGCTCTCTGGCCAATTTCTGTCTTGTATCAGTTGCTCAGTTTAAAATCTCTATAAGAGTTTTAGGTGGGGTGGTTTGTTGTTTTTTAAGCAGAATTACACAAGAACTCCCCTAATGCTGAAAACTGAAAATTAGTGAGATTGTCATGTTAGAAAGACAGAAAGAGGCATCCAGGGTCAGATTTCAGCTCACATACCCATTTCTCACACTGTTTGCTTAGGTCCTGATTCAAAAAATGCATGAACACATTTCATTCTGAGTATAGGAGAGAGAAATCCTGTCTTGTCTACAGGGGAAGCTGGGAATAACAAACACTTCTGTATCTCAAGCAACATACTAAGATTTGTCAAGGCTGGAAACAAATCTCTCATAGGAAGCTAAATTTAACAGTTTGTTTGATGCATAAAAATAGATCCCTCTTTAAACCAGGTGTCTATTGAGAGAATGTTTCTCCTAAGAGAAACAGCTGTTGCAGGGAAATGAGTAAGAATGTTAAGATATTTCCAACTGAATGTGTTAATCAAACTATGATTTTGTGAGGATCTTTTACTACCTACGAGGTTGATATCAAGCAACAAAATGGCGGCAAATTTTGTTTAAGACACTTGAATCATTGCAGCATTTCTCCATACTCTTGGATTAATATTTTTAACCCCACCCTCCCAAAAAAAAGCAAGCTCGAACCACAAACCTGTTCATTCATTAGTTGCTTTCAGCAATTTTTTTTTTTTTGGAGGTAAATTATTCACTTTGAACCAACATGAATCAAGGTTAACTTTGTTTGGGTGCTCCAAGGAATCCCACTGGTCAAGCTTTGTGTTGTGGGTTACCCCTGATGGCCTTCCACTCCTCCATCTCTTGTACTGGAGTGGAGGATGGAGCTCCCCTTGTAGCAAGGGCAGCAGTGGCTTAAGCAGAAGAAAATGTTCAGCCTGTGTTCATGGCTCCTTGCTTTGGCATCTTGCTATTTTTAGGTAGGAGTTAAGAAAATAAAGCTCAGTGCTTTTGCCTGTTTCCTACAGGGCCCCTATTACATAGGGGAGGACCTGAGGCTTTCAGCTCCTACCAGAAAATTTGATAAATTTGCTTTGTTTCCTCTCTTGCAGGGACCTCCAGGGCCCCCAGGCACTGCTGGACCCCCGGGACCACCTGGGCCACCGGTAAGAAACCCTGGGGGGTTTTGTTTTATATCAAGGAGAAATAAAAACAGATGGAGAAAATTTTGGGTCATGGTTTTCAGAGGGAACAGAGTTAAGGCCTCTGGAAATGTGGGCTTTCTCTTATATTTTCTCTGCTAAAAGCCACAGCTGGTTCTAGAGCACAGCTTCTCCCCGCTAGGCCTTGGAACCACATTGGTGCTTCCTGGGGATAAATCAGGGTCTCCAGGGTGCCCCACAGCAGTGACCTGGCTGCAGTGGAAGGGAAAAATGTACTTGAAGTGAAAGCAGCAATCTGCAGTGAGATTCCTGCAGAGAATAGAAATACTGATTTATTTTTTTATCCTGATTTCATTTCTCAGGGACTGCCAGGAGAGATTGGAGTTTCTGGTAAAACTGGACCACCTGGACCACCTGTAAGTGTTGAGGAACTGTTTCCCTCACCTCAAATTTCTTAATTACTTCACATAATTTAATTCTGAAGTCTGCTTTGTTTCCCACTTCTTTTTTGCACATCGGGTTTTAATATGGGCTCCAGTACTGTCAATTTTAATGCAGAAATAATTCTCAGATACCTTTTGTGAATAAGAATTTTACCAGGTGCAGCTCCACTATTCCTATGCAATTGGATCATGGTAATTTCTTTATGTGATACCTTTTATAATTCCTTTTGCATTTGACACAATATTGTTTCTCTAAACCTGGAATTTCCTGAATAAGGCCAAATTACTCATGATTAAAATCTCAGATTTAGCAGACTGTAGCAATTTCTGTTGTTCTTAAGTCACAAAAACTGAATAATTAAATACTTAGTACAGAATTGCCACCTACAGTCTGCAGTGTGTGTGGATTGACTGACACTTGGAAAAGGGAAGATTTTTTTTTTTGCCATTTTAAATGCATGACAGGAAGTAATTTTAATTCTTATCTTGCTGAACCACTCTGTCACTTTGTGCTATATAATTTAATTTTAGGGGTCTATTTACTGTATAAGAAATTACCAAGATTTAAAAGGAGAAACGGATGTAAAGGAAAATATATGTATATAGCTACAGGTAATACGGACTTATAGAGAATAAACTAAAATTTAAGTAAGGTACATAAAAAAATTTAAAGATTCTCAGTACCTAAAAGCTCTATACTGGAGTTTCTCTGTAACAATGCTGACATCCAGTGGTCATTCACTAAAACTGGGATACTGGAAGAAAAGGCAGAGCAAATATGTACAATGTGAGAATTTTTGTGTCTTTTGAGAAAAAGTAGGAAAAAAAGTCAAAACCCAAAATGCATGAGGGGGTTTTTCTTTTCTTAAACTTATGTGGGTGGCAGGAGAGATGAGCTGAGCATGTTTATGCTGAGTTTGCTGGTAACCATTTAAAGAAGTGGCACTTATAGCTTATGTTTTCCTTTTGTTTAGGGGCTGCCTGGCAAAGATGGACTCAATGGGCTTCCTGGGCTTCCGGGTCAAAAGGCAAGTGGTACCACAGACACTGGGATTAAGCTCCTTACCCAGGCAGATCAGAGGGGTGAGCAAGCAAGGGAGGCAGGAAAAACACAGCTGGGCATTGCAAACAATCAGTCAGGAAATCCACTGACTCTGGCAAGTCAAGGCACACCTCCAAGGCACAAAGAAGAAGAGCAAAGAAGGGTAGAAGGCTCCAAAGATGTTCCTTTCTTTCCTCCCTGAAGGGCTGAAAAGAAGAGATGCCATTCCCCTGAACCTTCTCTAGGTCTGTGTGGCAGAAACTTGGTTCTTTATTACTTCCTACTTCTTCTGCCCCATTTGAAATCTTTTCCAAATTGTGGCTTGCAAGGGGAGTTGTCTCCTCCATTGTCTATGCACTGGGAGAAGGGAGATAGTAAATGTAGAGATAGGAGACACTTCTCATCCCCCTGCAAATAAGGGACAAAGAAATGTGCCATGTTTTGACTATCAAGGCCAAACTAGGTTTTGCGGGTGATGATTATAGTAAAGAAAACAGCTCTTAACTATCTGTTGCCTTGGATTGCCTTGGCAGAGGTTTTCTTGCTTCTGATACTTGATCTCAGGTCTAGCGGAATCCCCAGCTCCCATTTATTGTTGAATAAAGGTGAGGAATTTGCAGCCCATAATATGTTTCTGATGTTAAACAAACTTTGGATTTTATCCACACATCTGTGTAGCACTTACTGCATTTCCCAGCTGTGTAGTCACATTTCAACCACTGCAGCATCTGCTGTCCATGCTGATGCCACCCACATTGGAAGATCAGTTTTAAAGTATTTATACAATGGATCCAGTGACCAAGGCCCCAGTCCCAAAATTTTATGGTTTTTTTAGAACACTTTCTAACTTTCTAACCACATACAGTTTGAAGAAACTGAATGGAAGTGGTTTTTTTTCCCAGATAATTCACTATGGACATCTTTAATGCAACAGTGATTGTGGTTTTCCAGAAATTCTCCAGTAGGATGCTGCAGATGTGATTGCAAATGGCCCTGGAATGGAAAAATATTCCAGGAAGCATATTCTCATATGGCTCCATTTACACCCTCAAGGTGATCTTGAGGAACTGAGTTGAAATATTCCTCACCGTTGGTTGCAAATGTGCTGCACAAACACCAGAGGAGTTTGTGAATTGACCTCTTGTGTTCCCTGCAGGGAGAACGAGGGGAAAAGGGTGAGGAAGGCTTTCCTGGAAAAGCTGGCTCTAAGGTAAGGGACTGTATTTCATAATCTGCTGAGTATCCACTGAGTCAACCAAGGTGTGATTTTGGAAGATTTTATACTGAAGTCAGGAGAAGAGGATTCCTCTGAAGTTGGAGACATAGGAGGATGAGCAGATGGGGTTCACTGACTTTAATGATGTTCCAAAATACCAACACTTGTTTGGTGCTCCTCTCTCAAGCCTGTGTGCAGGGAGATCTAACCTGGACCTTGCATTGGCTCCCTGCAGGCTGTGTTCCCAAGCCATCAAAAAAGCAATTTCAGAGCCTTGTGGGGTGTAGGTAGAACAACATGGACCAGTAGGGACCACATTTTGCTAATGAGGAAGTGTTCTCACCAAAGGGTCAAGTCCTTGCAATGTTACAGATTTGATTTTGTTTTTCCAGGGTGAACCAGGGAGCCGTGGCCAACCTGGTGAGCAGGTGAGCAGAAAAACAATCTTAACAGCAAACTTGACCTGTCAAAACAATAGCAAGCAACCACATGAGATAAAAAAGCCATTTGCCAATGACAAGATCTGTGCATGTCACTTGCATCTGTGATTGAATGTGCAACAGTTGCAACGGTGAGGCTTATGGTTGATTTTAGAAGGCTTTTCCAACCTTTTAATGAGTCTATGATTGGTGGAATAAGACTACAAGTCCAAGGCACAAATTGAGGTTTATTGGGATAAGGCACTCAATAACTATTACCCCACCCCGTGAGTCTGGACTGTACTGCTGCTATTCCAAAAGTCCTTGTAATCTGCCTGATAGGTATCACTCAGTTCCCAGGAAAGTATCCTTACCTGGTGTCCCAGGTAAGGGGAAATCACCACAGCATGGGCAAATGATTCCTCAGGAGTGTTTTCATCAGGCTCCAAGGGAGGAGTGGTTTCTGTGCCCTTCCTTGGTGTCATTTCACTGGGCAAGCAAACTATCAGGCTTGAAGTTTCCAGGCAGGCCAAGTGCAAGTGCAAGTCCAAGTGCAACAAGGGGCCAGACCCCAGCCTGATCACTGTCCCTTGGTCTGAATCATTTCCCCGCACAGGGCTGTTTTAAATGCTCACACCACTTCCAAGACACTTGTCCCTCTCTCCACAATGTCACGTTCTCTGTTTCATAAATATTCTCTTTCCTGTCTTAAATTGAATAGTGCTGTCCCTGAGAGGACTTCACTTCATACATCCTCTGAATTTCTACAGTAATTTGCTAATAGCATGTATATGAATGCTGTTTCTTCATCCGTTGTACACCACCCTCCAGGTACCATTCTACACTACATTTCTGTGGTTACAGATCAGAACATCATTTTGGCTTATGTCAGATATTTTACTAAAGTCAAAATACATCAGGAAAATGCTTTCTTTATGTCTGCTTAGTTTTCATGTCTAAGGAGGGAACTGGATGAGTTTGATATGATTAGTTTTTAACAAATCCACACTGGCTGTTTTGTATTATATTTCTGTCCTTGAACTCATACAAACTCAATGATATTTTGCTTCAGGGCCTTTTCAGAGGCCAAATTTAAACTGTGTTTTTATTTTCCCTCTAAATTATCCTCTGTGTCTTTCAATGTTAGATACTTTGATTACTCTCTGAATCTCTGGAATGGCTGGGATCTCATTGTCATTTCCATTCCTGGAAGTGTCCAATGCCAGATTGGAGCAACCTGGGATAGTGGACGATGCCCCTGCCCATGGCAGGCGGCTGGAATTAGATGATCTTTAGGTTCCCTTCCAACCCAAACTATTCCATGACAGCCAGGATCCCACAGTAGCTCTACGAAAACATCACTCCATCTGCCACCAAATGCCACTTTCTTTAAAATTCTCCCTACATCACCTGGATGTTCTTAGTCATCCTTAGTTACTACAGTATCTTGTTCCTCACCTGATTTTATCTACAGACCCATTGCACCTCTACCATGATAATCTCTTGTTCTCCCTATACTTAAGATAATCTCTTTAGAGCAGGAATTACCTTTTCTTAGTTCAGTATTTATACAAGACTTTGTGAATTTGGGTCTTATCCATGACTGATCTACTTTGTGATATTGCACTATAAATTCAGATAGAAAATAATTATAAATAGGAAACCACATGGTTATTTTCAGATTACAAACTGGGTCAACTGGGAGCTAAATTTGAGAGTACTTGATATATTTAGGAGAAACCACATGACACAGAGATCATAGTTACTCCAATAACAAGTATTGTAAAGCAGAAACTCAATGTTCAACAGAAGTAAATCCCAATGTGCAATAGTGCACTGAGATAATTCTATATCTGTTCATCAGATGACATCTGTACTGTTCAGATTAATACACTGCAGTTTTTGCATTTCCAGACTACACCGGATCATTATGAGGAAAATAAAAGTCATATTATATTTCTTTTTCTGCTTTCATTTGCTTCCTTGGTCCTGCTACAGAGCAGCATGAAGGAAATACATCCTAAATTTTGTGGCATCAGTTGACAGGCAAAAACCAGAGTAGTTTTACTTGCTGCTTTAAGTAATGGTTTAAAAAACTAAGAAATTGTTTGATAATCAAACTAATCTTATTCTCTCTCAGCAAACTACATCTACAGTAAGTCTCATGAGAAAAATCAGGCAGAGTCTATCTTATAGCATTCAGTTTTCATACACTTTGTCTTATTTTCAGGGTGAAGCAGGTTTTCCTGGTCCTAGGGGCTTACCTGGACTGAAAGGAGAAAAAGGAGACCGGGTGAGTGGCTTGGAGCCACAAATTGTTCTTTTGGCCATTTAACATCAGGAGGACTTACCTGAGTGTCCCTAGATGATGTTGTCCCTTGGTGTGATGGCTGTGGTAAGCAGCTGGTTAGAAACCACAAGGTTACCAAGTACCCAAAAAAGGTGTTCCCTGCCTAGTGACTGTTCCCAATTAACACAGAGGTGCTAATGAACACCTCTGTGTTAATTGGGAAGAGTATCTATCCCAAATGGGAAGAGTTGTGCCATGCTGCTCGTGAAGCAGTAAGAAAGGTTAGAACTCTAGAGGTCAGATTGCACTTTAGGACTCCCTTTCAGAATTACTTGCCTGATTTAGGGACATTTAAAATTCTTGATAACAACAAAAAATTACTAATCTATCTTGTCACTGAGCCCTGGAAAAGGCTTCAGATGGCTGAATTATTTTCTGATGGCTTAACTTCTACCTAAGTCCTGGTGTCTACTGCTTCCTCTGGGTAGCTACAGAACTCTGGAGACATCTTCATGCCAGGAAATATTTGGGTCAATGTCCTGACAGTAAATTTAGCCACATGAGTGAGGTTTATAACCTTGATTACTGATGACATGCTTGAATGTGATCAAGAAGGATCTAAAATCATCTGAGGTTTTTCCATGCAGTTTGCTCCATTTTATGCCTTATAGAGCAGAGGATACAGAATATATTAATGGCAAAGGTTTGAAACTAAATGGTCTTTAAGGTACCTTCCAACCCAAACCAAAAACATAATAGAAATATTCATTCTGGGTCTTAACTGCTCTTTTGCTGCCTCTTTTCAAATTGGAAAAAAACCCTCTGGTTTTTATAACTACATCAGGCAGTAGGATCTTCTACAAGCAAGTTATTTTAGGATTGGTGCTTTCCTTTCTGTGAGGTCAATTGACAATTATTTATTTTGAAAATATTGTGGATTTGTGAAGCCATCTTCAAAATGTTACTTTTTTAATTGCTTGCTCTACATCTTGGAAGATAGACAACTGAGAGTGTAAAATGTTTTAGTGAGGCTGATGCATTAAAATCAAAATGCACATTTTTCTTGCTTTCCTTTCCCTGCTTATAGGGAGAAAAAGGAAGAGATGGTCTCCCAGCAATGAAAGGTGAAAGAGGAGAAAAAGTAAGTCATGAAATGACCCTGATCTTCCTTAGACAGGAGAAGAAAACAGACAAAGGGGCAGAGACAAGTGATAGAGGAGGCTGAGGAAGACTAGAAAATTTGGAAGACTTTTAGCTGAACTTTACAGAGAAGCAGCAGAAATAGCTATGTGTTGGATGGAGAAAATAATTTACTGAGCAATTAAATCTGATGAAATAAAGGACAATTTCATTAATTCAAGGAAAACCTTTTTTTTTAATTTGGTTAAAATTTTCTCTTTTTTCAGTTTTATAATTGGCTGATATAAATAAGCCTAGAACTAAAATCAAAAATGTTTTCTGTGCCTGACTGTAGGGGATAGAACAATAACTAAAAGAATAGTTTGGGCTTCTGCTATCACAACCCCATTGATTTTAGTGAAAGTAAGAGAAGTAAACAAAGGTAATGTCCACCAAAATTTACATTAAACCCTTGTGAACATGAAGGTGAAGAAGAAACATTGACCTTGCAGATGCTTGTGAGGGTATAGTGGAAAAACTGCCCTCATGACAGAGGCAGTGGAATTCAGGATGTGGGTTCTTCCATCAGTCCTCAGTTTGTCAGTGACTTTCACCACCTGTGGAGGTGGGAATTCTTTCATGGGTGATCCACTGACATCAATAAGGCACCTAAACCTCCTTTACCTGGGAGGTTAACAAGTTTTGTTGGTAGTTCTTGGCTTTCAAATGCCAGGGGACTGATGTTTGTGGAGCAAAGCCCACAGGAAGGTCAGTGCCAGGGCTCAGGAGATCCTCCAGCAACAGCATAGTTTTAACTCAAAATTAGGGGGAACTGGATTTAGCTACTTAAATATTTGATGAAAAACAGATTTTTTTTTTTTTTATCAATGAAAGAAGTTTAGCTAAAACATGTTGTTCAATCAAGACTTTTGGTCAACTTTAATTTAAAAAGCAAATTAAACTCCATATCCTAAACTGGATGGGGCAACTTTAGAAATTCATCAACCTGTGAATTCAGGTTGATGATAGAATCATAGAGAGATGAAGACAACAGAATGAGAATCCTGCATGCATCAAAGCAAGGACAGCAAAAATTCAGTCCAGAAGTGTTACAGAGCTGGGGGATTGGGTTGTGTCTCATCTGGTAATGCTGCATCTTCTAAATGATAATGTTAAATTTTATTTGGGAGTCTTTTTATGTAGTTAGTTACATTTTTTTTCTGCTCTCCAGGGTGACACAGGTTCCCCTGGACCCCCAGGCTTACCTGGAACAGTAAGTAAGATTGTGTTTGGTGCTGTAACATTATTCAAGGTGTCATTCCTCCACATAAATTCCTCAGAAACAATTTTCAAGTTTCTTCTCTGCAGAAACTTTGAGACCTATTTACTCTGAGATTATATCCTTTTGTTTCAGAGAAGCAATACCAAAGTTTATTTGGTCTTTTTATTTTTTTGGTGAAGTTGTACTTTCCTCTGTCTCTTCAAAAACAGACCGAGAATACATAAATTTATTGTTTTCAAAATTAAGATGCAAAGTTAGTTAGAAGAGCCTGAGTATAATTACAAGTTCACTGATGGTTAAATCAGCACCCACTGAATGTAAATCCACAAACCTCTGAGTTCCCTCTAAGAAAACCTGAGTAAGCAGCTTTAAATTAGCATCATCATTGCCACTAAAGGATTTATACCAGTCACAGATCCTCCAAGACATGGCACACATCCTCTCATCATCTCTGCTCACCACAGCTGGATACAGCTGCCTCATTCACAGATTATGGAGAAAATCTGAATCAGGGTCTGTTGGTTGGTGAAAATCGAGTGCCTAAAGACCTTGAAACAGCAGTGGAGTGCTGGAACCTGAAATGCAGGGAATTCTCAGAACTTTGGGGCTATATGCTCCATGTATGTATGATCTGAAACCTTGGAAAAGGCTTCCAAATTAGGTGATAGAAACAAGAATATGGATTTATAGTTTAAAGCAGAGACACGTTGAGTTAAGAAGAGGAAAGTTTAATATATAGAAAAAAATAAAAGTAGTTACAAGGGTAAACAAGAAGTTTAGAATACAGTACTGTAGGTTTTTGTGTCATAACGTGATTGGCCAAGAAAGCTTACGCTGTGGCATGAGTCCATGAGACAAAATATTTAAGGATTGGGTGAAAAACATAAATATCCTTGTTGGCGGTGTTTTATTGGTCAAAAAATCTTTAAAAGTTCTTGTAACTAGAGGTCTTGTGACCTTCTGAACCCTGTTATGAATATGTGAGCCAAACTCACCCTTCCTGCCCGTGTACAAGTTAAAAATAAATCGCATCATCTAAAAACTTAGAGGTCCTGTCTCTAACTCATTCAAAAATCCCCATAATGGAGAAGGTGATTTAATTTATTCTCTGCCATTAGCTGGGCCTCAGTCTATGCCAGATCACTTCATGGTGCTTTATGTAGAAAGACTCCAAGTATATCAGACAAGAATAACCCAGTCACAACACCAAAGGTGAATCTGTGTTGGTAAAGGCAGAAAAGGCAGCTCACAAACAAATAAAACATGGCTGGACATGGAAATGTGTGCCACTTCTCAAGCTTCCTGTGTTTGTAGGGAGAAATTATTTCTATTTGTCATGGTTTAGGAATGGTAGTCCCCAGTTTAGCACCCCTGACCCCACAAGACCCCAAAACCAGCCTCTGGTCACTCACTTCCCCTTCTCCCCTCTTCCACCCACATGTGCCCAGAGAGGAGAACTGGAGGTACAAAGGGCAGAGATTGAGGGTTGAGGTAAGAACAATTTATGGAAACAACAATAAGCTAAGCAAACAAACAATAGCAAAACAAACAATAACAAAAGTGGACAAAAGAGGGAGTGTGGAGCTTGACCTGACTGCAGCCATGCCACCCAAAATGCTCCCTCTGGTCAGGCCCAGTTTTATCCCACTGCTCCATCTGCCTTGCTTGCTCCAGCAGAAAGGAAAGTCCTTCCCTTCTCCAAAGTGAGAGAAAGAAGCCCTTTCCTCCACCCCTGGCAGTGGCCTAAGGTGGTATTGAATAACAATGCCTTGGCCGTGCTCCCTCCCACTGATCTAGGCTGGAACCAGGGCCTGTTTCAGTTGTTAAAAGTAGGTAGTGCTTTTGACAAGTCTTCATGTCATCAAGATCTGTTTTTTTCTTCAAAATTGTATCAGCTTTGAGAAAAGATACTGTCTCTTTCTTCGAAAATTTTATCATTTCTTTTTGTGGCTATTCCTTCAGAGTGACTGTGTATTCCCATTGAGATTTCATGTACGTGGTACAAAGCAGAGGGAGAACACACCAAGTTCATTCATGGTATCAGGGAATTTAATAATACAGAAGGTGGCTGTAAGTGGAAAAGTGAGCTGGAGATTGCTAGCAGTAAAATTGCTATAAAGTCTAAAGATTGATTGTTTTTTCATCATGGTAGGACACACAGGATAGTCTTGAGTTTATGTTCATATTTCAGACATTCTGGGAGATTTAAGATATTTGTGGGCTTCTTTCCAAACATCCAGAAGTTACAGTGGGTTGCTCTTTTATAAACTTACTTATGGAATGTATGGAATGTGCAATCTGTAATGACAGGAGTATGTGTAAACTATTGCATTTTAAGGAAAATAGTCTATCCTGTTATTAACACTCTGATTTCTGTTCCAGCCAGCCTTCTTCACCCCACATCCCAGGATTCCTGTAAGTAACATCTCTAATAAATGTGTCCTCTGGCTTATCCCCTCTTGTATCTGGTAGAAACACCCCTTATTGTTTTCAGTGTTATTTAAATGCTTTCAGTAAAGAACCCAGATTGAATCTGGTTCTGGGCATCCTCATCACTGTAACCAGCTGTGATGAGAAGTCCAAAGCTGTGCTGGTAAGATCAGCAGTCAAACCAACTAAAACCGAGTGTAAAATGAAGATTTTGTTCCCATTTATAGCATCTAGTGGGAAATAAACAACATAACATTATCCGTGAATAAGTTTGTTATGGATCAGGAGGTTTCATGGATGACAGAGGTAGGCTGTAGTAGGAGTGCCATTAGAAAGAGAAGCATATATGCTAGATTCTTCAGAGGATGAGGAAGGAAATAAGGATGTGAAGTAGTACTGGAGAAAGAGACAGGATTTCTTTGGCTTGCTCTTCCCCTTTGCTCAATGGTTATACTTATATATATATCTATATACACTCTAAGGAGACATACAGAACAATGACATCTTACCTTTGTAGTGCTACAGTCACAGAAAGAGTTTTTCCTTTTGCTTTGAGTACATTGCTCTGGTAAATGAGCTGCAAGACAGTAAGAAATGAAAGGCTTGAAGTGTGTCAGCTGTTCCATTTGCTGGGATTTCTCCCTGTGCAAGACGACTGTGGTGACACCTGCCACAGCACAGCTCTGCACATAGCAGTGTGAGGGAGGAGAAGGTAAGAACAGTTGGATGTACAGGTGTACACATTAAAGTGTCAGAAGGAGGTGATGAGCCTGAGGAGAGTGTCATGGGTGGCAGGACCAGCAGGGTGCTCACAGGTGCACTCCAATAACCAATCCTTGCCATTGCTTCCCATTGAGTGTGTGTTGTATTGTACCAAGGAGATATTTCCTATCTGAAATATTCCTGGAGATGGGGTGAAAGAACCACAGTGGTGGTCAAGTATAATGGCTGGAAAGAGGCAATAGCAGTAAAAAAAGAGGTGGCTCCTCACTTTGCCCTCTGTCTCCCGCTGTGGCCAGGCACAGCTGGACCCCCCCTGCACTTTCTTTCCTTTAAGTAACACAGGAATTACTGAGGCATAATTGAGGCTACAGGAGGATACTGCTGAGAGCAGGTCATGGGAGCTGTAAGTCCTCTTCTGGGCCAGGCTGGTGGCAGCTGGCAGCTGGCACTCTGTGTTTTCTGTGCACTGAGATGTGGGTAAGCAGTGGGTGGCAGTGGATTAAGAGCAGCTGCCAGTGGGCAGCACTAGCAGGCAGTGGTAACAGCTTGGCAGAGTCATGGATTTGGCAAACTGGAAAGGACTCACAGGCAGATTTTCTGGTGGGTTGTGTTAGCAAAAGCCATTTGTGTCCTGAGCTGCAGCTATGGCCAGCAGGTCAAGGGAGGTGATTCTAATCCTCTGCTCTGGTGAGACCCCTCCTGGAGTGCTGCGTCCAGCTCTGGAGCCCCCAAAATAAGGAGATCTTGGATCTCTTAGAGCAAATCCAGAGAAGAATACGGTCAGAGGCTGTAAACTATCAGATGGCAGGTTTAGATTAGGTATTTGGAAGTAGTTCTTTATTGTGAGAGTCCTGAAGACACTGGCACAAGTTGTCTAGAGAAGCTGTGGGTGCCCCATCCCTGGAAATGTTCAAGGCCAGGTTGGATGGGGCTTTGAGCAGCCTGATCTAGTGGGTGACATCCTTTCCAATGGCAGAGGGGTTTCAATTAGATGATTTTAAGGTCCCTTTCTCCCCAGATCATTGTATGAATCTATGAAGAAATCCTTCCTTTGCCCATGTCTGTGGTGGTTAGATTTTGCACTGCTGTGCAAGTCAAGTATCAAGGAAAAAGTGGAAGAAAGGAAAATCTTAAAAACTTTCCCCATTTACCTCTTGCATTACTTCTCCACTTTGCAATTTTGTTTTCCCTGGTAATGTACATCCTTATCCCCACTCAATAACACCATCCCTGCCTACAAATGCACTGACCTGTGTCTGTGCTTTGTCCTTCTGCTCTCTCAAAAGAGTTTCAAAATTTGAAATGTCATTACACAAAACAGCTTCCAGGCATAAACATACAGGTTTGCAGCTTTAGCCCCTTTGCTTGAGCTGCTTTAGGTGATCCTGATGTTTTTCTGAAGGACACTAGATGGCATCAGGAACTGCCTGGCTAAAAGTCGATCTAATGGGATGCTGTTTGTAGAGTAAAATTCCTCCCATTATTTACCACAGATTACAATGTTTATTCATAATGCATAATTAATACAAGCATAAGTAATATTTATGCAGCTACACTTATTTTATCTGTTAGAGAATCATTTGAAAATGGACTGTGAATTCCCAGGTGCTGCAGGAATGATTGGCAAATAGCAGACGTAAATAAAACTCAAGCTGATTTGTCTGGCTCTGCATTTTGGCTGATCACTATTCCTTGCTTGTGTGTGTAGCTTAAATCACTGATGTTCTTACTCTTCCTTGATTGCATAATTGAAACACTTGGTATGATAAATAATGAATAAGTAATGATTGCTGTTGCCTGAATACCTACGTTCATAACAATATATAGGAGTGAGTATTGGTGTAGTGCCTCCTTTATTCCAGCTAGTTCCATAATTGTGTGCTTTCCTTTTCAATTTATAAAAAGCAGACATATGGATTTATTGATTATTGCTCTAGACCACAGGACAAAGCTGATGAACTTCTGTCTGAATGCATATTCAATTTACTGTAAGGAGGAAGAACAGGAATAAATTAATCTTATTAGGCAGTGATGGTGGTGCATGAAAAAAATGTACTGACTTTGCAGGAGGGAGAGGAAGCTGCGTGGATGTATGGAGATGTTAATAGAACTAGAGATCACGAATTGCTGTGTAGCTCACCTCTGGAAATGCTCCAGATGATCACTGAACACTTCTCTTTTATAGATGGAATAGGGAGCTGTATCTGGGATCACTGTGGAATGACATCAGGACTCTGAGAGGTAGTGCAGTGGCACTGGTGCTTTTGCTATTGTTCACATCATGTGGCCTTTAAAAATGTTAGAGATTCATTTTTTTATTTTACGTATAGTCTTAGCTACTCTTCTGCATGAGGGCAAAATGTTCTCCTTTTAAGCTGAGTATTTTTCAGTTAGTATCAGAACAGACCAAGAAGTCTAGATAGTGATGTCCATGTCTTAGTGTGGCATTCGTTTTTGACTCATTGACCTCAAGGTCCTTTGAAGAAGCTACTTTGTGTCAGAAATGGGTAACTGATTGAATGAGCCCACTTACTAAACAGAACTAGTGTGAGTTCCAGCCCTGGAAATAGCTTTTATTTCTCTCTTTGTCTTACTGTTTTATATCAGGGTGAACCTGGACCAAAAGGGGACAAAGGAGATCGAGGAATGACTGGAGAAACTGTAAGTACAGCCAAGAGAGGACATGAGAGTGGTCAGTTTTGGAGGGAGAGGGTGGGACATGCTCCTTCTGCAGCTGGGATGCTTCTCTCATCAGAAATAGCCACAGTGGTGCTTATCTTTGTACTGCCTGTAGAGGAAGCTACATGACTGCTGGAGTTTAAGCACCTAATCTGTAGTTCTGGGCCTTAGTAGCTGAAAAAAGGACTATGGGATTTTCTAGGCAGAGCTTGGCTGGCAGTAATTTATGTGCAAGATTTATTAAGGGATTTTGAAGTGATGTGGCCCAGCTAAATTGTGCATTTGGGTACTGCATTTGTATTCTGGACTTTCTTATTCTGGATGGAGCTCCCAGAAGAGACAGAGCCCTGTGCAGTGACGGACTCTGAAAAAAAATCATGCTTCTCTCAGTGGAAAGAGGTCCTTTACCTCTCCCTTTGTATTTCAGGGATTGCCTGGGGTCCCAGGTGAGCAAGGTGTGCCAGGACCTGCAGGAGTACAGGTAAGGGGGACCTTGAAGAAAAACTTTGACATGACTAGAGTGGAGTGCCCTCAAGGTCTGTATCACTGTAAATAATTCTTCCTGTACACACCAGCAGCCCATTTCTTTTTTATCTTTTTATGAACCTACTGTCATAGGTTCAGGGATTCTGTAGAGGTTTTTACTTCTGTTGGACTGCAGGACAGCAGGAGGAAAATCAGCTCAGAGATACAATATCTCTGTAGCAGGGTCAGTATTGTCTGAGAGACTTCTTCCAGCTTCATGGTCCTTCAAGAAGACATCTTGTACTGCTGCTATTAAACCACAGGTCTTGCAGATAAATGACATTTCCAAAACATTGCAGAGCAGTCAGATTCAACCCTAGGTCATCTGACCTGGAATGAGAAATGGCACATGTGAAATGCCTCTATGGTCTCAGCCATCTTCAGAAAATTTAGTGTGTCACACAAAACTATTTCCCATCAACACTGAGGTGTTTCCATTCAACATGAGTGGGTGTTCACTCTGCCATCATATATGCTGTGCCCACCCTATATAATCAGCAGTACTTGGGCATCAACAACAAACCAAACAAAAAACCCCAAAACAAAAATCAATAAAAGCAAACCAAACAAAACCAAACCCCCCAAAACCCAAGTAAAAGCCACTGTAATGCCATGCAACTTCTGACTAACATCTGCTAAATGGGGGACAGTTTAGTGTGCAGACTTTGTCCTGCAAAAATTCTTCAGAAAGGGCTCTCTGATATCTATGGTTAGGACAAACCCTCTGCATGGGGATGTCTTATTACCATTCCTAGACAACTAATGTTTATATTTCAGAGCTGTGGGTGAGTCTTCTGTGAAGGGAGACCATAAAAGTTCAGCTGGAAATTAAGTAGTTGATTGAGGAGAGGAAGGAGTTTCACCCAGATGAATACTTTCAGGTTTCAGCATCCTGTGCTGAGTATCTGAGCTGATCAGTCATTAGTAACTCTTTTGAAGTCTTAGAGTTTTATTTTTATAGTTCCCTTTCTTGCTGCATAGAGAACTGGGAGCTGTTTCCTCAGCCATTAACTCCTCTATGAATTAGTTAACAAAACCAATTCCTAGTGCACATTCAGGCATCTTGAAGCCTTTTTGTCTGGCAGGAGGTCTCCATCCATATCTAATCAGCTGGTATCGCTCCTTTGTGCACAGGGTGCAAAGGGGGAGAAAGGAGCCCGAGGAGAGGCTGGAGCCCCTGGAGAGACTGTGAGTAACTCTTCCCTTGCAGCATTTTCCCCTGGCAGTGACACACCTGAAGAGACACTGACATCAACATCTTGTGGATTCGCAGTCCCAGGCTGCTTGATCACAGAGCACATCCTCATGCACAGCTGGAAGCGGCTGTTTGTGGGCAAACAGGACCAGATCAATGCCCCATTCAGCCCAGCTCAAGGTTGTGCATCTTTTCCTGCTCAATCTCTCCCTGCTTAACAAAACACCCTTTTGTGAGTGAGTGTGGCTGCACTGCAATGTCAGCCCAGCTCAGGCAGGTAGCTGGAGCAGGGAGCTCACTGCTCAGCAGCAGCAGCAATTGGTTTTTCATCATTGGTGCTTTTAGGCTTTACTGTCTATTCTGTTGGGCTTTTTTTTAATACTGGCTCATCCAGAAGACTCATCCCACACCCTTTTTTGAGGCATTTGTTGTAGGGAGTGCTGCTCTTGTCTGTCTGTGTGCTTAAGAACAACAAAGGATTCCAGTCCAGTTTTATTATTGTAAAAACACATAAGACCTTTGCAGCTGAATAAAAGGCCTGAGACTTTTTTTTGCAAGCCAAGAGGAAGAAACACTGAAGAACTGTTTGAAATAATGATTGAGAAAGGGAATGACTGATTAGGAGAAGGAAGGAATAAGAAATTCAAATCATGCATCCTAGAGCACTGAATTTTTTTCTTCCACCTTTGTGTTCATGGTTTTCTTTCTTGTGCTTGTGTTTGGTCTCTAAGGAGTGCTCTAACGCTAAACCCTGAACTGCCTGTTTTCAGGAGTCTTTCACTCTTGGTTGAAGGACCCCTTAGTATTTTGGAGAGGAGGAAAAAATAAAAAAAAAAAAAAAGAGAGATGGTAAAAACTATCCCACTTCCACAAAAACCCATTCCTTGGTTTTATTTTTTATGAACCTGGTGGTTCAGAGGCTGTTTATGATATGGAAATGCAGATATTTGCAGGCACCTTCCCTTTTCTTGCCATCCTTTCACAGACTGCTGCTGTTCCATATTTCTATTGGCTCACAGACCAGTGACTGTAAATAACACAGAAATGAAGAAACCTTTAAACCTCTGCTATGAGAAAAGGCTGAGAGGATTGGGATTGTTCAGCCTGGAGAAGAGAAGGCTCCAAGGAGATCTCAGAGCCCCTTTCAGTGCCTAAAGAAGGAATACAACAGAGCTTGAGAGGGACTTTCCGCAAGGGCATGGAGTGATAGGACAAGGTGGAATGGCTTCAGACTGAGAGTAGGTTTAGATTAGAATTAGGAGGAAATTATTTCCTTTGAAGGGGATAGAGCACCGCCACAGGTTGCCCAGCACCAGCTGGTCTAGAGGAAGGAGTCCCTGTTTATAAGAGAAGGTTTGGAACCCAGTGATGTTTAAGGTCCCTTCCAACCCAAATCTGTGATTCCATGAAACCTCTAAATATAGCCTGGTAACCCCAGACATACATCTCTAGTGGGACATAAATCCCCAAATATATGTCCTCTAATGAATATATGTCTCCCATGAAATTTTGGAGACACACATGGGCTTTTTCATGCTACAAACCTTTATCTTCCAAACAGATGAAGACCTGAAATTCAAAACTCTACACTCTGGATGGTTTAGGCTATTTCACCTATTTAGTGCAAAAGAATGTTTTCAGGTTTTGTTCCCCACAGCAGAGAAAGGTAGAATTGTCAGCAAAGCACATTTTGTTGACCTACATTTTTTATGATAAATCAACATTCTTTACTTTGTTCTTCTGATATTTCTGGCCCAGACTTTCCTCCCCGTATCTGAGCTAGATTTAGGATTTCTTTTGATAGAAGGTAGCTTTAAGCTCCCAAAGAGAGCCTTCATCCATGTTGTATTGCTTCATTACTCTTTACACTAAAAAGTTTCAAAAAATGTGCTATTTTTTGCCTTCTTGATGTACAACACCTTGTCTGACATGAAATCCAATCTCACTTGGAACATCTTGTTCCTATGGTGATACAAGTTGTGATATGCACACACACACACTTCATTTTTCTTAAAACAGGGTTTGAGTGGACCAGCAGGGCCCCCAGGTCCAAGAGGCTTGCCAGGAAATGTGGTAAGTATGCACCAGTGTATTTGTTTTCCCATCTGTGCCCTGATTTCTTTATTTAATGTGCTTAGTTTTCCCTTCCATGGGGATTACTATGATGTTCAAAAGGCTGTGTTTTATTAAACTGTTTCTTATGGCTGAATTGAAAGATCTGGAGGCACCTGGGAATGGTGTATCCATTAACTGTCTTCTCATATTCATTTTATCAAGGGGAGGAAGAGAGCTGCTTCATTCCTCACTAAATTGTTACAAGCAAATTTTGCTGCCAACTCTTCAAGAGAAAACATTCAGTGTTTATTGCCTCTTTGGTTTTGTTTTCTTTGCCTTTTTTCACTTGTCCTCTCCTTTTGTAAACAAGACTTCTTGGTATAAAAATAACATAATAAACTCCCACTTTTATTATGGAAGCTTGTAGGCATTTGAGCCTAAAGACCCTTGAAATCAATGCAGTGTCCCCTTACTTGGGGGTTCATCATCACTATTAATCTTGCATGACAAAATTTTTCATATTTGCTAAAAAAAATCTTTGGATTTACTCCACTCCCAGCTCCACTAGGGTAATTTTCTCTCTAGTTCTTGGGGTTTCACTGGGCTTAGACTGGAGTAGGTGAAAAACAGCATTTAGACCTCAGGATATGATCAGGGGTTAGACCATAGCACTGTTAGAACCAGAGTTCTGGGTAATCCAAGAAAACTTAAATTGCCCTTCAACTAATTGTTAAGATACATTTGATTTAATTGTATTAATGTAGTGATTTAATTTCAAACTGAAAGGTGATATTGAAAATTAAGAACTTTTCAATTTCATATTCCATTAAGCAAACTTCTATACCAGTAATACCAATATATTACCTATAAAAGCCAATATAGATGGAAATAATTTTTACTGGTGCAGAAAGGAAAATAATTATCACATCTATTCCGAGGTCAATCCAATCTTAATGGTGCCAAGACATGATTTCACATCTTAAAATGGAGTACCATTCTAAGATATGTTTTGGTGGGTTAGGAAGTTACAGTACTTAATTTAGAGCTCTAAATCATCTATATTTTGACACAGAATCCTTTGAGACCTGCCAAGATGTTAAAAGGATTGAAAACTGAAATAGAGGAAGAAATGAACACAGCTACATTTCCCAATGTTGGGAGGCTTTTGGCTTCTCTGATACAGGGGTGGTGATTGGGGGTTGTTGGTAGCATATTAGGAGCTACTGAGAATTTCACAAAACAGAAAAAATAGTTACTGGTACAATGCAAAATTCTGGTACAAGCTCAGTTTCTGCTTTTTCTGTTCTGCTATTTTTTATATTGAAAAAGAAATTCCTCCTTTAAGGACCTGTTATACACCTTTCTGTGGTATTCTCTGGATTACAGATTCTCTGTACTGGGAAATGTTGAGCTGATACTGATCCTTGAGATAAACTACACTGAACCCTCAGGTCTGCCCCTTTGTTTAAAATCCAATACTGCCTACAAAAAAACTTCTAAGCTTTAAAGTTCTTTTCAGGGTGTGCCTGGAGGCCCTGGACTCCCAGGAAAGGCAGGAGAAAAAGGGGAAAAGGTGAGTTGGTTCTTTGATGGGTTTGTTTCTTTTTTTTTTCTTGAGCATTTTAAGTAATAGGGACAGATACTGTCTAAACTGGGAAATTATTTCATAGGTTCATGGATGGTTAAGACACATAGGTTCATGAATTCGTCTTGTCTGAGCTCCTCTATTACACGTGCTGTAAGGTTTTCACCCAGTTGCAACTTTAGAATTTACCAAATAAACCACTGAGATATGAGTGGATATACTGAAGTCACTGCTACACAATTATGGTCTTCATTACCTGACAAGAGCAGGCATTTGGTGTTTTAAAAAACTCCTATTTATGACAGAAAATCCAAAACTGGAAGAAAAACTGGTTTCCTGTCCCCTTTCATGAGCTTTCTGAAGTCAGGGGCTTTTGTTTTGGTCATACACCCCAGAGTGCCCAGCATGCTGATCTTTGTCCTGATCTTTGTTTTCTGGATTAGGAATGATTAATCAGAAACATGATTATCTATATCCATGCATTTGGGGCTTAAAAGGGAATGAATGCCAGCTCATTCAGTAAAATCTTCTTCCAAGTTACTGAGCTCTGCCTCAGGGTCATGTGAGGACCAAGGGCTCTCTCATTCAGTGTTGCAGAAAGAGTGATGCACTTCACTCACAAGAAAGAAGAACAGTATATTTTATTGATGTAAGACACCAGGTTAATAAAGTTCAATGGTAAATGCCACAGTGGTTTAACAAGGTTCAGTGCAAGGTACAGTTGATTATTTACTGCATTGAGGACAGGGAGAGACAAAACTGTCAGGGAGACCCTTCCATTGAGTCATGAGCTTCAGAAAGGATCCCTTTGTGTTCTAAACTCCTTCTCAGAGAGGAATTTAGGTGTGGCTGCATGCAGAGTTAGTCCTAAACTTGATCAATATTTTGTCTAAAGCATTATATGCATGCAACCAATCCTTTGTATCACTTAGCTAAGGTTTCAGAGTTTCCAATGCATTTATTCCCATTTTGTTTGCTGAGTATCTGATGTGATAAGGTGATAATTTGAGGGGTTATCTTGAGAGCATCCATGCTCAAGGGGAGATCTGGGCATGCAGGCCCTGTCTGTGCACTGTTCTTGGGGTAAGATGGTTTGCTCATGTTTTCATGCTGGGTACAAATTTCTCCCAAATTTGTGAAGATGTTGACTAGCACTGTGCTTAGGTGAGCACATTGCCCAAGCCATCTGTCTTGGGTTTGAAAGATAGGGTGTCTGCTAAGAAAGGCAGGAGCCTCCCCTAAAATGGAAAATGTAAACCCCCTCCCCCAGAATTGCTATAAATTTTAAATTAAGGGGCTCGCAGACAAAATATATGGGAGCAGGAATAACAATTCTTTACTAGGAAAGAAAATAAAAAGATAAATGATGCAGTACACTAAAACAACACTGACAGAGTCAAAACCCAACCTGGCACCCTGTGGGTCAGGTGTTGGTAGCAGTCCAACTGGAATTGTGGCTGCAGCCCTCCTGGAGTGTCAGGGGTGGTTCTGTTGGAGCAGGGAACCTGTAGAAGGGTGTAGTCTTCCTTTGAAGATCCAGTGGAAGAGGCAGCTGTTCCTCTGGGAAATCCAGTGGAGAAGCTGTGCTGGTATTCCAGAATCTCAAGATTATATCCAGGTAGGAATGCTTGGCTCATCCCTCTGGGCAGAGCATCTCCCAATGGGATGCCATAGTCCTTATCAGCCATGCCGTGACATTCAATGGCTGTTATCAGCAGATGTCTCCCCAGAGGGGGGAGTTGTGTAAGAGATAAGGAAAACTACCCACTTAACAGAAGACAACTGCCATACAGATGGCAAATAGAATACAATTTGCTTGAGAATCCAGGAAAGCAGCCCTCACATGTGGGGTTGTTACCTGCCTCCCCAGAACCCAGTGTGAGTCAGGAGCAGCCATGACAATCAGAGACATCCAGTACTGTTGTTGGGTGTCACTTGGGCAGGGTTATGGGAAGCAAAGGTCAGGTTGGGATCAGGGCTCATTCCAGCATTTCTCAGTGTCACAGCAGGGGTAACCAGTTTTGATGAGTTCAGGTTGGGGTGTGCTCCATGGAGAGAGCACACCACCACATATAGCTACTTCCAAAAACGTTTTGAAGCCTTCTTTTACTTTCCTTAATGGAAATTACAACTGCCTTGAGATTACTGAAGGAAAAGTATTCCCATTAATGAGGTTTTCGTATGATACCAAAAGAAATCCAGGTAAGACAGCTAGGAAAATATCCGTCTTTCAGTTCCAGTGAAAGATCTGAAGTGGCAATTGTCCAGTATTTTAATGATTCTGATGGTTTCCCTTCTACAGGGTGATCCTGGAAAAGAAGGAAAAGTGGGTTTACCTGGGCCACCTGGTGGTCCAGGGCGTCCTGGAGAGCCAGGTTTGCCTGGGAAGGGTAAAGATGGAGAAAAGGTAAGTCCTGCTGACAAGCTTTGTGCTTGACTAGTTCAATATGAGACAGACAAGCATGACTTCTGCAGGAGAGCATGGGTTTACCTGAATCCATGGAAGGCCTGCCTGTGGAAAATGTTCCAGATCCAATCTGTGCATTAAAAAAAGTCAGAACTGAAGATTTCTGAAATTTACACTGAAAACAGAGACCTCCACAAGGAGTAACCATTGTCCTTGTGACTAGCACAAAAATGGATGGAAATTCCCTAAAAGCTTTTAATTCTTACCCAATAGCAAATTGTTTAATTTGGTTACATGTTGTCAGTAAATTATTGCCAGGACAGTGTGAACTCAGGTGGGCAGTGATGGGAGAATTGCTGCCTTGACTATAGCAAAGTCCAGGCTCTTGTTTGGCTGGATGGTGACTGTTTTCTTGGTTTACTTTTGTCACTTTAGGGGGAAAGAGGACCACCAGGCTTGCCAGGACCCTTTGGACATAAGGTGAGCATGGACTTCATTGTGGACTGCTCATCTTAGTCACCTGAACTGGAGAAAAGAACATGGTGCAAACATGGTCTGTTTTCCACTGGAAAATAGAGTTTGCAAAGCTCTGACTCAAAAATGCACTTCTAGCCTTCTAGAGGATTCCTTTCTTTAGTATTTCAGCATCTCTGTGGATGTAAATATTCAGCTATGAATTAGCTGTGTTCACTTTCCACATTTAAAGTACCTTCCAGCACTATAAGAATTCAGCACAGATGGAGGTCTCACTGCAAACTTTTTCAGGGAAACTGGGACTGGGACCCTTTAATCCACACAATCTGCATGGCTCAGGGGTGATTTTCTCTCAGGACCACCTGTCAGCCCTCAAAAAGAACTTTTCCCTTGCCCTCATTCCCTTCACCTCTCTGCAAGGAGGATGTGAAATATTTTCCAGTAGAACCAGGTAGTCCTGGTTTCCCCTCCTGTATTGAGGCAAAGACTGGCTAGTTGAAGAGGTTGATGACACTAACTTCTGCTGAAAATAATGTTTATTCTCTTATAAGCACACAGAAAAGAGAGAAAGGAATAAAACAGCAAAATTCTTTGATTTTGGGAGGATCCTGATTGTCCACTTGAACATTTAATCAGACATTTCAGAAATTGTCCTCTTCAAAATGACCATTTTCTGATCTGGACTGGAAAAAGAATCAGATGTTGAAGCAGATTCTGTAAATGATAAAAGGAGTATGCGACCCAATCCATCTACATCCCATATTTTTGAAATAACCAAACTGCTATGATTTTTTCTTAGTTTTGATGCATTTTGTACAAATGCATTGTATTTTCTATATATCTTTGACAGTTCAGAACACAGACCTACACCCACACAGACACACACTAATAGACTGAGAATTAATATAAAAGTCAGAAAAAAACACTAAAAGAAATCTCATTAAGTATTCTATTCAACAGCAACAGAAGATGATAAAAGTCTTAATTGTATGTGGGAAAATACTATTGAAATTTTTGTATTAAAATTATCTTTCTGAATAAAATAACTGATAAGGGATGTGTGGAGTATTTGAACTAATCAGAACGCATTTTTCCTCACTGGCCATGCAGTATTATTTCTTTGTAGTAAAAGATTAGCTTAAGAAGAAAGCAAGAAAGGGGAAAAATAGGAGATATTGCAGATTTAATTTTGAGTGGGCAGAATCCACAGGTAACCATTTTTCTATCATGCTTCTATATGGCTAGAAATAATGTCATAATAAATAGCATAAATAAGATTGGTTGTTATAAATCTACTGCCAACGTGAGACCAAATCTCGCAACTGCAATGCAATCCATAAAAATCTTATTGATTTCTCCCTATAACTAGAAAACAGATGTTAAATTAAAGTCTTACAGCTGAATTCTTTCTTAGCCCTCTGTCTGCAGTGTGCATTGAACAATGTCAAGCTGTTTTCTGTGCTATTCAGTTTTACTTTGAAAATCTGTTTTTTAGAAGGGAAAGCTCTCCTTCTGTAGTACAGTGCTTGAGAGAGAGTGGTAGAAGTGTTGACTTTTATTTTACCAAAATAATTTCATACACTTCTGTGAGTAGGCCTATGTTGGTAAAGGACAGGAGAATATTAAGATGCAGCAAAACTTCCCTAATCCTGTCTTCCCCAGATAAATGATCTATGTTCAGCAATTTTTGTGCCTTAGTCTTCTAGCCCAGAGAGAGAAAAGTGATTTATGGTGCTTGGTACTTCCCCCAGCCCAGGAAAGTTCCTGCTACCCTGGTGAAGTCCTTGGTCCTGAAAGTGTTCTGGATGTGGCTCTTGGGGGTTTGGTTTGGGTGATTAAGGTGCTGCTGGGCTGGTGGTTGGACTTGCTGATCTTGAAGATCTCTTCCAACCTTGGTGATTCTGTGAAATGCTGGAAATTTGATACACTGCACTAAAATAAATGAACACATATGCAAAGATTGTGTTTGCCCTCAGTTCTGTGATGTGATGTGAACACTCTGAGCCTGCAGAGGGGAGCTGGGGCCCCTGTGGGGGAAAAGGACACTCATGGCATGATGAGACAGTAACTGTGCCATGTCCCCATGCTGCCACATGGCAGGACCACATGTACTCATGTGACATTCTGGTGTGCCACCTGCTTGCATTTCAGCACATTCTCTCATCAGTGCACAAAGCTTTTAACTCTTTCCTTTATTTCAGGGTGAGAGGGGAGCTCCTGGCCTCCCTGGACAGCCAGGAGACAGAGGAGTGCCAGGAATTGGCCTGGCTGGACCCCCTGTAAGTAGCAGATCCTGCTGCAACCTGTAATGAGGTAGAAAATCATGCATTGGCCCCTGCATTGCCTGTGCTCAGCTGTGCTGAGAGCCTGTGGGACATTTTGCCTTCTGAAGGTGCAGATTCCAGAAGAGTCCAGAGGCTGCCATTTGTGGCTCGTGTCACATCTGTGCAATGAGGGCTAAAAGTGCTCTGGGATTGATTGGTGTCACTCCTGAATTTTGTGCATCATCCTGGCACACTGGCTGTGGATGTGAGAGGAGATCTGTGCCAAGCTCTGGTCTCCTGCACAGTCACAGCCTTGCTGTTGTATGAGCCCTGTTGGAAGGGATGAGTGTGGCACACATGCCCACATCAGTGACACAGAGACATTCCAATAGCAAAATACAAAATCAGATTGCTTAAACTGCTGTGTTCCAGGAGGGGCCTCCTGCCCATAATTTCCCCCAAATATTTGGTAGGTTTGACCTCATCCAGCTCTGTCCTCCTGACTATCAGTTGGTCCCATGGTGTATATGGGAGTCTGCTTGGAAAATCTGGATTTTTGTGTTGCTGGGCTTTGATCACTCCTTTGTACAACTCCTCTAGAAATGAGGGGGATTTGGCAGTGCTCTGGCAGTCGTCCTGCTCAGAGACCTCCAGCTATGCACTGAATTTGCTAGTGAAATATATTTAGGAGGAAGCAAATGCTATTTCTGGCTGTAATTGCAGGAGGACATCTGAGCCCTTGCATTCTTTTGCAATACCTCATGCATGCCACGATCCTGAACCAGTCATCAATGTTTGGTTATTATATCTGTTTATCTACATATAAATGTCCCAATTGGTAGAGGAAGTTGGCTTGAAATGATAAGTCATATTGCTGGGTAATGAGTTGAAAAATCTGACTTTCTGAGGTGTATGTCCACTTAATATTTGCTTTTACCGTGCTGAATTCTGAGTTAGAGCAGACAGGGTTGATCCTGTTTCACACTGTGATCATGGCTTTTATGGTCCTCATAGATTTACCAATCACTGCAGGTTTCCTGGGTGTCCTTTGATTTATCTAAGGATCTATAGATTTATCTATGATTTATCTAAGGAGCAGTGGTGTTCTTGCATTTCTCAATGTTCAGCCATTAATTAAATAAAAGTTAAATTAACAAATGAGTATCTGGCTTGTTTGAAAATCACTAGTTAGTGGATCGTCTTTAATTACAGATTTTTAGATTCAGTCCAGGGCTAGATGAGTTCATGTCTGCATCTTGATGTACACAGGATGACAAAGTTGTTCTTCATTGGGGATTTAGTATCCTCATCTCCATAAACACAAATGACTAAGGACTTGACTCCAAATGCAGACATCTCTTGTCTCACACCAGAAGATTGGTTTTTTCAGTGTCTTCATTATTTGCCCACTGTCAGGATGTGTAGCCACCTACACACCACACTGTTCTCAAATGATATGTTTTATTTATTTAATTTGCTTTACTAAATGCTTCTTAAAAAAAAAAAAAAGAAAAAAAAAAACAAACAAAAAAACAACCAAACCACTATTATGATGGGATTTTTTCCACTATAGATTCATCATAACCTCAGCTCCAGTGCAAAGACTGGAGTTGGAAAAAAAAAAACAACTCTGTATAACCTTGAATCTAGCAGACTGTCACAAAGACTGAGTCCTACAGTAAAAAAAAAAAACGAATAAAATCAGTGGAGTTGCTTCAGTGCATATTACACGCTGAATTAAAGACATCAGCCTCTACTCTTTTTAGCAATGTGACAAAATTGTGTTTATAATACTTCAGCTTCAGACCTGAGAGCCAACAACTCTTTTTAATTGGAATCCTCACCCTGTTTCCTCCTCTGCCCTTAACCTCTCTCAGGCTTTGCTCCCTGCACAAAAAGTATATATAGATGAGGATTTTTTTTACCTTATCTGCTGAAGTATTGAGTTACAATTTACATAACACTGAGCCATAAACTTGAGCATTAGCAGAGTGTGTTAGTTCCAACAGAGTAGGGGACAGCTTGGAAAACTGGGGTGAATTCACATGTTTATGCTGAAGCTGCCTAATGCATGGATGCACAGTATAAGTAGAAACATTTCAATTTTGCCCTGTCTTGCCTTGTGGGCATTAATTAAATTATGCATTAAGCCATTTCTTTAACATGCACTAAGGTGTCTTCTCTCGTGGAGACACTGTGAGGATTAATGAGTTGCTGTGCCTGAAACAGAAAGCAGAAGGAGAGCAGAGTTATAGTGGTAGCCAATTTATTCAAACCTTGTTTTGTGTGTGTTTGGAATACCAGATTGAGTCACCCATGATGGATGTGGCACTGCATCTCTTCTGTGGTGTTCCTGTAGAAGTGGGTACCTGCCAGGGGCTTCCTCTACTCAGCTGCACATTTTAAGTTGCATCCCCAAACAAACAGCATGCACAAGCCCACTGCCCTCCCCCTGCTTTGACCTAAATTAAAAAGCACAGAATTCCTGTGGGATGTTTTTCCTTGTGTAAGAGGTGGCTGAATGTAGTGGTCTTCAGAACCTGGGGGTTTTGTCCTGCCCAGCCCAAAGGATGTGTGGATGCTGTGGTTCTGTGTCTCCAGACCCAGCCAGGAGCATGGATTGTGCATGGGCAGAGTGCACACCCATCCACACTCAGGAGTGCAGAATGCAGTGAATAATGCCTTAATGCAGGACCCACCCTGCTAAATGAGAATTTAAAGTGTTTTGATTGCTGTGTCTTTTCTGTTTGTAGGGCCCTGCAGGACCCCCAGGAGACAAAGGGTCACTGGTACAGTATGTCTTTCTAGCTATACCCAAATTCTCTGGGGAGGGGACAGCCACACTAATTATGTTTTTGCCAGTCATTTCATGAGGGCAAATGTCATTGCTTTGGTTTTGCTTGAGGAATGGTCACAGGGTGGCTGATCCACTAGAACCTCTGTGTATTACCAGGTACTTGTCTGCTCTATTGGGTTATGAGAAAGAGTTGATCAAGAGCCTTGGCCTGGTGGAAATGTTTCTCTACCTGTCAGTAGTCCTAAAAGGGAAATAATGAGTGACTTGCTTCACCCTTCTTTCAAAAAATTATTTTAAGGCACATAATTCAAGGCATATTTCTTCTAGCCAAGGCCTCAAAGGTTTAAAAGAAAGCATATTAGAACATTTTTCTTACTTAAATCTTACAGATTTCAGTATTCAACAAACACACTTTAGTCCCTGAACATTCAGTTTTTCAAGGATGCAATCCATTGGTGTGGCACAAAAAACTGTGTACCATGGTCTCGGTAGACACTGGCCTGAATTTCCAGCACAACAGCCAATCCTAGCAGAGTGATAGCCTGGAACTGAGGAGATGTGTGCTGTTTTGCAGTCCCCCATGGCAGGAAGGAAATTATGAATCTGACTCCATGTTCTTAGAAGGCTAATTTATTACTTTATGTACTTATATTACATTAGAGAATGATATACTAAAACTATAATAAAGAATAGAGAAAGGATTCAAACAGAAGGATTAACAAGATACTAATGAAAAACTCATGATCTCTTCCAGAGTCCCACCACAGCTGGACAGTGATTGGTCATTAAGTAAAGACAATTCACATGAAACCAATCAAACACCCAAACAACCACCTGTTGGATAAACAATCTCAAAACCACATTCCAAAGCAGCAAAACACAGGAGAAGCAAAATGAGATAATGAGAAGAATCCTAGCCAAGGGGATTTTTCAGAAAACATGACAGTGACAGAGATGGATCTTCTTTTCTCCTCTACTGTCCTGTGCTCTGTCATATTTTCTCCCTGTTCAAAAACCTGCCTCCTGTAAAGAGTCATTATTACCTCTCCAATCAATGTATGGAAAGATTGACTTTAGTGATGCACATGAAGTCCCTTGAGGCACAGAAATTGTTGATATCAGGATAGTGCAGTGTGAGCTGTAATTATATTTATTCTTAAACTCTCATACTTGTGTAGGTGCTGGTTAATTTTTCCACCAATTATTATTAGATTAAGGATTTCTTCTCTTCAGCTAAGAAGCACCTCATAAATACTGCTCACATTGCTGGGTTTGTCTGTTCTCTCCCTCTCAGGGTCCCCGTGGTGTGCCTGGGATTCCTGGACCTCAGGGACCTCCTGGCCACGATGTAAGTAAAATTAAAGTGTAAGTGCTCAAAAAGCTGGTCAGTGCTTGCATCGAATTTCCTTAAAAAATTGTGCTGATAATCAGCTGCAGTCTCTGAGTGTTACTCGGATTGTCCAAGGGACATGATTTGCAGAAGTGGAGCTCTTACAACTCAGGATGTCAAAGGGGAAAATAGTTGGAATAAGGAGGATTGCTTCAAGGAAAGTGGGGTTCATCACTGAACCATTTTAAAATGACACTGGAGAAGGAACTTGGCAGCATACACTGGGGAAGGATCCCACACTGGAAAAGGATGGTGGTTAGGCTCTCTAGGAACTTCTTAGAATCCACTGAGATCAGTGCCCTTTCTGTTAAAACAGGGCCACAGCTGTTAAGTTCTCTGTGAGTTCATTTTGTTGCTGCTATTGTGCATTTTTGAGGATATTTTAACCTCTTGGTGCATTGTGCTCCCACTGTCTCAGTGGTGAGTCATGGAACTGAGGAGCAGAGAGGAACGTGGCGGATTCCCAGCTGGAAAGCTGGCCCCTCTCTCTGGCTGCTTCCACTTCAGGGCTGCATCAGAAAGAGGAGTTTTTTTTTTTTTTCCTCTATGATGTGGAAACCAGTCCTCTGAAGGAGCCTCTGAAGATTTGGAAGGGCTTGATCTTTGGGTTTAAGGGAACACTATGGAAAGGGGGAAGTGACCTCCTGGAACTCTCCTTCTCAGCACTGCTCTGTGATGCTGTCATGTCTGAAATGGTACCAGCTCTCACCAGCTCCACAGCAAGCATTTTCCAACCCTGGTGTGGCTTTACTGACATCCATCAGGTGGCCTAAAGGGGGTCCTTTCCTGTGAAAAGAAGGTCTTGTTTTCTTTCCACCTACTTATTCCTAGAGGGGTTGTGGATGCCCCATCCCTGGAAGTGTTCCAGGCCAGGCTGGATGGGGCTCTGAGCAGCCTGGGATAGTGGAAGGTGTCTCTGCCTGTTGGGAAGGATGAAAATTTGACAAGAAAGTCTCACAGATATGTGTGCTTAGCAGAAAGATTTTTGAATGTAGAGTCTGATGCAGGAATAGAGATGGAAGCAAGTTTTGATATAGAAGAAAAGATTTGCTGAGCCAGTTTTACTAGATAACTAAGAGGCAAAGGGTGTGTTAGTTAGAAGGGGTTTTTATGACTTAGGGCAAAGGATAAACCCACCTCAAACAGCAAGATGTTTTTACCAAGCAGAAAGATAGCACAGGAAAACAAGTCAGTAAATGTTGCAAACAGAAAAAAGGTCTCAGAATTTTCCACTGCAAGAAAACTGAAAAACAACTTCTAGCTTAAACTGTAATGTACTAACTTTTAGTGATTGGATAACAGTAATGTGAATATGGTAATTATAGTAGTTATGATAGGCAATAGATAAAGTTAAGGTATAGATTGGTTCTACTGCATTAAGATGCTCAGCAAAGAAAAGTCTATAATGCATTGTAACCAAAACCAAGGGGTCTCCAGGCCTGCCTGCAGCTGGAGCTCATTTAAGCTCTCACACCCTGCCTATAGCACACGAACTGGATGATCTTTATGGTCCCTTCCAACCCAAACCGTTCCAAGATTCTCTGACTCTATTCTTTGTCCCAAGACCAATGATTGAGCCAGGGTTTTCCTCCAGAGCCCATGATAGCTGAAATGGTCCCTTGTGTCCCTGAGCAGCCAGAGATTTGGGATTGATTGTGTCCTGCTGCCTGTCCCTAGATCCTGCCTGTCCCCTCATCCCATTGCCTCAGATGTTTGAAATTTTTAATGAAGATGTTTTGAACAGGAGATAAGATAGATGGGTTTGTTAGAGCTGAACTGTGTGAGGAGAGTGCCTGAGGCAGCTTTTTGGAGTCTCTTTCTGGCTCTGCTCTGATCAGCATTGGCTGGTCAACTCTTGGAGATGCAGCACTGAGGTCTTTACATTTTTCTTTTCCCTGCAGAAAATTAATCCAAACACAAACATTCCTCAGGCTACTTATAAAACACATTTTCTATTACACACACTGCTTTAATTGCAGTCAATATGTCTTTTAGAACCTTTCTGCATTGTGTGATCACTTGTTAAACCATTCTGTCTGTGTTGCAGGAGGCATAATTGGGGGTACAGGGCACATTCCAACATTTCTTGGTGTGTCAGCAGGGATAACCTATTTTGACAAGATCATGCATTTGCAGTTCCCTGATCTCTATCTTTATTTAACTAGCATAAGGAACTTTTTGTTCTGCTTCTGTACTCTTGTGTGCCAATGCAGTGTTCCTGTATCCTCTGAAACATGTCCATTTTTGTACTCTGCTGTGTTCAAACAGGATATCATTGGATAGGAAAGCTCCAATTTGAATTGCTAATATGAATTTGCTGTGCAACTCCCAAGCCATGCAGTGTCAATTGCCTGAATGACTTGCCTCAGTGTCTTGTACTTTGCTGTGGCCTTTGCAAATGTATTCCATGTTTTTTTCCTGAGACTAGAAAATTCTTTTAAATCACATTTACATACATCAAGTTACTCTCTGAATTATTTTTCCAGTTGCAAACTCATCAGATGCTTGTGGAAGTGCCTGCTATCAGTTGCATTCTCTGATATAGCAAATCAGATTTACAACTGCATTTGGGGACATGAAAGAGTCAATATTGTTATTGCAATATATTTGGCCAAAATTCTCCCCCACTGGCGAATAAATTGGAGCTTTTTACATGACTACCTTCAAAATTTTTTCTGGTCCCCTAAAAGCATGTGTCATATTTTTTTAGGATGGCCCAAAGTCGCCTTTGGAAACATCTGTTGGTTACTTAGTCTAATATCAAGAATTCTCAGGACAGTGTCTTTTTTTATTAAAATTTAGGTTTTGAAAATACTTGCCTAGTTTTGCAGTACAATTGTGCTGTTTTGGCCTTGTTCTGTTCCTCTTAGAAAAAGCCTTGCTATTTCTTTGTCTTCTAGAGTTCATTATGGCCATAAATCCCTATGAATTATCTTTTTCTGTGACAAAGCTGGGACATGTTGTCTTCTTCCATATATACAATTTTCTTGTCTTTAAATTTGCATTTGTTTTCTGATTAACCAAAGCTCTAATTCTTAAAGCCTGAAAAGTGTGCTTTTTTTAGGTCTTTTTTCCCTAATAATATGACTAACTTCTTCCATAACAGAACTACTACACATTGTCCTACCTTAAGGACCTCAGTCACTTAAAAAAATTACTTTCTCTTGCTTTTGGAAAAAAAAAATCTAAATCACATGTCTGCCAGTATTTCTGTATCAAGCATTAAAATAGTGTAGCCTTAAGTACCTTCTGTTGGAGAAGTTGGCCAATCTCCTAGTCTGAGAATTACAAAAAAGTATTTCTCCATGTTCAGTGATGTTATATGCAGTGCTGTCTCCTCCAGCTCTGCAGAGCAGGTCCCTCCTGCCTGATTAAATTTGATATATGGAGGAAATTCTTAACTGTGCATGTAGTGAAGCACTGGAGCAGAATGCCCAGAGAAGCTGTGGCTGCCCCATCCCTGTAAGTGCTCAAGGCCAAGTTGGATGGGGCTTGGAGAAACCTGGTCCTGTGGAAAGTGTCCTGCCCATGGCAGGGGCTTGGAATGAGATGGGATTTTATGTCTCTTCCAACCCAAACCATCCCATGATTCCATGAAAAGGTTTATTATAAAATGTAAAAGGACAGGACAAGCCACAGTGAGCAGGTGCAGGTCTCAGCCAAACAAGTGCTCAGCCAGCTCTGGTTTACCAGCCCCTTTTATACTCTTTTGTGTTTACCCCGTGTTTGTTTGTTCCTCTCTCTCCCCCTGCACAGCCCCTCATGCATCTCCCCAGCTCTATCAGTCCCTCTGCCCTCCCAGTTCATGTCACTCAGTTCACAATCTGATCACTTGCAAGGTCCAGATTGCTCTCCCAGCAAGTGCAGTCTGTGGTTTTTGATGGCCCATCAGTTACTGCCAGTGACAAGATCTGCTTCTTCTTAGGTCTGCCTCTCTTGGAAAATTTAGTTTCTGATTTCCTCCTTTTCCCTTAATTTCCCAGTTGATAAGGTCCTGGATGTGGTAACCTTGCTGCAATAAGCCTCCTCATATTTCCACATGCCTTGATCAATTTGCGTGAATGTCCAGGTTTGCTTCCCATCATTGCCATCCTTTTTTTTGGTCAAGTTTGTGTCCTTGACATTCTAATTTATGACTTTCTTCTTCTCTTCCTTTGTTGAATTCAAAAAGATTCTTGACCAGATACCCCTAAATGAGCAGACACTCTCTGGGCAGCCACTCTTACACACTTCATGTGTTGGGAATGATCTGTTCTCCCCTGCCTGTCTGCTGGGAGATAAAATGTTTCTGTTCAACACACCTATTTAGCGTCCTTAGATTAGGAAACAATCTGAATGAGATATTCTGTTATCCTCCTATTAACAGTGAGGGCACCTGTTTAATAGGATCTTTCTGTATTTTGATTATGATAATTTGAATTAACATAAACACTGAATTAATAACTTTTTAATTAGGTTAATTATTTATGGTAACTAAGTTCCAGAATTACTGAGAAGTTCATCGCCCCCCTGCATTTGCTTTCATAATTGCAGAACCTTTGTGGATGCATAAATTACTGCCAGTGGATTTGAAAAGCAGAGTTTGCTGTTCTGAGGTTGATTTCCCCATCCTGTTAGAAGGACAGTTCCAGGGAGCCTTTGTGTTTGTTTTACTTACACCCCAAACCAGGGTACACTTATTAACCCACCTATTGTCTCTTTATTGCTGTGGCATGTAACTGATTTAAGATATTGCATTTCAAGTTCAATTTTCAGTCTTGTAATAGAACTATCCCACCATATGCCTGTGTGACTGACACATTTCCCCTATACACTTACGTTTCCTTACAGAGTTTCTTTAAGTATTTTCACATGCACCGTTGACCTGAGCATCCTTTTCCCCATCATAGGATTTTGCCTGTTAACTGCACCAGCATTTAATTCAGAATATTCTGTATTGGAAGGAACCACAAGGCTCATTGAGTCCAAGTCTGGAGTGAATGGGCCATGAGGGGATCAAACCCACAACTTTGGCATAATTAGCACCATTTGCCAATCAACTAAGCTAAATATTGTTTTTTAGCATTATCAGCAGCACAGTTTCCATCAGTTCCCATTTAAAGACCATTCCTGTGTGTCAGATTTTGCAGACTGATGCTCTGGATACTGTGCATCACACCTCCTCATGGCTGACATCTTTTCCCTGTACTGGTGTGCTGTACCACTCACTAGATATTCTGCTTTGTGCCAGCCACTCTTGGCTGCAATCTTCTGAAAGTGTTCAAACTTTTTGAGTTTTCCAACACTGGTTTATTACTTGGATCTGTGCATTTTCCCACATCGTGTTTCTGTGCCATGCAGTTTTTTGGTCAGACTCATTTGCTTTTCTCTGAATTTTCTGGCTTTCTCTTTTCCAGTTCCCTCCCCTATTAGCTTGTCAGATGTAGTTGTAACTTCCATGTCTTCATTCTAACATTTTCATTCTGCTCTGAGCAATGTGAAGCTGCATCAGGGGAGGTTTATGTTGGATATTAGGAAAAGATTCTTCATCCAGATAGTGTCCAGACACTGGAACAGGATCCCCAAGCAAGTGGTCACAGCACCAAGACTAACAGAGTTCAAGAAGCCTTTGGACAGCGCTCTCAGGCACATGATGTGATTCTTGGGATTGTCCTGTGCAAGATCAGGAGCTGGACTTGATTTTTCGCAGGTCCGTTACAATACAGCACAGTTTGTAATTCTATATTTGCAGCTTGTCTGTTTTTGTCAGCCTTTTCTAACTCCAGACCTCTACAGACCAGCAATACTTCCTCTACTTTTGACTCTGCTTCCATTGGCCTGTTCTCTGATAATGCACCATGCTGAAGTGCAATCATCCACATCTGTTTTGTTCAGTTTGGCTCACAAAATCATTCTTCAATGGACATTCTCTGGTTGCAATCTTGTACCTTTCACTTTTTCTGGAGAACTTTTCCTGGGGATTCAGGGTTTTTTTCAGATTTGTCAGCCATGGCACAGAGCTTAATCTCTTTTTCTGTCTCATTTCCACCCTTTTAGAGACATCATCAGCTCCACATCATACAGCATGCAAGAAAATGGGTTCATCCCTTTTTGTCTCAAGGCACTCTGATACCATGTGGACATGATAGCTGTGCTTAATCCTTTCCAAGGATTTCCATTTTATTCACTCTCTCCTTGCATGTCTTTTCACATAACTAAGAAGTCTTTTCCTATATTCTTTTTTTTAAAGATCTTTAAATACTCAGATTACACCGCTAGTACCATGTTCATATTTCAGATCCCAAAGCAGAAGGCTGTCAGTGAGCCCTATGGCATATATTTATAGCTGTGCTACTAGTCAGCATGAAAGACATTTCTGAACTGTTTTACTGTCTTGCTTTCTGATCCAGGATTATTCTCATGGCTCAAGTTTTTGCTTTGCATCACACTTTTTAGAGCAAGTTCTGGGTGAGTCTTCCGGAACAAAGTAGGTCTGGGAATATAAGATCTGTGTAATTGTTATTTAGCCATCCCCCTTCCCATTTGCAGAGGTGGCTGAGAACACAGTGGAGAAGATGCCAAAAGTATGACCTGACAGCATCTGTGAAAGAGAAGGGACTTGGGGAACAGTGCACAGTTCTCTGGATTCACCTTGAAATTCTGTGGAAGAAGGAAGGCTATAAATGACTAAAATGATTACTTATATTTACTCAATTCCCCAGAAGGACTTCTGGGAAGAAATGTGAGCTAAACATCTTCTTCAGACCTTGTCTTCTCTTTGTTCTCACCTGCGGAGGGTTTAGTTGCTCAGGAAACAAGAGTTCATCCATGAACTTCAGGACTACTTCAGCTCAATTTTAGGTCCATTTCAGTGAGTGTTTAATTTTTGTCTCTTAGAATGACAAGGTAATTGAAAGGTTTTGCTCATCCAGAAGCATTTAATGTGGACATAGAAAAAGACAATTGATATATTTTCCCATTTTTTCTCTCCTCTGGCAAGACACACAGGATTTAAGTACTAAGTGAGACTCAGGATGAAATTCAAGTTTGCCCTGTAGCTACAATTGTGGTGTATCATGACACACAGTGCTCTTTGGTCATTAATCCCCATCTGGTTGTCTGTGTAAATAATGCAAGGAACTGATTGGCAAAGTGGAATAACCTGAGACAAGGTGGCAGAAAGAACACCCAGTGCCCTTCCTGGCTAAGCATTTGACCAAATTTTAAAGGAACTTTCCATGTGGAAACAACTAGATAGTCTCAAAGAGTAGCTCCTGCTGAGCCTAGACTGGTTGAATGCCACCTGTACCTTGATCAGCATCCAGATGTTGATGCAGCCCAAAAAGCCAATCAAGTCCTGGGCTGTATCAAAACCAGCATGGCCAAGAGGTCAAGGGAGGGGATTCTGCCTCTCTACTCCATTCTGATGAGACCCCACCTGCAGTGCTGTGTCCAGCTCTGGGGTCCCACAGCACAGGAAGGACGTGGAACTGTTAGAGAGTCTAGAGGAGGCCACCAAGGCAAGTGAAGGGATAGAGCAACTCTCTTACAAGGAAAGGTGGAGAGAATTGGGATTGTTGAGCCTGGAAAAGTGAAGGCTTCAGGGTGACCTATTTGTGGTCTTCCAGTACCTGAAGGGAGCCTTGAAGAAAGATGGAGAGGGATTTTTGACCATGTGTGAGAGCTATAGGTAACCAAGACAGCCAAAATCCAGAGCTGAAGTGTAAAGAATAGATTTATTCCATTACCACTCTGGCAGAATGACGACACATGCACTACTAAGTTTATTCCATCTTAGCAGGGGCAAAAAGTGCTCAGGGTAACCTCCAAGCTCCTTGAGATCTCTCTCTCTCCCAGCAGGCAAGCCCCAGCCTGTGAGGAATGCCTTTTAAGTATTTTACAGCATTTTGTTATCTTCTATAAAACTTCCACTTTTCAGGACAGACAGAAAACAACCCAAAGAAAGCACAACATGTGAAATTTTACACACTGAATATTCTTAGCATCCTCCAGCTGCAAGGTCATCTTTATTGAAAACAGCTCTTCTCATCAGGTCTTCCACTTTCAACCTTTTTCTTGCCACACAAGGGGAGTGGCAGTAAAAGGGATAATGGCTTCAAACTGGAAGAAAGTAGGTTCAGATTAGATATATGGAAGAAGTTCTTTACTGTGAGGTTGGTGAAACAATGGCACAGGTTGCCCAGAAAGCTTTGGCTTCTCCATCCCTGGAAGTGTTCAAGGCCAGGTTGGATGGGACTTAGAGCAACCTGGTCTAGTGGAAGGTGTCCCTGCCCATGGCAGGGGGTTGGAATGAGATGGTCTTGAAGGTCCCTTCCAACCCAAACCCTTCTATGACTATATGAACATCCTGGGTGGCAAATCTGGAACCATCAGAGAGAAAACCCCATGTGGGGCTTCAACTGAATCAAAAAGCTGAACACAGTAAGATCTTTTTTGGTGATCAGTAGAAACTGTTCCTTTAGAAAAAAAAAAAAGATCAGGTAGGACAGCTTTTGTATGTGGTAAATTTTGTATGCTCTTTGAGGTGCTCAGTATGAATAGAACATGCACTTGCTTAAGTGATGATACAGGGTGATGGACCAGGTGGATACAGGAATTCAGCAGAAAATGGTTTGGAGAAATGTCTCCAAGCATCCTTAAAACTGCAAGGATCCTCACAATGCAGATTATTGTCACCATCTGAGCCGTGGCCAACTGTCTTGTTCAAAATATTTGGTTTCCCAAGTGAGCATGCCTTTATGCAAATGTTTTACAAAAATTTTTAGACTTGGTTTTGGTTTTTTTTTTTTAGCAAACTTAATTCATTGTAAACGACATGTTAGAGGTGCACGCTGAGGGGTGAAGGTTGTCCCTTTTCCTAATCCTGCCTTTCTGAACATAAAATTCTGAGGATGCTGATAACTTCTATGCCTTTATCTCAAGAAAATGGATACCACTACACCTCAGCAAACAAAAAACCAACCAATCAACCAAACAAACAAATTGATTTTGCTTGTTGAAAGGTCCCTACAGAGATTTAAATCTTCATCCTTCACATCAGTAAAGTTCACAGTGTTTCCTATCACCAGAAGACAAGCTAAAGCAATTCCAGTCTCTATGTGACTCAAATGAATTTCGCAAAGGTTTGAGAGGATGTTCAAGTTGCAGATATTTGGAGAAGTTTGCTGTCTGTCTCATGCAAGAAATAGTGCTGGTTAGCAGAAGAAAGTGAAATGTGTGCTAGTCCAGATCAGTCAGCAGAGTGCAAGAGCAACCACGGGGTTGTTGTACAATAATTTCACAATATTTTTCTTTTTCTTGATCTGTAGGGTGTACCTGGAAATCCAGGGGAAAGAGGACCTCCTGGAAAACCTGTATGTAACTTCACTTCTGTATTACATCTTCCTTTTAACTCAGTTTCCTCAGAAGTGCACTTGGGTGCTTTTCCACTGTTGTTTTTCCCAGCAGAGCAGTAGGAAAAAGACTAAAACCCACTAAAGGTTTAGTGAAGGCTTTGGAATGGGAACAACTGGATATTCTGCATGTACATAAAAGCCAAAATTTAAAATTCCACTTCCTTAGCACCACTCTACAGTACCCTCAGCAAGAACTCATCTCAGGTCCCAGTGAAAAGCATTGCTAGGGTAGGGTGGGAAGTACAAGTTTGGCCCAGTGAATCCTAGACAGGATGAAGAAAACCAGTGAGAATCCAAGAACATGTTCAGGAAAAATTCTTATGTCTTGATGCCTCTTAAAATTGCCTGAAATAATGAATTTCTCATTCCACAGGGTTCGCCACCCATGCTTACTCCAGAGGACATAAATCTCCTGGTAAAGGTAATCAACTTTTAATGAATGTGAGAGTTTATGTCTCTGTTTGATTCAGTGAGAGTGTCTGAACTACAAGCGCAAAAGGTGTCTTTAAACACTCTTCAAAGCTCAAGAATGACAAGTCTCCTGCTTGCTCTGGTATTGGGACACGAGCTCACAGTGGAGATGAAAATCCCTTCCCCAGCAGTGAAATGATCTAAAAAGTTCTCTGTAACATCTCTAAGGCTTTCTCAGCTCTTCTTGAGGCATGCATTCCAAGGAGAGATAAGTGTTATCAAGTTACATTATCTAAACCAGAAAATGGAAACCATTTTAATAAAATGCTGGATTTTTTCACATACAACTTCAACAGTGACTGGAGTAATTTTAGGTAATTGTGAGTGCAAATTTAGTTTGCATTGTGAATCTAAAAGGATGCAGGTAATTAACCCCAGAAGTACTTGTGATTCAAAAGTGATAATCTGTCTGCCTTTACACTCCATGTAGAGAATTTTGTGAGAAATTAGTCAGTCTTTGATAGGTGTTGACTGAAAAATCTCTATAGATTTACATGGGCTGAGTTGTGAGTTTTTTAAGCTGTCTTAAACCTGGCAAGAAATCTTTTGTTATTGATTGAAATAAACTAAAAAATTACCTTCTCTTACCAACCTCATTAACCAGAGGGCCCTTTTAAGATGGCTGCTGTGAAATTACTCTTCACTCCAGAGTTGTCTTTGTTTTGTGGACCCCAATATTGTTCTGGAGGTTTTACTGTAAAGTGTTGCTTGGGACTTCTGATCTGGACAAGAGCAAGAGACTCATTCTTGGGTACAGGATTGTCACTTTGATGTTCTTTCATTTCCTTCCTTTACTTCTATTATGGTTAAACACATTTGTGCATTTTTTCTGCTTGGTATTTTTTCACTCCACACTTGGTACAGAAAGCAGCACCTTGAAATCCCAGGTGAAATTAGGGCTCTGCTGTTATGGGTGTTTCTCAAGCACTTTCATTGTAAGTAGATAAATGTGGATGTAGGCACTGAGACTCAGGACAATTTACTCCACAGTTTTGCAACAGATTATTGACAGAGTTGGGTGTTTTAGCAGGGGCTCCTGGCTCTCCACCTGATGATCTGTTTTGTAATATGCTCTTATGGGCAGGATTCCCCCTTTACTGATGGGAGTCTGCCTTTGAAATGGAAATGTCACAGATGGATTCAATTTCCTGAGGATAGCTGGAATGTAAAGACTGCTGAGACCATGCTTCAAAGATGTTTGGAAGGAGGGAGGTAGTGATTCTCCCTGATAAAATTTGGCCAGGACACTGTGACATTCACAAACTCCATTGGATGAGTTGTCCTTAGCCAAGGTGGCTGCTGAATAATTTCTCCTGCAGAACCCTTTCTGACATTGTGTTGCACCTGATTTTTTCCTAGAAACCTGCCCTCTAAGCAGTAACACAGATCTTTCAGCCTGGAGCAGACAGAGGCTTCTAGTGGTGTTGTAGATTCAAGCCAAGGTTTTTCTTGATAGTCTTTCTGGTTTTCCTGACCTCCCTATCAGGAGAGACTTTTCCTTGGTTTCCTGATACTGGGTTACCAGTTAGGACCTAGAACTGATAGGAAACTTCTTCCCATGGGAGCAGGTGTGAGCTCAGCTGCTGACCCTCACTCTGCTTCACACTGCCCTCATTGGTTCTTTAAGGCAAATTCACCCCAATCCTGAGGTAAAACAGCAAAGGTTTAAGAATTACATCAGCAGCACAGTGCTGCATTCATAGTGGGTGTCCACAGGGTCTGCTAAGTGCCTGCAGCCTATTGCTGACATGTTTTCCCATGTTCTCTCCCAGGATGTGTGCAGTGAGTGCCCTCCTGGGCCTCCAGGACTGCCAGGCATCCCAGGTTTCAAAGGGGATAAAGGTCTCCGAGGACCACCAGGGAGAGATGGCCAGGATGGGAAAACGGTAAGAGAGCTGAAGGAGTCACCATGCCTGCATCTGCTGGGACCTTGTTTTTCTGTTAATATGGTTGATGGTTTCTCAATAAGATGATTAATTTTTTTTTCATCAACAACCTGGTGAATTCTTTTTAGAGGCCCGTGGAGTCAATGAACTAAACTGGTGTTTACCTCTACCTCTTGTGCATTGCAGGGGATTGCTGGTCCCAGAGGTCCTCCAGGCCCACCTGGGCTCGATGGCCCAAAGGTTGGTTGGTTTTCTTCACTTGTCTGATGAAAGCTTATTTGTGACTAATTAGTCACACTAAGTATTTTGGGAGCAGGTTACCCAAAGAAATTGGGAATGCCCCATCTCTGGAAGTGTTAAAGGCCAAGTCGGATGGGGTTTTGAACAGCTTGGTTTAGTAGAAGGTGTCCTTGCCCATAGCATGAGGGATTGTCTCACTTTAATAGTGTCTTCTACCATCCCTTTGTTCACACACAGGCAGCCACATCTAAAGGGCCTGATTCTTGTTGTTGAATTTCATTACATTGATGGATAGACTTGAGAGTAAGTTTCAACTCAAATTAGGTGAGCAAGAAATTAAAGCCTCAGCAGTAGCCACCATGCCTGTCCCTCTCCTTTTTGAATCTTATGTCCTGGAACCACTTAAGGCTGCAATGAGCTCCTGGGCTCCAAATACACCATCTGCCCTGGTGGTCTTACCCAACAACTCCAAGTATTTCCTGAAACATAATACAGGAAAAACTTTTAGCTATATGGTGCTGCTTCATGGTCTAGGACATAGGTGAAATAAAACTTCTGTTGTTTGAAGTATTCCAATAATGTCATATTTAAAGCATTTCTCATAAAGAGGGCTGCCACAAGTCTGCTCACAATGCCAGTGCCTGGCCACAGTTAAAACCTTTACAGCTGCGTAATGTTAAATAAATCAAAACAAATCAATGAGGGAGAGGTAAGGTGATTTAATGGTCGGCCACAGTTTCCTTCAGACATCCTTTCACTACCGACTTACTGTCTAAAATAGCTCCTGCTATTTTAACATCTTTGTATTTGCACTTGTTAGCGTGCAGGACAAGCTAATAGAGTTTCATTAATTAATTTCAGATCTTGCAATTAAAAATGTGGTGGGGAGAGCAGCACAATCTCAAAAGTAAATAGAGTTGATCAAAATGAAAGTATGTTCCAGGATAAAATTTACAAGAGAATTAGTAACCCATAAAGCCAATAACTGGCAGAAATGTCAAGCAATCTGAGACATACCTGGCCATCTCTCTGCTACTTTCTTATATTTCATAAGGAAGCAGAGATTTAAGCAGAAAAATGCATATTTAGGTAAAATAACAGGATACATTTCAAACTGTACATGTGCATAAAGTCAAATCAAGTAACTGATAGGTATTTTAACTTGAATTCAATAAAAACAGTTCTCAAAAAAAAAAAAAAAAAAAAAAAAAAAAAAAAAAAAAAAAGAAGCATTTGAAGACCCCTGGGAAGGAGCAAACACAAGGTCAGTCTTTGTGACTCTTTTCTGCATATCTTAGGAGGATCCTTGCAGTGGAAGACCCAAATTGCTCTGCACTTTTGACTCTGTGGTATATTGTCCTTACCAAGCTATTAGGTCCTGCTCTGAAAGAAGAGCAGTAGAATTGCAGATCTTTGCTCATGAACAGCTTCATTCCTTCTGGCCATATGAATTTGAGCTCTTTTATTAATAAATTGCAACCCTCTTTCTCCCCTTTGTCTCCTAGCTCTCATGTAGCAAACCAGTGTATTATTTCCATGGCCAGCAATTCATTATTGCTCTGTGCATTGTTCACACCTTGCTCACCTTTACCTCAGCAATTTTCACTGTCTAGTCTCACTGTGAGCACTGGTAATGCACACATGCACATTTAAGTCAGCTGTCTCTGCCTGTGTCTCTAGAACAGAAAGAGGGGAGCAGTTTCTGGTTATGAATTTTCTGGCTGCACCTTAAAAATGCTGAAGGGTGTGGGCACCTTTGTTGGGCCAGATGATTCTTTATCAAATGTGATTTAGTGAAGTGCCTAATAACCTGCCTGGTCTTTAAGAATGTGCAATTCCTCTTTATGCCTATGATAATAAAACATTAAAAACCAGCTATGCTGACTCTGCTCAGAGGCCATTTTCCACATATATTCCTGGCTCCAGCACTGGTAGTGAAAGTCTAGAGAAGAATTTAAGAGGAGGACTAAGAGGGCTCAGTCCTGATTCTTGAGTTTTATTCTTGAATGTCCAAGTGCTTTATGAGAGAGGTCAAAAAGCTGTCACAACACTGAATCTCATTGACTTTCATTGGCTCTTGTTTTATTACCAGGGTGCTAAAGGAGACCGTGGCATGACTGGGGAAGTAGGAGAAAAAGGTGAACAGGTAAAAACAGAGTGTGCTTTCCAGCAGTGCTGTCACTGTGATTGGTCCTTCACCACTAACTCCTGTGATGCCTGTACAAGAGCATCCTTCTCAGAGGTAGAGGAGGAAGATGGGAGCTCTTAATCACTGACAAACCACAAATGGGCTCTGTCAAAGAGTGGAACCATAGCTCTACAGATTCCATCCTCATCTCCAATAAAAACCTCCCAGTACCATCTGTTTCCTCACCTCTGGACTGAATGCTTTAAATTTTCTACATTACCTAACACTTCCTCATTTCCTTGGATAATCCCTAGATGATTTCCAGGAGTTCAGGTGTCTATGGGGTGAAAAAGCCAGTGTGTCTGTTTGTCTTAGATGATGAATGTAAGGAGGACCTCTTTTAGGAGGGACTGAGATGCCGCAGGAAAGATGAGAATGGTTTAAATTAGAGTAAACTTTCATAGTTAATTTTGCCAAGAGCTTAGTCACTGGTTTAAGGTGAAAATTAGCACCTCTTCAATGACATTTTTAGGACATTTTAAACAGGCTTGGTTTCTCAAATGACCTCCTGTCTTGTGCAATTCCACAATATCTGCTCTAATCTGCCATTAGCATAGACTAAAATATGCATGGGAAGAAGTACACCTGAAATTTGACTATGTTATTTTTGAAATGCATGCTTTGAAAACCAAGGTTTCACTTGAAAAAGCCTTTATTCCCTTATAACCAGCTCTCTGTGAATTGACTCATTTTGGTGTTACTTCACAATAATCACCAGTTAGCTTTTATAAAACTAGATAGGTGACTAATACATAAAGAAAGTCTCTGATTTCATTCTGCAGGGCCACCCTGGAATGCCTGGCTTCTCAGGGGCTCCTGGAAACCCGGGTCCACCTGTAAGTTCCTCTGTTGCAAACATGGTCCTGTAGTTTATTGTTGATAAAGGGTGTTGCAAGCTCCATGTGGTGGAAGGAACCATTCCCATCTGTCTGTGCAGTGAATTTTCATTTTCCAGTGGGTTCCTCCTGATCCCCTGAGTGTGATTGAGTTCCCCACTCATGGTAATTGCTATTTAATACATTGGCCACTTTCCACTGATTGCTTCAACTCATTCTGTAAATTGTTGCTAAGCTTCAGTTGCTCTCTTTATACAACATAAAGATGATGATTAAAACTCTTCCATAGGGACTATTTAGTACATGTATAGGTGCTTTCCTGTATGTGGGGTAAATTGTTAGTCTAGAACTAGCAGATCTAAGAGCATTTTCTCAATTTTGCACAGTAGTATGAGACTGGATTTTCTCCAATTTTCATGTTGTGGGAGTTACTTTTGTATTAAAAGGCCTTTTTCATGTCCCTCTCTATCACAGTCTTCATTCTTAGATTCTGCTCTCTCCATGAATAAAATTATGCTTCTTTGTATTTAAAAATGGGTGATAGTGCAGGATCAGGGATGAGATCACTTGGCTCTCCTGCTGGCTCTCCTGCTTTACTCCCTTCAAATTTGGGGATTTTTTCTGAGTCAAGGACTTTTCTCTCCAAACCACCTTTCATTGCCCAGAGTCATCACAGCTCATATTGCTGCTTACAGTGCAGTTTGGCTGTGCTGTGCTGAGGGTGTGCCACCTTCATCTGTTCTGGGGATCAGCACAGCCTGAATTCCCATTGCACTGACTAAATGACAGGACATACCAGAAAGGGGGATTAGATTAAAATTCCATATTCAGATGGTATCAATGCCTAAAGGATGCTGGGTGCTTTGCTGCTGTGACAGCACATGAACTTGCTTTGTGAGTGATTTGAGCTCCCATGAGCATTATTTTAGGAGAAGTTAATAACAGACACATTTGCTGTGTCTCTGTTAACCTAATACTGCTACAACTACAGAGCTGAACCAGTGGGATTAAAACACTTTAAATTGTCCTATGAGACCTCCTGAACAGACTCACAGCCAAAGGAAAAGTAAAACTGAGCCTGTCAAAACAGAGCAAAATGTGATGTCCCCAATACAATTTTGTTCTTCAGGTTTTGCTGACTTTTCCCTCTGTCTGCATTTACTTGTGGCTCCAGGAGTTTGCCTGATACAGTGTGTGTTTCATAATTTCTGTTCTCCCACAATTGCTGTTCTTCAGAGTTATTTTTGTCATGATTGGCTTTTTCCTACTTGTCCCCTATTTTCAGAAGGAAGAGCCAAGACCAAACTCAAATATCTGACTATTTCTGGCTTTGGAGGCTGATTGAGTGCAGAGGTTGGCACTGCTTTTCAGTGATGGATGAAGAAATGGAATGAATGTTAAGCTGAGTGATTAAAGAAAGCTCCAGAGTTGCCAGCTATGTGTTGACAAATATATAAAATGCATTAATCATTCACGTTGTTTCTGCTTTATTTTGTTTAGGGATCAGATGGGGCACCAGGACCAATAGGACCAGCAGGAAACCCAGGAGACATGGTAAGCTCTGAGCTCTGTGCTTGACTGCTGGCTTCACCTGGTTTTAGGTCTGTGAAGTAAAACTGAGCTGGAATCCATGTAATGTCCCTTGAAAGCTCCCCAAAATATTCAGCCTGCAAATAAAAGTTCCACAAATAACCACAGGTTACTGTTCTAGCACTTTTTTTACTCACCAATGAAATTCCAAGTTGGCCAGAAGATAGTCCAGCCCATGGGACCTCTGTGGAGGTTTTTGTACCTCTTGTCTGCCTGTCCTTGCTATTAATGTCTCTTAGCTGCCAGAACAGGATTTCTAAATCTGTTAGGATGCTTCATGACCTAAGGCTAATACCTGAACTCTATGTGGGGATCATCAAAATATAACCAGAAACCTGTTCAAGGATGTCACAGCACAGACTGCTGAGATGCTGGAGCCTGGCACTATTTCCTGGCACCACAAAAAATACCATTACATGTATAACTTTTTGAGAAGCCCATGAAGAATATTGGCATTGCTGTTTCATTTTAAGGGTTTTCAGATGCTTCTATGTCAATGCATCAGAAAACCCTGGAAGAAACAGGTAATCTGATCGATGCTAATTTCAGTTTGAAAATTTGAAAATGAACCTTCCCTAAAGAATACTCCCTATTGAGTTGGAACAGTTTAAAACTGTGTAATTCCATTATGGATTTCTACAGCAAGGTTTCCTAAGGGACAAGGTGCCTTTTGCAGAGCCATTTCACAACCTGAACTTCATCATAAGTAAACAGTGATGGTCCTTCTGATGGCTGTTATGAAATAGAGAGCATTCTCAGAGAGGCCAGAGATGAAATGAACAGGCTAGCTGAAATTCCATTTCAAATGGATGATAAGATTGTGACACTGTGAAAGACCTGGAGTGATATTGTCCAATCCTGCTGGGTAAGGGGATTTCTTGGGATGGTCAGCAAGGCACTTCTGGTAATTACTCATTTAAAAGGTATAAAATACACATCTGCTTCCTGGCAGGACTCCTCATCCAGGAAGTTAAGGATGAAATATTAAATATAATTAAGCTTCAGGAAAAAAAAATCTGAGTGATTTCAGAGGTTTCTCAATTGGTAAGAACTCAATAATAGTGTATTTTTTATGTTTAAAGAGAGTCATCCATTCTAAAATAGAAGGAGTTCAAGAAAATTTCCTAGACTATGTGACATGAGCTACAAGACCACCTTCTCACAGTTGTCCCATCAGACTCTACATGTGATAAATCTTCATCTGATAGAAGCCTCTGAGGATCTTGCCTGACACTCAGTGTTTGTTCTTTCTTTACAGGGCAAAGATGGTCCCCCAGGTCCACAGGGCCCACCAGGGCTGCCTGGACTTCCAGTGAGTGTGATTAAGCTCCTTCTAATTCAATACATTAAATTATTCATGCACACATAGGTATGTAAAACAAAGGGGTGACACTTCCGAGGTGCTTTGAGAGTGGTGTGTGGTCTGTAGCAGTGTCTGTTATGCTTATGCAATGTCCTTGTTCCAGGACAGTATTTGTTTTGTTCCAGGATCTGTATTTGATCACTTTAAAGTAAAGTGTTAATAACAATGTGAATCAGGACTGTTCATTGCTTGTCTTCTCATAGGAAGAAATACTCTTATACAGAGCATGGAAATCAAGTTATAACTCCAGTGTAAGGGCACAAGGATTCAAAGACTGGGACATTGACTTTATCTGAATCCAGTCAAAATTATTTCTTTGCACTGACTCAGATTCAAGTGCACCTTGGGCATAGACTCCTCTCTTCTGGAAAATGTAACAGTACGACATTTGGGGATTTTTTTAATCTGTCATAAAGATAAAGCCAGAGATAATTCTACTGTAAAGTAGCCTACCTGAAGATAATGGCATTATAATGATTTATAACAGTTGGTTTTAGAATCATGATTTTAGATTGTTGGCCTGCTCACCTTGCTGGAAAGGGAAATACTGCCATATGGGAAAGGGAAAGAGGTTACAGGTGTAGCAGGGAGAGGTTTATGACTGAGCTATAGAAGTTGGGAGGGCTTTGGAGATGTAGGCAAACATAAGAATGTCATGATGAGCAGACTTCTCACACTGACAAAACCCCCACCAATCATCCTTGTCAATTTTACTCTGTTTTGCATTTCATTTTACAGGGCATTGCTGGGAATGATGGCAAAGATGGCAAACCAGGATCTCTGGGGGAGCCGGTAATGTAATTTAAAACTGTTTTGCTCAGTCAATCAGAAGCTGTATCCAGTTGTTGTTTTTGAAGCTGCCTATCTATGGACTCCTCAGGGGGAACAAGGAGCCTGTTTGCACATCTGTTTTTAACACCAGAAAAACTGTATTGTCTTGAGCGACTTATAGGCATGACACATGAGCAATCTTGAAAAGAAACTGTGTTCTTTTACTTTTACAACTACCATAAATACACTAAAACTTAGTGACTCCACTTTTACAGCTGTCTTAAACACTGCAGAGAAAGAAGGTTGTCTTGTAACATTAAGCCTAGTGATCCATCCTTTTGATAGAAGTTTATGGGGCATAAAAAGTTTAGAGGAGTCTTTAAAGAAGCTTTTTTCTGGATTGCTCTGAGACAGTTCTGTTGCCCAGAATTAGAGTTTATATTTGATTTTCTCTACTTAGTCTATTACTTGCATTTGCTGAGGCAAAAAAGCTGAGCTACAAAGTTGTCAGCTAAAAGGCAATGTTAATAAATTTGGCAGTGGATGTAATTTCTTGCAACTGTGTGTGTTACATGAAGAATGTGCTTCCAGTATCAGGCATTGCCAGCCTCTTCCTGTGACTTGCCAAATGGGACGTGGTGGTTCTGGGAACAGCCAAGTTCCCAGGCATTAGGACAAATGCTAAGTAGAGGAGTGCTTGTCACAGAAGCTGCAGATAGTTTGTGTTTGCACCAAACCACTCAATTTCTGTGTGCAGATGCTGATTTTGCATGTGCTGATTAGGTGTTGGTGCAGCTCTGACACTGCAAACATGCACCAGTCCAGAGCTGTGAGGTGCCTCAGGAGCTCAGAGTGCAGGTGACAGAGCAGCTCAAGGTGTGTTTGGGAATGCCTGTCCCTGCTGCTCTCCCTGCAAACTCAAACTCTGATGGACAAACTCTGGGCACTCACGGTTCTTAGTGATGTTGTGTCTAAGGGAGGGGACTGGGAGGTTTCCAGCAGCAGTGAGATGGACCTGGGGCTCTCTCTAACATGAGCATTATTGTTTCCCACAGGGAAAGCCTGGAGAACAAGGGCTCCCAGGCCGGGAGGGTGCCAGAGGATTGCCGGTGAGTGCTGCTCTAAGGGTTCCACCCACTCACCCCCTGTACTGTAGTCAGGGGGCATTTCTTGGGCAAATGAGGTTCTTTACTGATGGAAACATATAACCAGTCCTGGCATTGTGACTAAATAAAATATGTCAATAAGCAACTACAATAGAACACAGACATTTCTGAATCCTTCACAATGGAGAACAGTAAATCCCTAATCTAGAAATTAAAGCATGTGACCTCATGCCACTTCTCCACCAGAAGTCACAGCTGTAGCCCTTGTGCTCTGTTACAGGTCCTCTGAAAGACTGGGGACAGTAAAGTTTAGGGTTAAATACTGTATTGGCTGGACACATCAGGGATATACAGAGCACAGCCTTGGTTTTACAGCTTAAGGAGCAATGGAAAACTTTTCCTGTGATGTGGCCTTGCCTAATTATTCCCTGGGACACAGCTAGTCCATGCTGATCAGTCCCTAGTAACTTTTGGCAAAACTGGACAGATTATTAAATGAACATTTAGTGAAGATAGAGTTTTCTTAGTCTTTCCTGCATCAGGATGATGGATAATTATTGATTTCATTCCCTTGTATAGGGTTTCAAAGGACAGAGAGGAGATACAGGTCCCCCAGGTCCCCGGGTAAGTAACAGGTACCTCATGCACAATCCTTTGGAGAAAGATTGTGGGAATTGAAATTGTCTTTTCTGAGGCAGTAGGTAAAAATGATGACAGTGTTTTACGTGGCTGTTTTCAACTATGGGCCACCTCTATGGACAGAAATGACAGCAGCTGGCTTCATTCCCTCTGCTGAACTTCTGATTGCAGGGAAGGTGAGGCAGCTGGTAGAGCTCAATCCTCTGATGCTCCCTTTGAGATACTCCTTTGTGAATAAGTTTCAAGGATGCCTCCATGCCACATCCTTCTGGTAAAATGCTGGCAAAGTGAGGACCTCTACTGCACTTGTTAGACAAGTGCTGGCTCTCCTCCATAAATGCTGAAGAAGTGCAAAATAAGTTCAAGTAGAAAACTTACAGAAAAGTGAATAGAAGTGTCCCTTTGGCTTAGTTTCTTGGGAGTCATAAAACCCAAACCTCAAGTCCTGCATGAAAAGTTGTTCTCCACTCTCTTTGGAGCTCCTTGGTGTAAAAAGGGGAATACAAAACTGATTGTTTTTCTACCTAATCCTGCCTTTTTTACAGGGAAGTAAAATTCTCTGCTTTCAGAAGTTTATGTGAAAAATCCAGTGCTGGATATCCTCATCTCTTCCTCATTATGATAGCTTCTGTATCATGAATGTGTTGGTGGTTTTCAGTGCCTGCAGTAGCAGTAGCAAATAATTTGCTGGAAAGCAGAGCACTGCCTTGTGCATCACTTACAGGAGATGTTTCTGAGTTATTTTTATAAGCTGCGTGTCATATAAGATGAACGAGGCTCTTGCTGGCTTTAAAAGATTTTTCACTGAGCTCAGTCACACATTGCAGAAACCCCATACCTGTTCTGGTGGTGATACTGGTCTGAATTTGACCTTGAGCTGATCTCTTCCCTTTTTGCTGAATTGCAGGGGGAGCCAGGTGTGACGGGTCCTGCTGGTCGTGAGGGGCCACCAGGGAAAGATGTAAGTGCACTATTTTGAGCAGAAATGAATCTCCTTCTCCCTGACAAATGAAAATTTTAATTCACAGTGACCCTGACCTGAAACAGCTGCAGAAACTCCAATAAAGGGTGAATTACTGCAGGGAAAGATTTGTGCAAAGATCATTAGGGGAAACAAAGAATTAGAGGGCCTTTGTCACCGCTCAGCTGCTGACACTAAAATGTCAGCTATATCTTTGGATAAGCAGAGAAAGCAGCATTGTGTGAAGCCCAGGCTGTGCTTGGTAGCCATGGACCTGTCTTCTGGCACCCATCTCTGAGCAGAGCTCTGCTCTGCAGGTCCCACCAGGCCAGGCTCTGTCACGCTTCCTCTGCCACAGCTGCATCTGACTGACTGTGTCACTCCACTGAAGTCTGGGAAATACCTATGGAATAAGTTGCTGCTACTCAGAGGAAAGAAAGATGGTACAAACAGTTCCTCTAGCATGACTAGTGTCAAGTGCAGTCACATAACAGAGTCCTGGGAGGGAGCAGCTGATGTGGGATCCTGCAGCAGCTGCTAAGCAATGTTCCCAGCAGCTGATGTGCCACTGCCATGGGACCTGGAGAGGTGGCTTCTCATTTAAACCCCTTTGTGTCACTGGAAGCTGGTGTGCTGAAAATGGTACACTATAAAGCAAAATGTAGGGCAGACCAAAAGGAACCCCTCGGAGGACATGAAGGAAGCTCTGAAGCCTCCCTGCAGAGAGAATAGGTTTGTCAGTTCTTGAGAAATTTCAGAGAATCTCTGTCCCTAAGAAATACAGCTTTAAGATAGTCTGATAATAACCTGATAGAAATGGTTTCTGCCTGTAACCAGGTTGCATTTAGTGGTAGGTGTTTAAAATTCAAAGGGTTGATCTTCCTCATAAATAACTGAAAGAGGGCAGTGGGATTCCTTTAATCCTGTTTTCCCTAATACGTGAACAGTGTAATTTAGCAGGAGTATTTTGAAATGTTTGTTCACTTGCCTCTGTGCCAGATCTTTCTCAGTCATCATAATACTTTTCTTCCTTTCAGGGTGATCCTGGTCCCATAGGACCACAGGGCCCTCGAGGGCTCCGAGGGCAGCCGGTGAGTTCTCTCTCCTGACAAGCCATTTCTAGAGGTCCATAATAGTTCATAGAATGGTTTGGATTGGAGGGAGCATTAATAATAATAATGTAGTTCTAACCCCTTGCCCTGGAAAGGGATGCCACCCACTAGACCAGCTTGCTCAGAGCCCAATCAAGCCTGGCCTTGAAAACTTCCAGGGATGGGCTGTTGTGTATGGTGGGAATGTTCTGTAGTCCAGAACTCTGGCTTGAAAGAAGAGAGTTTAGGAAGATTCAGACAATGTTTGATTAAAACACTTTGCCTTTCAGAAACACAAATAAGAGTAATATTGCTAGGAACTGATGATGACTTATAATAGTGCAAGGGACTGATGGTTGCTGACTGAGTGGGAAGAACAGTTCAATGGATTCTGTCAGGATGCAGAGTCAGAAATACTCATATTTCAGTCCTGCCTCTGGGATCCCACTCACTTCTCACATGGCCTCGGTTTTCAAAGGTAGACACTCACTGTGGATGCCCAAGCTGTTTTGTGGGGTTCAGTTGTGATGCTATTCACCTGTACTATTTTATTACAGCTTCAGTGGAGAAATAGATATCTAGTTGACATTTCAAGAAGTTTCATTTGGGATGGCTCAGAAATTATTTTTATTAGTTTCACAGGGTTTAAAATTCTGTCTTAGAAATTAATCCTTATCAAATCTGAATTGTTATCTCTGTTGCTGAACCAAGGCACATGTTTAGTGTGTTGCAATGAGTGAGTTCCTTTCCTCTGTGGAAGACCTAGTGGTGAAACAGATTCCACAGAATGACTGGGGGGGGGAAGTGCTGACTCAGCAATGCCAGGAGTTGGAGCAGCAGGTCCCTCCAAGCTGGGGGGGTTGGGGTTTAGATTAGACTGCAAGAACATAAGGAGACCTCCTGTGTCTACCTCATAATTGATCTCATTACTCCTGTGCTGCTGGCATCACTCACTATCGTGTTGTGCCCCTGCACAACATCAGCAGTGAGTAAAATTATTTGAAAGGATAGAAATTATCATAACCCCAAGACACAGTCTTCTTTGCAGAAGAGTTACTTGTATGTTGGAGGCCAATGTATCAGTTTCTCTTGTTCTTCCTTTTCTTTGTTTTTTATCTAAAAAAGAGTGTGAGGTATGATTTTGAATATTGACAGTACAAGGGCTGGTCTTTATGGTCAACTCCAGTGAAGGGAAAGACTCTGAATGTTGAGTTGAAAGAAAAGGAGTGTAAAATCTCACCAAACTTTGTGTATGATTAGCTCTGCTGCTTTCATAAGGAACAATGAGAAACAGGTTCTTTTAAGGGATGATTTGGCTCATTCTGAATTGTCTGGTGTCAGGTATCTATCAAATGTTAGAACAAGTATTTCTCTCCATTCCTCAAAAAAGGGGAAGCCTGAGATGATTTAAAAAAGAGTCTTGTCTGAACAGTGGTGACCTGGAGCAGCCAGAGGAGGTGGCTCCATCCACCCAGAAGGGTGCTGCATATGATAAGGACAAGGGTGCAGGGAAGGAGAAGTGATGGTTTGGTCCTCCTCAGACCTGCTGATTTGGGTGTCCATATTGATTTTTTTTCCTGAGATCAGCCATGCAGTCAGGGACGCAGAAGCTGTGAGGTCAGTTGGAAATAAGATACTTCACAGTCTGTCAGGAGAGGAGACTGAACAATGCTAAAGAAATCCCTGCTGATGTAGGTGTAGCTGAATATTTCTAGTTTTAGCATGCATTACATCACTAACCTTTTTTCTTTTGACACAGGGCAAAAATGGAGTGCCTGGATCTGCAGGAGAACCTGGCCCAGCTGGTATCCCAGTAAGTACCACAAAGGGAGGCTGGTGCAGCCAGGAGAGGTGACTGACCAAGTGTCGGTGGAGTGGATTAGTGTAGCTGGTTACCATCCCTGAGGTTTCCATGTCTGAAGATGGGTGATCTGAAAATCAGTAGCTGGCCACAATTTTGAAGGGTGTTTGGCTATGTTCCTGGAATTGAGATGCTAGCTGGGTCATCACTTTTCCCAGTGAAAGTTAAGTGTTCACAGCAAATGGAAATGATTGATTGCCTAGCATGGAAAAAAGATTGGCATGCCTCCTCTTCACCAGTAGATTGAATTTTGCCAAGCAGAGAGCATGCAGCCAGCAGAGAGTTGTCACAAGGAAGGAGAGGGCCTCGGGGAGTTGGCTGGCTGCCATTGAGGGATAGTGGCAGCAGAAAAATCCTCCCAGGCACTTGAGGGAAGAGCAGACAGCGGGCAGTAAACCAGGATCAGGAAGCATAATGAAACTCCCCTGAGGCCATCCTGTAAGGAAGAACAGCTTGTAAATGAAAAGCTATAAGAAGGACGGTGGTTTGGTTGTTTTTTGTGTTTTTTTCCTCTGTTCTGCTGCTGAAAATTGTCCAGAATTCAACAAATCCATGCAAACATTTCTTTGTGCCCAGTAGCATCTATCACAATTCAGAGCTCTTCCCTCTCTTTGCCCATGGAGACAGTACAGCTTGCTGGACTGTGGGATTAACAGGAAAACAAAGACAGAGCAGGAAGAATGTGAAAAGCTGCAGCAGGGCTTCACTCTTTGTGACCTTTGCAAAGTCATAAAGCCACCCCAGCCTCGCCACAGACTTGTGCCCTGATCAAGCATCTGCAGAGATGTCTCAGAGGAGCAAACACCACAGAATCACAGAATCACCAGATTGGAAGAGACCTTCAAGATCATTGACTCCAACCCATGCCCTGACACCTCAACTAAACCATGGCACTGAGTGCCGCATCCAGTCTTTTTTTAAACACATCCAGGGATGGTGACTCCAACCCCTCCCTGGGCAGACAATTCCAGGACTTTATCACTCCTTCCATAAAATAATCTTTCCTAATATCCAACCTACATTTATTTCCCTTGGTGCAGCTTGAGACTTGACTCTGTTCTGTCAGTTGTTGCCTGGAGAAAGAGACCAATCCCTTCCAGGAAGTTGGTTTCTGACTAGAACCACCTTTCAGGAAGTTGTAGAGGGTGATAAGACCACCTCTAAGTCTCCTTTTCTCCAGGCTAAGCACTCCCAGCTCCCTCAGTCATTCCTCACAGGAATTCCTTCTTGCCCTGTGGATCCTTGCTCTTGCCTTTTCAAACTTATTCTCTCATTTTTGTTACACCTACCCTTGTTCCCAATTCCTATCACTGTTTTTTTTACCTTCTGGGTCTTTCTCAGGTCACTGTGGCTTTGGGATGCCTTGTGAATGCCAATTGGGGATTATTATTTTAATCATCATAGTGTTATCACAGTACCTATGTGATGTGACCCAGGGACTCACAGGCAGCTTTCTGCACAAACAGCACCACAGCAGCCTTTGCTCCTGAGGATTTAGAATCCAAAAATAACATAGGAGATTGAAAAAGGATAAAGTCAGATGGATGAGAAAGGGGAAACGATGAGACAGTGTTGGTCAGCAGAACAGACAGTCATCTCATCATTATCATTCTCTGTCATTAAAATGAATCCTCTCCTTTTCATAAAGGTTATTATGGGAAGTGTCTCCTTTTGCTGTACATAAATCCATTTATTTTGAAATGCACTAATTTCCTTCCCAGTGTGGTGTGACAAGCCAATATTTTATATTTCTATGTTGAAAAAAAGGAATGTGAGGAAGGTTATCATGGCAATAAGGAATTTTTTTTCCACCTTCACTATTGCTGACTTGAAATCACAAGGTAAAATCTGCCAGGAGCCTTTTCCTTTTGCTGTTTGAAAAGTGCCCATCACAGTTCACACTTGCTCATGATTAAGCCCACACACAGCAACACAATCCAGCCCCTGAAATCTTCAGGGCAAGTTACACACCCCAAATCCATGTGCTTTGTGCCTGACAGGCTCATTGGTGCTCACTTTGCATGAGTTTTACTCTAAGAAGAAAAAGGGCTGTGTTCTGAACCAAAATTAGGGGGCAAAGTTCTGAAAATAAAGGTTAAACTAAGAGTTAAAACCACATCAGAAGTGTGCATGAGACAGTTCTGTATCATGAGCTGTCATTTCAACTGCCCTGATCTGCAAGGAGAAAGGGACAGTTTGACAGAATATGACAAGAGATAAGTGAAAGAGACATAAATTGAACCTGGAAATAAAGGCAAAGGAGAAGCCCTGTAGCTGTCTGCTGGTTGTATTCTTGGATTTGAGTAGTATGACCACCTGCACTGTTTCCCTGTCATCACCCATCACAGAATGTCTGCTGTCAACACCCCCTTATAAGCCATGTGTCACCACAACAGCCCTGGAACACACCTTCTGCCCCTGCCATAATTTTCCCTTTTCATCTTCTCCCAGGGACCCTGAAGAGCTTATTAATAAGGCAACCACAGTGCCTGCACCCTGCTTTTATAAAATACTTTGTTCTTCCTTGTCATTTTGGGAGTCCTGCTGCTAAAATGAAATTTCCCAGTTCCAGTGTATCTGTAAATGAATGTTCTTTGAAAGAGGTGTTATGAAAAGGTGTGCTAGTGTCTGTCTCATTTCTGTCCTAAGGGTCCCAAAGGAAATAAAGGAGAAACAGGCAGCCCAGGACTCCCTGGCTTTATAGGACCCCGAGGACCACCTGTGAGTATGTCTGGGGATGGATTAGATCCTCTCTTTACCTGATTTTAAAGGTTAGACAGGAAGATGGACATGCTTCTCTTCAGTTAGGTAAAAAAAAAAAAAAAAAAAAAAAAAGCAGGATGTATAACAAATCCAGAAGCCATAAAATTTTACTTCCAAAGGAAACTGGACTGCAAAAATAGCATTTTTCATATGGATGAGCAACCATAATCTCATGTATGGAGCTGGTACCTGCCAGTCAGCCCTGATAATGTGTGCATTAATCAGACTGCTTCAGTAGTCTTCTTAATACAGGTATGGGGTATTTAAGTTCTCAGACTTCATCTCTGCATGAACCTTAGATGGGCTAAGTAGGGAAATTGTGAGTGCTGTATTATTAGTGCAAATTGTGAGTACTTTATTATTAGTGCAAATTCACTAATAATACAGGTATTTCTGATACTTACTATTCTGAAGGAAATTCCTTTGTTGCCAGCAACAGAGGTACATTGCAATTAAAGCATTCATATATCTCCCAAAGTGATCTAAAATAGTAAACCTATACCATGACATTATCACAGCCTCAGAATTCAATCTCTTTGCAAGGTGAGTAAAAGATCTTAAATTCCACTAGAAGGATGGAAAAAGTGATTGCTAGTTAATTTTTTTTTATTTCTAGATTTGTTGTGACAAAAAATGATAATTTAAAAGATTTTTGTATGTCTCTAGCAGAGCTGAATCTTCCACAGGATGGTTCTTTTTTTCCTTCTGTATTTTTAATGTTAAATTTTATGATTTGAAAGGAAGGTTTTGGATGAAAAGAGTAGAAATAAATATTTCTCTGGACAATGAATTTTAAGCAGCAAACATGGTAGCCATTTAAAACTGAAGTGGGCCTAAGGAAAACTCAAGTGAGTTTAATGCAGCTTTATTTGGATCACACATCTCTGATTAGTTCATTCCTCATGGAGATGTGTATGGGAGCTAACACAGCTGAAGATGTTATGTTTCCAAGGGAAAATATCATGTTACAGATATGATCATGTGTGTTGGCTGCAATCAGACTTAGAAAGTTTTTTTTTTTCTATACATGATATGGGAAAGTGGCCAGAATTTCAGCAACAATTAGGTTAATGTTTACTTTGCTTTACCTGCAGTTCAGGACTGCAGTGATTTTTTTTTCATTGAAATACTAAAATGGAAACTATATTGTCTAATTTTCACATTAAAAATGAAAAAAAAAAAAGATATGTGTAAATAATTCTGCAAGGGTACTTATTGAAATTAAGATTATTTAATACAGTTCTGAAAGACAGGTGAGCACTTCGCTTAAAATTCTTTAAACCTCTGTATGTGTTTTTCCAGCTGGTGTAATACAAGATGGTACTTCTACTGACAAAATTTACTTCACTTACATCTTCAGACACTTATGGGTATAATGCTGATGCCATTATACTTATGGGTATAATGCTGGTGCTCCTTAAGTTAAACAAGACCATATAAAGTGTATGAAACTTCAGGAATTGTTAGTAAGAAAAAGGAGCAAAGTGTGTTGGAAGCAGGAACACACAGTGAAAGATCTGCCCTCAGCTGGTTTGTTAGAAATTACTTCCTGTTATTTATGTTTACATGGGATGCAAATTCACTAAAAAATGCTTTCCAAATAGCAGGATGTGTCTATCCAGGAATGACCAATAGCAGTAGGATAAGGATAAATCATGCAAACCTGCTACTGTGTAGAAAAAACTTGTGTTGTTAACACAAAGCAACACTTATGAGTATTAGGTAGAGTCTTTCTTCCAGCTCCTCCAGTGTGATGCTAAATCCACTTTCTGTGTGTCTTAGGGAGAACCAGGAGAGAAAGGTCCTCCTGGAAAAGAGGTAAGTTAAATTCACTGTTGTTTCAATATAAGACTGGTGACACAGGGAAAAAATTCGTCAAGGGTGTTACCAGGGTTGAAACAAATTGGGTTTTTTTTTCATAGAATGATTTGGGTTGGAAGGGATCTTAAATATCATCTATTTCAACCCACCCTGCCAGGGGCAGAGACATCTTCCACTAGACCAGGTTGCTCAGAACCCCATTCAACCTGATTTTTCAACCATTCCAGAGATGGGACATTCACAACCTCTCTGGACAACCTGTTCCAGTGCCTCACCACCCTCACAGTGAAAAATTTCTACCAAATATCACCCTTTCTGATTGTGAAGCCATTTACTTCTTGTCCTGTCACTACAGTGCCTGACAAAAAAGTTCGTCACCATTTTTCTTATAAACCCCCTTTTAATTCTGGAAGGGACTCTGAGGTTCCCCCAGAGCCTTCTCTCCTTCAGGCTGAGTAACCCCAGCTCTCTCAGCCTGAATCCACAGAAGAGGTGCTCCAACCCTTTGGGCATCTTTGTGACCTCATTTGAGCATCTTTGTGGCCTCATTTGAGCTTCTCTAACAGGTTCATGGCCTTGCTTATATTCTGGCATCACAGCTGGACACAGCACTCCAGGTGGGGTCTCACCAAAGGGGAGTGAAGAAAGAGAATCACTCTCCTAAACCTGCTTGTCATGTGGTTGGGGCGGGGGCTTTTGCTGTTTTTTGTTTGTTTGGGGTTTTTTGTTTGGTTGGTTTTTGGTTTTTCTTTTGATTTATTTTTCTTTTGAGAGCAAAAGAGAAAGCTCTCAGGAAACTGTGGGGTTGTCATGGAAGTAAATTTTCCTGGGGTCACAGGGATCATTACAAAGGCATATGTTTCATTATTTACTTTTATTATGGATGGTTCTTTTATGCTTACCTTTATTCTCTTGCAGGGCACACCAGGGAAACAGGGTGCAATTGGCTCCAAAGGAGAGAGGGTAAGTTGGAGAACATTACCAGTTATTTGATTATGATGAAATAAAGAGAGCTATTCTGAGTTAGGGCCTGGGGGCAGAGGTCATTCAAAAGTGAAGCCAGTGCTTCTCAGTCTTCCAGGTCTCTTTAATCATTCTCCATCAGAACAATTTGTGATTCATTTGTAGTGCACCAGATGTTGCACTCAGCAACTTTGCCAGCTCAGCTGTGAGTGTTTCTCTGTGTTTGGAAATCAGAAGTTTGCTTCTTATTTTGTGGTGGTAATGTCCTTCTCTTCACTTAGGGAGAGCCTGGCATCAAAGGTGAAAAAGGCCTTCGAGGAGAAAAGGGTCCTCCAGGTGATCCTGGGATACCTGGTCACAAAGGCCATCCAGGACTGATGGGTCCCCACGGACCTCCAGGAGACACTGGGCAAGTTGGTCCTCCTGGTCCTCCGGGGCAGCCAGGATTTCCAGGACCAAGGGTAAGGTTGCCAGAAAAAGGCTTTGCACAGTAATTTTGCTGCCACAGGGATCAGAAAAGTGCCTCAGAGTACATTGAGAATGACAGAAACTGGAGCAGGAGTATGTTTTAACAGGGAGGCAGTGCTTTTAGCTCTTAATACCCATAAAGGGGAGCTGTAGCACATGTCAGGGAATCATGGAATCATAGAGTGGTTTGGGTTAGAAGAAACCTTGAAGACCATCAGTTCCACCCCCCTTCCAGGTTAGGGACACCTTCCACTAGACCAGGTTGCTCCAAGCTGTGTCCAACCTAGCCTCAGATGCTTCCATGGGTGGAAATTAGGAAAGGCTTATGTGGGTGTTGACTTGCACTTCAGGGGAGCTAAATAATCCAGACTCATAGTCAGTGTGTCCAGTTGCTGACAGCTTTTACCCCTAAATGCCTAAATCCATTCCTGTGATGTTGACCTTGGCATTGGAGTGTAAAAAAATATTCTTTCTAGGAGGACAATAATGTGTAGCACTTCATACAGAGGACTAACACCTTCCTCTGCTGCTGGTTGTTACGAGAGAAAAAATGCTGAGCTGTGGAATGGTCACTGCTCTATTCCTGGAAGTCCTGTAGTCAGCTCATCAGAATTCATGAAATACTATTTTTGTTTAATATTCTCCCTCTTTTTTTTTTCCTCCCCCCTGTTGGGAAACAGTCTCACTACTGAGAATGCCTGAGGGTGGTTTATGTTGCAGAATGAGAAAAACTACCAACAGCAGTGAAGCCACTGTGCCCATCCTGAGGATGAATTGGAGATCATCTCTGAGGAGAATAAACAGAGAATAATCTCTGATGTAAAAACTGACTAAATTTTAGACAAAGCATTTCTTCGTGTTTGAAATCAAGTGATGATTATGAAAACTTAATTTAACTAATGGGGTTAAAACTTGAAAAGATAATTTGTAGGCCTTTAAATTATGCTCTGCAATTATGTTTACTTAGTGGGATATACACTAAGAGCCATCAAAAATGCTTAGTACTTAATAATAAAATTGTTTCTTTTGTCACCAGTGACACATCTTTTTCTCATGCAAAATTTGTGTCAGGAAGGAGGCGGTAAATGGACCAACTCTGTATTTATCAGCTATGCTATTGATTAAAATTAAAATGTCACTTAGCTATTTAATAAGATATCATTTTTTAATGAAGAATAACTTCTGATTCAGAAGAACTCACTAGTTTTTCATAAACATAGAGAACACAAACTGCATCTTTGTATGTTAAAAGTGTGAGGGAAAAGCAACACTTTTGCAAGCAGTTGATGCAGAAAAGAATGCAATCTTTAGGTTGACCAGAAGTATTTTCAAAACTGACAGAAATGCAAAGAATTCTTTTTGCCAAAAAAAATGAAAAGTGTATTTCGAGTGGAACATCTCACTTTCTGATTTATAAAAGAAAATACTCGATCTTTCTGCTTGAAATGGTTTATTATTTAACACGGCTACAATTTTCTTTTGAGTTCTTATAAAGGCAAGAGCCTGGCAACCCTAAAATCTATTTACAATATTATTTACAATCTAAAAAATTCTTCCACCTATCAAAAATGCTTTCATAATTTTTTTAGTTGCATCGTCCAGAGTTGTAGTTCACATTACTTTGAGTTTTTACAGCTATTACAGCTGTACAACAGCAGCAGCAAAAAAGAATTAAGAGAAAGGATGAAAGATACTGTGCCTTGGGAGCTGGGTAGGAGGCAAAGGCCAGACAACCACATGCCCTGTCTCTGTTCAACAGCCTGAAATCAGACAAAACCTTCTACTGGTTTGGAAGAATAGGTATCATATGCATTAACTGGCTTCTGTTTCCTGAGATAAGGCCTGCTGGCAGGGGATACATCCAATATGAGTGTTTTCAGGAAGTCCAGATAGCCAGCATTAGAACCTTTGGGGCACATGCACTCTCTGCAAGGAAACATGCCATGATGAAAAAGAACATAGGATCGCCACTGGGATCTGGTAGGGGAGAGATGTTTCCTAATGTGACTTCTGCAAATTCTCCTATGAGTGAATAGGAAGGAGATTTTCCTAAGGATGGTGGTGGGAACAGTACTGCAACTAGTGGGGAGACCAGGCTCCCTGCTTAAACCATTGACCCGCAGTTTGCCAGAAGGCTGGAAACTGAGAATGCCTTTTGGCTCTGTTCCCACAGCACATTCCTGGAAAGGCTGTCAGCCCAGGGCTTGGGCAGGGGCACTCTTGGCTGCCTTAGGAACTGTCAGGATGGCTGTGACCAGAGTGTGGAGGGGAATGGAGCTGCAATGGGTTGGCTTCCAGTCACTATTAGTGCCCAGTCCTGTTCAGTGTCTGTCCTGCTGATGTGGGCAAGGCCATCAAGGGTACCCTCAGCAGTAAATTTGTGATGACACCAAGGTAGATGGAGTATCTGAAGGGTAGGAGGGCTCTGTTTGGGGGATGATATAGACTGGATGGATGATGTGAAACCAGTGCAATGAAGTTCAAGAAGAATAAGGCCTGGGTTCTGCCCTTGTGTCCGCACAAGGCCCTGCAGTGCCCCAGGCTGAGGGCAGAGGAGCTGGAAGGCTGCCCAGTGGGAAAGGCCCAGGAGCCAACAGTGGCCAGACGTGAGCCGGCATGTGTCCAGTTGGCCAAGGAGGCCAGTAGTCTCCTGGCCCTCTCTGTCAGCACAGTGTGGTCAGCAGGACGAGGGTGGTGACTGTCCCACTGTGCTGGGCACAGAGGAGGCCACACCTCGAGTGCTAAGTGCAGATGTGTGACCCAGTTAAGACGCCATTAGTGTGACATGCTGATGTGCCAGTTCAGGTGCCAATGAGACCATCTACCAAAATTAACAATGGGGATTTTATTTAAAAATGAATGTGGGGTAGGTGAGATGGAAAGAAGGGGAAAACAGAGGGTAAGAGAGAGATGAAGCGGAATACAATCTGAGACACTTGGAACCAGCTGCATCCTGTCAGTCTGTCCTCACGCTGTGCTTCTCCGTTCTGGGGACCCCAGTTGTTTTCTTGGAGGTGTTGGTGTTCCAGGGTCAGCACCTTTCTCCATTCCATTTTGGGGGTATCCAGGGAGGCATTTTCCTATTTTCGATGTGAAAGGAGAATGGGCATGCTTTCCATTGCCTGCAATGCTAAGGCCCAAGGAGCATTTCTCAGCTCCTAATGCAGCCTGAGGGATGCAGCCCTCAATGCAGACTGGGCCTGGAGTCAGCTTCTGTGGGATTCTACAGGGCAGTGCTGTCACCCTTCCTCAGCCAGTTCTCCTTTACCTGGCTGCCTTGCTGCTGGCTTGGGGATAAGGGATTCTGGCTGGCAGCAGGACCTACCTTTGGCAAGTGGTGCCCTATGGGTGAGCAGTCATCTCCTAGGAATCCTCCTGCTGCTGGCCCCGGGCTCACTCCTCCGGCTGTCCCCTGAGGCAGCTGAAGGAGAAAAGCCGGCGCAGAGCCCGTCGGGCCCTGTTGGCCATGGAGCGCCATGGCCGTGGGGCCACGGGCTGCGGGACTGTGGCTGTGCCAGCAGTGGAAGCAGGGACCTGGTGTACCAGGGGCTGGGAAGGCACCAGGCAAGCCCCTGCCAGCACACCAGCCCCACAGGGCTTTTTCTGATGAGGGGCAGCCTGGGCACAGCCAGCCTCCATGCCTGCAGCATGGGCCTCCTCCACGGTGTCAGCAGGCGAGGCACAAACCACAAATATCTCTGAGTCTTCCAAGAGTGCCATGGGGAAAGGCTCACTGTGCCCCTCCTCACAGGGATCGCTGTCCAGGTGAGAAGCTGCTGGCTCTGCTCCCTCCTCTTGCAGTGAGAGGGACAACTCGCTCTCTGGCTCACTGTCCCCCTCTCCTGCACTGTCTCTATCAAGGAGCTCTTCTTCCTCCCACTTTGCCATCAGCTGGTCTAGCCGAGTGTCCCTGGACGGCACATCCTTGTTGTTAAAGAGAGACCACGTCTCTTCAAACAGGTCAGGAGGGATGAGCTGTGCATAGCTTTCGGTCTCTCCTGTACAGTCTTTGGTCCAGCTGCAAAGTCTGTGCTGGACCCAGGGACTTTCTGCATCAAGGGAGGAGAGGATGTCTTTTTCCAACTTCTCCAGCTCCCCTGCCTTGATTTTCAGATGATCAGAATCATCTTCAGGCCCCATGTACATCAGCTTGCCATGTATGGTTTGCTCTGGCAGCTGATGAGTTCCCCTCTCCTCACAGGAACTTTGAGATGAGGGAGAAGCTGAGAAGCATGAGGTTTCCTCAGCCTCTGACATGGGGAAAAAGTCACTCTGCCCCTTGTCCCAGGGATCTTTGTCCAGGTCCGAAATTGCTGCCTCTGAGTCTTCCTCACTGAGTGGAAGAAGCGATGCACCCTGTAGGTCACTGTCCCTGTCTCCTGGAGCCTCGCTTTCTGGGAGTTCTGTCTCCTCCCACTTGTCCTCTGGCTCTTCTGGAGAAGTCTCCCAGCCCTGTGAGTTGTCAGAGACAGACTGCTGCTCTGGCAGCCAGGCAGGAGACAGGAGCTCAGAGGAGTTTCCAGTGTCTGTGCTGGAGTCACTGTTGAAGCCAGGAGCTCTGTGCATCACCTGGGTCTCTGCATCTGCCTCTTGGCAGAGACTTGACTGCTCCTGAGTGCAGGTGGACTTGGTGAACCTTTCTCCAAACAGGTACAGGGCAAGGCCTCTATATGAGTCTCCACAGGTGTTGCCACCGTGCTCTTCCTGCACCTCAGGGAGCTCCTCCATCTTGGTGTAGTCCAGGTGGTTCCAGTCAGGCTGGGTCCCTGTGCAGAGCAGCATGCCACCTGCCCGTTGCAGGGGTGGCAGGCGATGGCCCTGCCTTGCTGGTGACTCTCTCCAGAGCCTTTCAGATGAGCTGTCTGGGGAAGGTGTATCCCTAGCTCCATAAGTAGCCATAGTGCCCCATGGAGAAGGTGGCACTAGGTCTTGGTGGCTGCTGCCAACAGGGCCTGTGCACCATGCTCTGCCTCTGGGAGAAGACCCAGAGGCTGCTGGGGCTGCTGGCAGAGGGGGCAGCTTCATCCATGCCGAGGCTGTTCTTGGCATTTCAGGGCTGAAGTGGCACGGAGGTGTCACTGACAATGGAGGGCCATGGAGAGGTGGCAAGTCTGATACGGACAGTCTTTTTGGCCGTGTGACTGTGCCACTGAGGGGCACTGAGTGCCCACCCTCCAGGCTGTCCTCCTGTATTCCATGTCCTGTGGGTTTCCATGAAATGTCCTGTCTAGGGATGAGTCTGTCCCAGTGTAGGGGCGTGACGGTCACCCATGTGACCTCCACAGCTGCCTGTGGCAGTTTCTGGGGCACCTACGGGAAGCAGGTGAAGGCGTGAGATGGAGGTGGCTGGGCAGGTACACTGTCCCTCCTCATTCTAGCAAGCCCAGCTCTGGTCCAAAGGGAGGTTCTGGCCATGGCAGCCATGCCAGCCTGGGTTCCCAGCTGTGCTCGCTGTCTCTGGGCCATTCCCTCACCCAGGCCATCCTGGCACCGGCTCCTCCCCAGAGCAAGGCCTGGAGCCAGGCCTGGCTGCTGCTCTCTGCCCCCAGCCCTCCCCCAGGTCCCACTGCAGCCTTTCCCTCCATTCCCGTCCCTCACCTGTCGCCGCTTGGACAGCAGCGGCTGCCCCTCACGGGACTGGCTGTGGGCGTTTGCCTCGTGTCTCTTTGACATCTTAGAAGTGCTGTGACAAACACTGGCCAAGGGCACCTGGGAAAGCTGCTTCCTCCTGAGGAGCTGCTGCCTCGTGAGAGAGCTGCTGCCTCCTCAGAGAACTGCTCTCCTGAGAGTGACAACATGAGGGGTTTGGCCCTACAAGAGCCCTCTGTGTCATGGAATGGGTCTGTGTCACAATGGCCTCTGGGCACGATGTAACTGCAGGTCACAAAGGCCTGGTGGGCACTGCCACCACTTGTCATGTAGAGACATGGCATCCTTGGTCACAAAGTTCTACTTTAGGCCTTTGCCCCTTGACTTTTTCTATGCTTTTTCCTCTCCCAATTACCTGCCACTCTCCCTTTTCCCACCTTGGATGTTCCTCTCCTAAATATCCCCAAAGATGCCCTTTGTTCTGCCAAGCTGCTTTTCCCACCCAGCCCACCATGTGTCTCACTCCTTAGCTCCCACCTAATGGAGAAAGACAAATCAGTAAGGCAAAAATCAATTAGCACTTCACCTCACCACTACTGTAAAAAACAATTTAAAAGTGTTCATTTAAAAAGATTAGCAACAAAGGACGGCCAAATATTCATTCTTTATTGGATATGTGATGGGTATATGGTTATGAAGGATGAGGAAATGGCTGAGCTACTGAAGGCCTTCTTTGCCTCAGCCTTCAACAGGCAGATCCATTCTCCAGAGGACAAGCAGTCCCCTGAGCTGGCAGACAGTGTCCAGGAGCAGACCAGACCCCCTGCAGTTCTTGCGGAAATCATTAGTGATCTGCAGAGCCACTGAGACACTGTTAAAGTCTGTGGAGCCGGCTGGGAGCACCCCAAGGGTGCTCAGGGAGCTGGCAAAAGAGCTCACTAAGCTACTCCCATCCTGTATTATCAGTCCTGGAGTGTAATGATGTCTCACATGGCTGGAGGTAGTTGTGTGACATCCACGCTCATAAGGGCAGCAGGGACGATGCGGGAAGCTGCAGGTCTGTCAGCCCGACCTCAGGGCTCAGCAAGGTTCTGGAGCAGATCATCGTGAGGGGCATCACACGGCCCAGAGAGGACAGCTAAGGGACCAAACCCAGCCAGTGTGAGTTTAGGAAAGGCAGGTCCTGCCTGCAAAATATGATGTCCTTTGAGGAGCATGTGACCCTCCTCAGGGCTGAGTGAGAAGCGGGGGATGGTCTCTCTGGACTTGAGCAAAGCCTTTGACTCCCTCTCCCACAGCACAGTCCTGCAAAAGCCATCAGCCCAGAGCTTTGGCAGGGGCAGCCTTGGCAGACTTAACTGTCTGGATGGCTAACTCCAGACAATGGCTGGGAATGGAGCTGCAACGAGTTGACTTTCGGTCACTAGCAGTGTCCTCTGTGCCCTGTCCAGTTCAGATTCCCAATAAGGCCCTGCAGTGCCCCAGGGTGGGAGCAGAGTGGCGGGAAAGTGCCCAGTGTAAAAGTCCCTGTGGTTGTTGGTTGACATAGGCCGAATGTGAGTCAGCATATGTCCAGGTGGGCAAGGAGCAGGGTGGCCTCCTGGCCTTCTGTGTCTACACTAGTGTGGCCAGCAGGACAAGGGACATGATTGTCCCTCTGTGCTGGGCACTGGGGAGGCCACACATTGTATTCTGTGTCCAGTTCTGGGCCCCTAAATTCAGCAAGGACATTGAAGTTCTGGAACAGTTCCAGAGAAGGGAACTGAGATAGTGAAAATTTGGAGCCCAACTCCTGTGAACACTGAAGGTGCTGGTGTTGTTCATCTTGGAGAAAGGGAGGCTCAGGGGAGATTTTATCGGAGGCTCTGTAACTGGCTAAGTGGGGTTTAGTCTCTTCTCCCAGAAAGCTGGTAATAGGACAAGAGGACATAATCTCAAAATGTGTCAGGGAGGTTTATTTTGGATACTACAAACAATTTCTTCACAGAAGGGATAATTAGATACTGGAATGGGCTGCCCATGGAAGTGGTGGAGTCACTGTCCCTGGAGACATTTAAGAAAAGACTGGATGTGTCACTCAGTGCCATGGTTTACTTGACATGGTGGTGTTCAGTCAAGGGCTGGACTTCATTATCTCAGAGGTCTTTTCCAGCCCAATTGATTCTGTGATTGTTTTAAGTCCCTTTACATTCCTCTTTTTGGCAGACCCTGCGGCCCTGTGTGTGATGGGTGATGACATGGCACCTGCTGAGCCCTTTGTGGAGCCCTTAGTTTGCACATCATAGAACCACAGAGTGTTTTGGGTTGAAGGGATGGACCTCAAAGATCATCTACTTACAACTGCCCACTCAGCATAGGCAGGGATGCCACCCACTAGGTGAGGTTGCTCCAAAACCTACCCAGCTTGCCTTGAACACTTCCAGGGGGTGGGCATCCACAGCTTCTCAGGGCAACCCATTCCAGTGCTTCACCACCCTCACAGTAAAGAATTTCTTCCTAACATCTAATCTAAATCTTTCCTCTTTTAGTTTAAAAATGTTCCCCCTTGTCCTATAACTATCTGATCCCTTTACTGTGGTTATCTAGTCTCATCACTGTGGTTCTGACTCTTTAGGGAGAGCCCCCATCTCTAGAGACTTTAAGGAGACTTATCCAAGAGGAGTTATCCAAACAGCTAGATGGTAAGTAATCAGTACCAGGAAGCCAGAAGATGGATCTGAGAGTATGAAACATGCTTTCCAGAGCTGTCCTGGCACCTTAACCTCTCCTGCTTAAGGAAGATAAAATTGCCGCAAGCTTGCTTGGGAGATGTGTGAAATGAAATGTGCTTTATGGTTCCCCAGGCTTTGATTTTCCCAGCAATAGCACAGAAAGTAATCAGAGTAGATCATAAACTTTCTTTTGAGGTCTCAACTGGAGAAGAAATGTTCATGATTTTTGCTTATGACTTTTGATGCTCATCAGTATAAGAAGAGGGGCTGGAGGGGATATGGGCTACTGTTTCTCTCAAAGTATGAGAATTGCAGACCACTACTGATCCCATTGACAGTGAGATGCAGAGCTGTAGTCCTTCTCACACAGCTCTTGATGCAGCTGACAGACAGCTGCAGGCATTTTGTTCTGCGCTAAAGATCACAGGTAAACAGGGTGATCATTTCACAGATTTTATTTACACAGTCTCAGTCTTCACTGTCCACACCAGTCTGAAAGCATTTAAGATCAATGAAGAGAAGAAAGAACACTCTTCTCTCTCTATTCTGTAGAATGTTTATGTGATGCTAAGTGTTTTATGAGCTCTCAAGTTTGCTGTCATGGTGTAACCCCAGCCAGCAGCCAAGGCCCACACACCACTCACTCACTCCCCACTAGCCAGATCAGGGAGAGAATCAGAAGAGTAAAAGCTGGAAAACTCATTGGTCGAAATAAAGACAGTTTAATAGGTACAGCAAAAGCTGCACCCAGAAGCAAAACAAAGCAAGGAATTAAGTCCCTGCTTCCCATGGGCAGGCAGGTGTTCTGCCATCTCCAGGAGAGCAGGGCCCCATCACAGGTAATGGTTACTTGGGAAGACAAACACCATCACTGCAAATGTCCCTCCCTTCCTTCCCTCACTTTGTACACTGAGCTTGATGTCACATGGTCTGGAATTCCCCTTTGGTCAGTCTGGGTCTCCTGTTCTGGCTGTGTGTCTTCCCAACACCCAAATTTCCTCCCCAACGTGGCTGTACAAAGAGCAGAAAATGCCTTGGCTCTGTGTGGGCCCTGCTCGGCAATAACAAAAACATGTCTGTACTATCAGCACAAATCCAAAACTGACCCCCATTCCAGCCACCATGAAGAAAATTAACTCCACCCCAGCCAAAACCATCATGATTGTTCAGGGTCTTAGCACTGAAATGGCAGGCAGTGTGTGCTTGTCTGGAACAGCCTGGAACAAGACCAGCCATGTAGCATCTCTGCATCACAGAAGCAGTAGGAAAAGGCTCTCATTTTCAGAGCACGAGTGGTCCCAGTTTAACAGGGATCCACCATCTGCACAACTAAAAGAAGAGACATTTCAGATACTTGGAGGACAAGGTGCAGAGGATGAGAGAAATGTTTATGATAAAGTATGGAATTTAGGAGAAATTCAAGGCTACCAAGAAAAGAGATTTAAATAAATTAGAGAGGATCAGAGAGTCACAGTCATGGATTATGGAGGGACAAAAAAATGGGTGGCCGTGGAAAATTGATCTATGACAGTACTTGGGACTTTACTGGGCCCCTGGTTCTGGTTTTCACTTGGAGCATAGTCCTTCCAGTCTAACAAACCCATTACCCTCTCTTCACAGCAAAGTTACCCTACATCCTGGCTCAGATACAGCCTGCACAGGTAAAAGCATCCCATGGCAGACCAGGACCTCCTGGTCCCCCTGGGAAGGAAGGACTCCCAGGAAGAACTGGCCCTCCAGGAGAGCCTGGTCAGCCTGGACAGACTGGGTCTGAAGGGCCACCTGGACCAATTGGTCCCAAAGGTAAGTGAAACTTGGTGTGTTGGGGCAGGCCAATAAAAGGATGTATCCACTGGACTTTGGCATCCACCTTTCCTTTTAGTAGCTTATAAATTGTCCTCAAAATGCAGGTGTTTGAAGCGACCTCAGTCTCTTGAACCAGAGGTGTTGAATATGACCAGAAATTGTTGGTATGTTGCACCTCTGGCCAGAACTAGAGTGGGACAAGTCTTCATTTTCACTTAATGTCCTCTCTCAGAGGATTGGCCACAATTAGGAACTGTTTTTACCAAATAAATTAGCTTCAATGTGGATGGAAGACCTATACTAGTACTTAGTTCTGTAGACCACATTCATCAGTTCATATTTTTTCTTTCCCTCTCTACAGGAGAAAGAGGAGCAAAGGGTGAAAAAGGAGACACTGGCATTGGCCAGCGAGGGGAAATGGGTCCCCCAGGAATTCCAGGTGTGTTATTCAGAACATCCCACAAAACACATCACTTAGAACCACTGCCAGGACACAGGTCTCTGCTGTACTAGAGAGATGATCAGGATGACATAAAAACAACAGACACAATTTCTGCAGGATGTTGCCCAAAGGGAAGAACTGTATCATTAACATCATCTCTGGCCACCTTTATTTCCTCAGCCTGATGAATGAGTACAATGAACCATCTCAGTTACAGCTAAGTTAACTGACCTTTGGGTCAAATCCAAAGTGAAGCTTTAATTATTAGATGCACTGTGAAGTGATTTCTCTGTCCTTGGCAGAGTCTTCCTGTGACCAAGCTGAACCCAGAGGTTCAGGCAGCTTCAGATGTTCTGAAAGGTCATATTGAACACCTGTGCCTTGGGGATACAGCTTCTGCTTTACTATTACTGTAAAGCAGCAGCAAATACAGTTTGTCTGCAGTCTGAAATTAGGCACCATTGATAAGTTTTGCCTTCACTGCTTTCTTGGGAAAGGAGCTATAGGAAGCCCTCCTAACTCCATTGTCTGCATCTGGCAGACTGGTCTTGCATTGCCTTCAAATAACAATGTGCCCACTATGCTCTGCACCAGTGAATTATCTCCCCAGGCTGGCTCTTGCCTCCACTTTGCCATTCTCACCTCCTCTCTGTGAGGACTGTATGTCTTTAGTTGTCTCGTGCATCTCCATGATGTCAGCATGGAAGAAGAGCAGCCATATCAGAGCTGAGCATCCCAAGGTCACCATAGGGAGTGGAAATCTTTTTTTCAGAGGAGACACTCTGATTGTATCCTTGAGATACATCCTAGCCAAATCCAAACCTATGGAAGCTGCTGTCTGCATCCCAGTTTGGCAGCAAAACCATCTCCTGTGACGTTACACTGCTGAGTACTGCACACTGGGCGTGTCACCAGGGCACTCACTAGGGCATTCTGTTTCTCTTTCAGGCCTCCCAGGGGAGCCTGGTTATGCCAAAGATGGGATGCCAGGGCCTCCTGGCCCTCAAGGTGAAGCTGGTGTGCCGGGCCTGGCAGGTCCCCAGGGGCCCCCGGGAGCCAATGGACAGTGTGACCCCTCTCAGTGCGCTTACTATGCAAGCCTGGCTGCCCGGCCCTCCAATGTCAAAGGGCCATAGAGTGCAGAGAGCACCCCCAGACTTGTTTTGAAAACTTGAATTCCTCACACCTGCCAAGAGCTCTCCAGTGTCTTCAGCTGCGTTTCTTTCGCAGGAGGCCTTCTAAAGCCAACAAATGCTGCCGGTCGGTCAGATTATTTTTATGAATTATAATAATAATTATTATTATTATCTTTGATGTGATATGTGAACTTATTTTTTTGTTTGTTTTCTTTAACATCAGGGCATATTAAAATGCTAAAAATAAGTGGGGTTTTTCCTCTTTTGAAAAGCATATAATAGCAATGTGTTGTGTGACTGTTTATACAAAACCATTCCAATGCCAAATTTTTTATCTGTTATCTGATTAATTTTTTCCAAAGCTTTATCCCTCACCCTTTCAGCTCAAATCAAATCCTTCAGCCTGGAGCATTAACTGTGACACACAGGCACAGGATTGTTGGTGCTATTTGCCATCTGCATGGCAGGGAGGAAGATAAAGTCATACCAAAGCTGGAAAAGGTGTCTCCAGTGCATCCAACTCCCAGTGGACAATTTTGAACAGCTAGTGTGTGCTTTCCAGAAGATCCCTGTTAAATTTAATATTCTTCTGCTGATAAATGAATCAATATTCTATAGGAGCTACTTTTTCATGGAGTCATGTGGGATTTCATTGTAAAGGCCTGAAAGGATGCACAGAAGATCTCAACCTCTCTGTACTGGAGAGTTTTTTTCCAAGAAGTGGAGCTTACTTACCTCTGTCAGGGAGATGCATTTGCAAGGTTATCCTCTGTCAGGTTAAGGATGCCAAATCCCCTGTGCAATGTCAGCACATGCACAGCTCCCTACCACTGCTTCACCCAAAAATCAGCCAGAGCAGCATAGAAAGCCCCCTGGTGTTAAAAACTCAGGAAGCCAACTGTGACCCAATTAACTGTTTTGGTTGATCCATTATGACCATAACTTGGCAAGTGGTGTTACTTAGAGGGCTGGTGCATAGTGCAGCCTGGTCTAGGAGGATGTTCATCTTTGATGAAAGGATCAGAAGAAATGTTCATAAACATGGGGGAAATTGTGTTTGATGGTGACAGCAACAAGCCAGACAGTGGCCATTTCTCCCTATCAGCTAATTGCCAAAATCAACCTGAGAATGCAAAGACAAAGTAAAAAGGGTATGGAGTCTTAAAAGACCTTCACAATAGGTCATTAGTGAGCTTAACCCTCTGACCAAGCCATGCCCACCCACCAAGTGCAGATCTGAGAAGTGATCAGGCCTCAGATACGTGCCAGCCAGCAAAGCAGCTCTGTTTTCAAACCTCTTCTGCACAAAGCAGTTTGTAGTGAGAGATGGGAGTAATGGACCTGACACAGGCACTAAGTGCTGAATGTGTTTGGGAATCCGGTCTGCTCTTCTGGAGACAGAAAACAGGCACCCTGCCCTGCTAGCACATTCTCCATATGGCATGGTGCTTCCAAACTGGGCAGCCCAAGCAGAAGCCACAGCTGTTGATAACCAGCCCAGAATCATACCCTGAGGCTAAAGCGCTGAGATAAGCTTTTGCCAGTCTTGGAGTATTTTCTCACCCAGTAGCAGATAAAATTTGCCTCTGCTTTACTGAAAAATGAAATTAAATAACAAGTACAAATGCCAGGGTTAAACAAAGTCTTTACTGTGTAGCTCATAATGGTGCTATTTTTGCTATTTCCTATGCAAATAAACTCTTTGATTTGATTTTACTGTGTTTCTTGCTATGGAAAGACCAATTAAAGTGAAAATACCATGAAGTGAAAACCTTACCACTTTTAAGTAACTTTCAATGATATATGTGTTACTGTAGTGCATCTTGGGTTAGCTTGCTGGATTTTAGTATTAAGCAAACATGCTGATCACATGTTTGACAGAAGCATTTTTCTTCGTTCAGGCTGACATTTCCTCCCTCCAGTGGTGAGGCAAAACAGGATCCTTTTTTGAGAGCACCTCCTAACATGGGAAGAGACATTGTTTTGGGTAAATGTGGTGGTAATGAACAAGCGTTATGGAGGTCAAACATGTTAACTGAGCCATGCAAATGTGACATTTAATTCCTGTCATGATGGTGACCCCTCCATCTCCACAGGCTCTCATCATCTGTGTCTGATGTGCCATGCAGGTCACAGAATTCAGTACATTCTAGTGCATCATGAGAAGAGAATCTACATAATGATGTTCTGTTAAACAAATTTCAGGGTCTTTAACTCCTGTGAGGTCATAGAATCACAGAATAATTTGGGTTGGAAGGGAACTCTAAGGGTCATCTAGTGCAATCCACAGTAGGTGAGATGGTGCAGTGGCACCCACTTGAAAGAGATGAAAGAGTTGTTTTATAACCTCTTTCATTTGAACTTCTGTGGGAGCCATTTCCAAGAGTCAGTATTGGGAACATAAGGGAAGCACTTGCATCTTTAATAGCAACTGAAAAATCTGCATGAGCTAGACACAGACTACATCTCTGAGCATTTTCCACCCATAAAAGGGGACACAGCCTAATTCCCTGTGTTTCAGCATATTCCCTAGCATATGGCTATCTGCTCAGTCTGTTCCCAGAGACATCCCAGACTGTCTCTGTGCCCTGAATTCAGTGGGTGCCATTTCCCTGCTTTTTCTTAAACCTTGTTTTCTCTCCAGCCAGTTAAATGACATTTACCAGGCAGAATCTGTTGTTAGTGAGCAGAGTACATGAGCTGCAGACCCAGATCAAGACCCATGTTTGTACTCATCCAGATTTTACTCATCAAAGGGAGGTTTCTGTAGCTGCCACCTCTTAGAGAAACAAGCCCTACAAGAATGTGCCTAAAAGGACACCTGAAATAACAGGTAAGAAAGGAGGGTGTATTTGGAGGATTTCAAGAACTGTCACAGTTTTTGCTTCAGTCTGTTTGTGTGTATTTTCAGTCTTTGTAAAAGTGGCCTGAGATTACTTTGCAAAGTAGGTCTGCCATCTGGGAAGCCAGTAAACCTAAAAGTACAGCCCTGGGCATGGTCAGAAGCTGCTCTCCAAAAAATGCAGGTGCCTCTGTGCCTGAGCAGGTGACTATGAGTGTATTGTCTGTCCAGCACTGTGCCAGGTGAACACACAGCCAGGAGGTGGCAGGCAGGACAGGGACAGTGCTGGTGGCTCTCTCCTAACCAGCCCTGAGTAAGGCAAAGTTGTGGCTTTGGCATCTCAGTGTTCCTGTGTCTGCAGCCAAGTGTGTGGTAAATCACCATTCTGTTCTGAGTCTGAGGTTTAAACCAGGGAATAGACTGATTTTTCGGCTGGATTTTGTTTTGTCCCTGTGGCAATATATTGCTAAAATTGCATTAGAGAGCAAGACAATATATTATTCCGATTTTTAAAAGGAACACATGGGATTTATGGCACCACTGTCAGTTGCTCTTTTTTTTTCCCTTTTTAAAAAATCATTTGTAAATTACAGTAATTATAGCAAACAAACCATTATTTCATTCAATTATTTGCCTGTCAAATAAACAAATTACAAAGACAAAACAAAGCAACAGGATAATTAGGGGAAAATATTTTTTTTTGTGTTAAATTATTTAACAATTTCTAAACAGTTTTGAATTAGCTGCTTTTTGGAAGCTGTATCAAATGCCTGTGGGCTTTTTCTTCTTTCCATAGAGACAATAAAAATACTGTGTCAGCTAAGCCCAAACTCTGTGCTCTGACCACAGAAGTGGTTAGGAGATGAACACAGATTTTACATTCTGAGAAATTATTTTAAAACAAAGTTTAAAAATTATATTAAAAAAAAGTTTGTTCAGCCTTTTAATGTGGAAAATGGCCAAGCTCTGCCTGTTAAAGATTTCATTTGACAGCTTCTGGAGCAGGACTGGTGCATAGGAATGGCTGCGTGTCACCAAACACAATACATGGGGCCAGAGACACTGCCAGGGACTGGCAGGTGTGATGTAGGACCTAGAGGAGCCTTCCCAGAGCTTCAGTGGGTGACCCCAGGGGAGAGAGAGCACATCAAATAATGTAAAATGTCTGTGTCTGGGTGCCTCAATTCCATGCTCAGTCTCTCACAGTGAGATTCAGAGTCACAGAACATAGAACCATAAAATATCCATAGTTTGAAGGGACCCATGAGGATCATCCAAGTCCAGCTCCTTGACTTTAAGGAGTCAAGCTGTGGTTTGACCTGCATTTTTGTAGCTCCAGTGAGAGCTGTAGAACGTGGAGATCCATTCAGTTTATCCTGAAGTATTCAGCTGCAGCACTCTGAACCATGTTATCTACATTAACTATATCTCCATGGAAAAGCGATCTTCTGGGAGCTGTCTTTATCTTCCACTCTCAATAACTCACATAACCCCGGAGCTGGTGTGGGGATATTCATGTTACAGGTGATGGCATGTTGGGTGCTCTGTGACCAGCAGCCAGGCTGCTCAGGGGGAGAGGAGCAAGGCAATGGCAGGAACTTGTACAGTCCTTAGGCAATGAAAACTTCCTTAAAATTACTGCACTCACTCAACAGTTACAACATAGACTGAAAATAAATCTACTTTCAGCCTCTGTGAGCTGGAGCCCCCTGCTGAGGAGGGTTAAGGTTGCTTCTCCATGGCATGGCAGGAAGAGCAGCATAAGGATGAAGGCAGTCTGGAGTTGAGGGCAGGCTCCTGCCCCAGTCTGCAGCCCCGTGCAGGGGTGAGGATCCATCAGAAACCACCAAGAGTCCTCCTTGCTGCTGCTTCTGCAGAACTGCTGGAGGAAGAATCTCTTCATCAGCCTCCCAGTTGCCTCCTATGTACTAAATTTAGTAGCTGAGGCCTTTAGGGCAATATGGGTCCATCAGGGTTTGGATTTTTCTTTCAAAACCTTTGTAAATGGTAAAATTTAGAGCTTAAGAAAAAGCCTGCTTAATTTTGTTGATTTGGTTTAAACCTGGAAGTCACATACATGGTAGATACTGACTTGTGAAATGGGAACTACTTAGAAAAGTGTGAAGATGTGATGAAGAGGAGACTGTTTTTGGGAATTGCTTTACAAAGCAGATTTTTGTTGTAAGGGTTAACATCTGAATACCTTGCAGGACTTGGCTCCACAATATTGATGCTGGCAGCATTGTTGTTGAAGTTTGTCTGAACTGAGAATGAGACCATCCTTCTGGGTCTCTAGGGGATGATGTGTTGAAAATGCAGGCTTTCTTGCTACTTTACATTTTGTGACATTAGTTTTATATAGAAAGCATAAGGGGACAATTAGGTACATTAATCATACTCCAAACATCCCTATCAGCATCAGGAAGATGGATGTCCTGCAAGGAGAAGAGCCTGCCACCTTCATAAAGGAAAGCATGAGTTCAAACTCCAGGTTTGAAAAAATGCAGCAAGAGAATGGTGCCACAGCCCTCAGAAACTTCTTTCTGACAATACCTTTGTCTCTGCATGACATGCTGTCTGAAACACTTGGGTTTGGATTTGAAGAGAAAAGCATGTTCAAACAGAAGGCAGCACATACAGCAATTTGGTTTATTTCACAGGACAGATGTATTTGACAATGTGTTCTTAGAGACACATTTTTCCCCTTAGCAATGTGGGGGATGGTTTTCACCCAAGTCTGAAATTATTGTCAGCGCAATAACTTCTTCAGCACCTTTTTGATGGGAGTTGAGTCTTATTTTTACAGTTATTTGTGAGGTCTGTTGGAAAACAGCCTTCTGCAAGTGAAAATCTCACTTTTCCTTGGCTTCTGCATTTGTGTCTGATGCACAGATATTTCTAAGTTATTGTACCCATTCATGCTTATGAAAAATTATTAGACTCTCTCAAGTTCTGCTGAATTTTTTTTCATGTAAAATCCATCCCAGGAAGGTTTCAAGGCCAGGTTGGAGGGGAACCTGAGCAACCTGGTTTAGAGGACGGCATCCCTAGCCATGGCAAAGGGCGTGGAACTAGATTGTATTTAAGGTCCCTTCCAACTCAAAGAATTCTGTGATTCTATCCCAGGAGTCTAAAATGGCTAAGCAGCCTCACAGGCAAAGTGATACTGTTTTCTCTTACAGATGCTGTAAATTTATCTGGAAGAAATCCAGGGCTTGATTTCAAAATGATTATGGTATTTGTACTCTGAATCCAAGTCAAGGGTGACAGCTGGTATATGCCAGGCCTTAAAATGTGTACTTCAGGGTGAAAACCAATTAAAAAGCATTAGAATCTAGAAAGTAAGAGAGAAAGCTGAAGAAGAATCCCCAAATCCTCTTGCCAGCATTGTCTGAATAGACACCTACTACCACTCACCTGTGCAGCCACACACTCCCCTGGTGCTGGAACAAAGGTTCCAGCAAATTTAGGAACATCCTGGCCTGAGATGATCAGAACTGAGGAGGCTGCAAAAGCAAAGCTGATGTGCAAGACCTGACCTTCACAAGACCTGACCTGGCAGACCTGTTTAGACTACACCTCTCACACATTGTCTTCTAATGGCCTGTGGGTCTCCATCTCAGGGAGATCTCTCTCCTTGAGAAGCATTTTAAATGGCTGTCTTAAGCAGTTTTTTAGCTGAAAGGCTTAAGGATTAGAGGATGAAGTAAAAGAGGTTGTCTTTCTCAGCCTGAGGCTTCAAACCCACAATTTTCTCCTTCCAGAAAAATGCCTTGCTCTCAACATCACATGCTGTGCTGAGTGGCTTGGGATAAACCTGGCATTTTACACATCTACAAAACCTTTGACAGCAAGGAATAAAAATTTGCTTTTAAATATGCCAGAGCAAGTGCAACACAAGAAAAATGGTATCTCCATGGTGTAGGGGTTTACACACTTAACAGGAGGGAGGAGGACCTCCAGATTTCAAAACTGATCCTTTATTGTGTTTGTTGAATGTTAAAGGCACAAACTGACCTGAGGACAAGATTTGTTAATGGTTCCCAGGTCACCAGCTGTTCCTCTGTCTTCTCCTTGTCCCATTTAGCATGTTCTTGTCCCATTTACCATGTGCCTTATCTACTCTGCCTTGCTGCTTTCCTTGCAATCCCAGGCAATGTGAATTCTTCAGGCAAAGGCACCCTTGATGTTTCCAGAAAGAGAGAGCTACACACAAGCAGAGATTTGAACGCAGCTGCTGAAAAGCAGAGGCAGTTTTCCTGTCTGACCAATGCTCACTGCTTGCAGCTCTGAGAGGCCACATCACGGCGCAGGAGCTGGGTTTGTGTGCTCTGCAGAGCAGGAGGGAAAACACCTGATCATGTGAGAATACCAAATGTTTACTCAGTGGGATGTATCTGAGCAACTCTGTATGTTGGTAACGTGCCCAGCAGAGCACAAAGCTGACAGAAAACCTTGATCCATCAAAAACATCAGAGGTTGCCCGTGGAGCATGCAAGTAATTGTAACTGACAGTCTCTGTCCAACCAGCCACTGTTCTGGTGGGATATGGATGCAGTCACCTCTCCCAGATGTGCCTGTCCAGGTCCTGATCCACTCTGGAGGTACCTCACAGAGCACGATCCAAAATACGAAGGGAAGAAGAAACTCAAGATCTCTGGCAGGGATCTGCTGTCAGTTCCCACACAGGTCTTTGGCTTGAAGCAGATGCAGGTGCTGGAGATGAGCCCAGAACGAGAGAGCTGCCTGAGGTACAGGATGGAGCTGCTGCCCCAGGAAATCGGCCGTCTGAGGAACCTCACCTGCCTCTATGTGGACTCCAACAACTTGAAGAAAATCCCTGCTGAAATTGGCACTTTGAGCTGCTTGGAGAGGCTCACTCTGAGCAACAACAGCCTGAGCTCGCTGCCTGCAGAGATGGGGGCACTCCAAAGGCTGCAGAGCCTCCACCTTGCCAACAACAGACTCACTGAGTTGCCTGAACCCCTCTGCCAGCTGAGGAGTCTCACCTTTCTGGATGTGAGTGACAACGAAATAGATACCATCCCCTCCAGCATTCAGCATCCGGAGAAACTGGAAACATTGCTATTGCTCTTCAACTCACTGGAGAGCCTTCCTGAGGATTTCTGCCTTCTGAGGAATCTGCACACACTTTGGTTGGGAAACAACCACCTACAGTCCCTTCCAGCAGCCTTTGGGGAGCTGGTGAACCTGGACTGGGGCTACAACTACTGCTCGTGCAATTTTGAGGGGAATCCACTAGAGAGTCCTCCTCCTGAAGTCTGCAGCAGAGGCCCTGAAGGGATCAGAGACTATTTCTCATCACTTCATAGGATTTGGAAAGACTAAACCACTGGTGTCAGTCCTCTTGAAGTGACTGTGATGGATTTATCCTGTGCAAATCATCTGCACAAGCAAAATATGTTTCAGACAGCAAGGTCTGCTGAATTCACTCTATGGAGCTCAAAAGCTTCCTCCCTGCTGTGAGGTGATTTCTCTGGAAGTCTTTTTTTTTTTTTTTTTCCTTAAACAAGTATTGAACAGGGTATACACCTTTTAAAAACTCATCCAGGGACAACTGTAATATTTTTTTTTGTATTTATAGTTGCATAGGATTATCTCAAGAAATGTTGCAGACAATCATGCAGTCTGAGAAAATAAGCAAGTCTGAAAGGATAGAGTCAGGTAAACAAGTGGTATGTAAATAGCAATAATCTGTACTCTTTGTTTGCACACTGGGTTGGGGCTCGAGTCTGGACTGGAAGTAAGTGCAAGCTGAGATTCTGGAAGCTTTTAAGGTCATACTAACCTGTGAATTTGGCTTTGTTCAGGTAGCCCAGAATCTCATCATTTTCCACACAGGTTGAATCAGCTCAGGCTTCTGTCTGGCTCTGGGAAAAAAAACCAAAACCTGTATCCATGTCCCACAAGCTATTGTGCAAACAATGTCTCCATTCCTCTGGCAGGACATAGTGTATTCCTCCTGAAGAGCAGCATCAGCTGGCTCTGCAGAGTACAGGCAGGGCTCTCACACTCTCTGGAGGCAGCATGGACACAAGTTTGATGTGCCAGCCCATCCTGAGCAGACCTCAGAGATGCAGCTCCTTGGAGCTTGGTGCTGCACAGGGGTAGCTCAGATTTAGAGCAGGCAGCGCTAGCAGAAAAAGTTTCCACTTTCACTGAGTCTGGGAAAGTGTTCAGAGCTATTAAAGAATGAGTATGCAAACTTCCTGCAAGGGAACATTCTAAAAATCCCTGTCATAATCATAAAAGGCTTCATCAGTGTTACATTATGGAAATTTGCTGAGACTCCTTTTTGCTTCATTTTGCTCTCTCTTCCCCCTATCATCAACGTTTTCCTCCCACCTCTCTTTAACTTTGCTCTTCGTGGGTGTTTTCTCTGTGGCTACTCCCTCTGACATTTATGTTTCATTATTTTCTTATCATCAAAAGCCTCTCATTCCCTTATAAATCCTTTTCTTTGCCCTCTGTCTCCTTTGTTTTCTTAGGTCACCTTTGGCCAACACACAGAAAGATGCAGTTTTGTGTCTTTCCTGGAAGGAAGGGCTGAGTCAGGTCTGGTGGGAGCTGAGCATGTTCTTACAGCATTCAGAGAAAAAGGGAGAAAGGCAGAGAGATTGATACACAGGCCATTAATTCTCTTGTTCAGTGTCCTGTTATTTTCTTCTCCTTATAGCAAAGATCAGCACAAGGAGATCTGAATCAATGCTGAAAATTTTTCTGGGTGACAGAAGCACAACTCCAGATATGCTTAATACAAACTGATTTTTACATTGCTCTGCCCCTGACCTCTGTGAATTTTTCAAACCAGCTGTGACTTTTTGGTGTCATGGTAACCATATTCATTTTATCAGTGGGCTATCACACACAGATAAATGAGTGCATGGCAGTCACAGGCACACAATTACATCACACCAGGTCATTCGATTTTCCTGCAGCTGATTATTTCTAAAACATGTAACATGGGAAAGAAAGGAGTAAAGGGACTGCAGCGTCTTGCTCAGTTGCCTCTTTCTGTGGCAGCATGGAGAACTGGAGATGAAAGAGCAGAAGAGTGAACTTCAAGGCTTTTGTCATTCAGGGCTTTTTCCAGAGCATATTTGGGACAGTGTGTGAAGTAGCTCCTGAAGCTGATGCCAACTCAGGCAGAGGCTGTATCAAGGTGGCAGCATTGAAGATGCTGAATGACTGTGGATCCTGAATGACTGTGGTCTCACTCCTGTTCCTGTCATTGATGCATTCTCCAGACTCATACTGCTTTAATTTCCTCACTATTTCTTCTATTTCCCCATTTCTGTCACCCCATTTAATAAGCGCAGGCATTGGGCCTTCCTAAAGCTTTCCTGGTTCCTTCCGGACATGAGGTTAAAGGCAGTATGAGCAGTGGGGCCCAAGTAAAGACCAGGTTATCCCCCTGGTTTTGGACATGTGTGAGAATTAAATTCTAGTAAATGTGTTCTTTTTAGAGGATTGAGTTTAACACACAAATTCCTTCCAGAGTATCATTATACACAGGTGCTAAAGGGATAAATTTCTCATGTCTCACATCAAGCCCTTCAGATTCCATGTTGCCGTTTTTCTTCTACATTGCACAGGGTTTGGGCTTGAGATTCCATTTCCAATTTTGACTACCTTTCCCTTCTGCATCTTGGTTGGTGATTTCTGAAAGGCAAGCTGATTTCAGCTTCTTTGGGGACTGCACAGCAATTCAAAGCTTTCACTTTTGGTTTTAGCCATTTTGTTTAAGTAATCCTCTCTCCAAACCCACAAACATAATTTGTGAAGCCTGATTGTGTCTGTTAATAATACACCTGTCATAGCTGAGAGTGAATGGAGCTAAAAGGTGAGGTAAAAAAATCTTTAAAAAACAATATTGCCATTGTAATTCTCTAGTCTATTGGGAACAAGAGAAATTCTCTGAAACTAATGCAAATGAAGGCACTTTGACCATGCCATCAAGCTGCTTGAGCAGATTGAATATGTTACTGAGATGTGTCCTGACACCTTGCTGTCTGTTGCCCCTTCCTTTCCCTTTGTCCTGATTGTTTCCAAAATCCCACTTCCCAAAGTGGAAAATCCAATAGTTCATATTCTTTGCAGTATTCTGGCATCTGTGTTAATGAAATAGTTATGCAGAGCAATAAGTAGATCCCGGTGTTGTCATTAAGATGGCATTAAAATCTAATCTCACACTGCTTATCCTGTATTTGTTGTACTTTATGTATTGTTTCTAAGCATCCTCCTTTGCTTGTGCTCATTAAATCTTCAGGTGTTAATATCAGAGAATGGTAAACTGCTAGGATATGGGCCCCTGGTGAAGAGACGTGGATACAATCCATACTCAGGGGTTAGGGGGAGGAGGAAGAGGGGGAGTTGTTAAACCTGTCATTCAGGGTTGATGGGAGTTGTGCCTGCATTTCCCTTGACCCTGTGTTGCATTGCAAATAGCCTGGCCTAGGAGAGCATTGTCCCCTGGAACCCCACAAGACTTTCACTGGAAAACTTTGAACTCTTGCAGCAGAGCAGTAATGAAATGTAAAAGCAGTGAGGGGAAATAGCCCCAAATAGGAATTCGGGGAAATATTATATATAAGGGCAGAGGGCTTTTTAATTTAACATACAAGTACATAACACTTCACAGGCTGGTAGCTCAAGCTGGACAAGTTCTGACTGCAGATAAGCTGCATATTTTTAATGCTGGAGAGTTCACCTCAGGATATGGCAGATTCTCTGTGCCCTGAAATCTGAAAACCCCACAGTCGCACTCACCTGAAGGTATGACTGTATAACAATTGCCTTGTTTTATGCAAAGTCAAATTTACAAAGGCTCCTTCTGTCTTTAAACTATGTGTTTACAATCTATGGCTACTATAAATCTAAAATATTATATCCCAGCATTTACTTTTTTTTTTCCTTCAGTTTGCCTTTACATGAAATTCAGCATTTTAGTGTTCAATGGCTAGGAACAGTACTTAAAAATTCAAATATTCCTAAATTTCATGATCGGGGCTCTTGTGGCCAGTGATGGCGTCTCTGAGTTGGCAAAACAAAATTTAAAAGCAGTTGCTGTTCTCCTCATACCTGTTGGAGTCAGCAGCAGATTTCCAAGCTCACAAGTGAAAGGCTGATCCTAAATTCGCCTTGAGTGGACTTTGACACCAATCAGTTTTCGAGTTCTTTTAAAGACCACCAACACCACCTGCCCTTCTGTCTTCCTCTGGCTCTGCAGCCTCATCTCAGTCAGTGCAAGAGGCTCAGGTCTGACAGGAATGCAGAGGATCAACAGGTTTGGAAATCACTGAATGCAAATGATTCCTCCCTGCCAGAGGAACCACATTCAGTCCCTTCACCTGGGCAATGGTACTACAGGAGAAACAAAGCAATCTATCATGGACAAGTGCCATATCCTTCAGCACATTAAACTGCAATGAAAGCCTAAGTAGCATATCTAATGAAGATCACTCTAAGCTGTACAATGAGTGGGTTTTGACTCCCCAGAGTGTTCTGCCCACGAACCAAGAGACACTGGCGTTTAAATAAATGTGATATCCAAGCCATTGATTTCTTATGTTTAATAAAGATCTCAGCAGTCATCAATAAGCTCTTTATTTTTCTGCCACCCTATGGAAATTGTAAAATGTGTTGCCATTCTCACTTCCATGCAAACAACTTTCTTTGAACAGTTCAGGCAGCAAGAGGGGGAGAGACTGATGCCACAAGCAAAGCCCAGATGGAGTAACCCCCACACTGAGATTTTGTACTGAAACTCAGTGGGTATTGCCAGACTTGAGACAGAGCCAGTCTGGGGCTCTCTGCTGCTGAGATTCCCAATGAGATCCCACTTTCATCCTTTGGTGCGTGAAATTTATGAGGATTTGCTTTCAGCAGGATGCACTGACTCCTGCATCAAAGGTATTGATCCAGCTGAGGTCAGGCCATCAGCACAAAACTGTGTCTAAGAAGAAATCTTCCAAGTGCTTTGTAAGTCTAACTGTTAAAAAATTCAAACTGAAACTTCCAATATAAAGAAAGCTGCGTTTTGTTTGTTTTGTTTCATATTCCCTGGAGACTTAGAAAACAGATTATTGTACTTTTGTTCATAACAAGCCCTTTAAATACATGAAGCTTGTTGAAGAACTTCTTGTAAGACTTACTAAAGTTAAATAAAGACAGAGCCTGCAAGTCTTTCTACTCGGACCATGTTTCTTTACATCTCAGGTAGTTCTCCTCTGGACTGTTGCTGCACACCTTTTTATTGAGCTGACACATTCAAAACAGAAAATGACATGGTATCTGAAGTCTTTCTAGTGACCAAGAAAGGACTGTTG